TCGGTTCGTTATACAAATAAAAAATAAACTTTTCAAGTGTACGTAATTTTATATTATATGACTCAACTTGATAGTTGTGAGAGAAGAAAAAGTATAAAAAAACTTGACAAGTTGCTTCTGCTGTTTTATAAAATATATAAACTTCAAGTTAGAGCGACGTTTTCTTGAAGATTACAATAAAGTTTAAATGATAATTTTTTTTTTGTCTGTAAATAAAATCACAAGATTTTACGCGTTAACTTTTGCTGACGTCCCGAAAACGAGTTACGGTTTAATGAATATTATTCTAATTCATGTAAAACACTTTTGAAGTTGTTGCATGTTGCACCTTCTATTGCATTAAGCTGCTTCAATTATTCACTTGAGATTAAATTAATAAGAAAGCATATAAATATGGTAAATAGAGGAAACATTGATCATTTACCCTAACATCAACATGAACCAATGGCGTAAAAATTAACACCCTGAGGGTTGAGAAGAATCATCATAAATTTTATTCAATTGAATGAGTGAAAAGAGGGATAACACACAACTATATCGATAAACTTGACCGCATCGGTATACCCATAGATCCCTCAAACCTACATTAAATGTCTGAGGGACAAAACATGATTTATCTCACTAGATATTCGAGAAGAAAGGTCGAGGACGATGTCGACATCGATAGATTTCACCATTTATTAAGCAAGAATTGAAGCCAAAATCAACCCCAAGTAGAAAAGATATGGTACAGTCAGGCAAAAAAAGATGATTACAAGTAGGTACATAAAAGTAAATCAGATAGTGAAAAAGCATTTTGTAGCGATGAATGAAAGCTTTAGAAGAGGGAATTGATGAGCTTAAGAGAAAGACTTGTAAGGTGAAGTTATAACCGTGGTCTACTTTTTTTACAAATCAATGCTAGCAAGTGTAATTAGAAAACCATAGCTCACTGTGACCTTAAAAAAAGTTTATTGTTCCAATTAAGTTATCATTATCTTTGGATAAATAAATTGAAAAAGAACTGAGGAAATTAGGAAGAAAAAAGTTCAATACAAAAACTGACCTCGAAATGCACTAGCAGAAATACAAAACAAGGTCTTACTTATTTTTTTGCAATGCTCCAACAAAAGTGCTGGCCGAGTGGTGGCAATTTTACCTTATGTAGGAGTAGATAATCGAGAGAAGCAGAAAAGGAAAAAATGAAGGGTGAAAAAGGTGGTAGCAACGAAGTAAAGGGTGATAAAAAGTAACTTTCAATAGATGAAGGTCAGTTAATGGAGTGAATTAGGGGAGTTTCATTGGAATTTCTATCATGGATTACATAACAGCGATTCAACGTAATTGCTGTCGCAAGCTCAGGGATCTGCAAAGTAATTTAGAACGTGAGTGACACAGAAAACTTAAACTCGTCAGCTCAATCTACTAGTGACCACGTCAAAAAGGGAATTTACTGTGTGGGTATAATAGAAGTTGGTTGAGATGTATGACCAGGATAGACTTGAACACGCTTTCATCCCCAACTTGAGGCAGAAGTGACCGTAATTTCATAGTGGGATTGATGGTCGATGAAATCACATCTGGGTTGTGGTACATCAGTGGTTTAGGGAACCATGCTCTACTCTACTCTGCTGCAGTATAATGAAGGTAGTGTGCGACAGTGCACAGTTAATCGACGATCATTACAGATAGGTATGTACATATGAGATGGATTTTCCTAGCATACGCTCTACCTACCAAGTGATTAGGTATTTGGTATATTATATTCTACGAAATATTGGCTATTGCATAGTTCAGAATCCATTGTCAATATTTCTGATGATTAAAAATCCTGAAAGTCACTTTTCATGATATTGCAGACTGAAGTTATAGCTTATATTGATTATTTTATAATGGGTATTTTAACCCAATTATTATCATCATTAAATTTACAACATACAATGAACGGAAGAAAGATAAAAGTAAAGTGGAGGCAGAATGATGTCGGGCCTTGATCCTGCCATCAGTCTGTCATCATTCTGGATCTATTGGTTTTGCACAAAATTTTTTTAATTCAAAAATACTCATCATTTTTCAGGTATAATAATTTTTTTCCAATTAACAGAAATTAATTTTTAAAAAAATTTAGAAATACATAATACTTGAATGAACTAGCAAAAAAACGTCGATGATAGTTATATTTTAACACCTGTTTTATCCCAGGTATCAAAGCATTATACACTATAATTCAGTTCCAATGAAATCTTTTGTAATATGAAACTAATAATAGAAAAAAAGGTATTCCAATCATTGATTTAGCCATTATTTGTCAGAAGATCTAACTAAATCTATTATTCGAAAACTCTGAAGTCTAATAATAAATATTCTCATCATAAATAATTTTTATTATTAGGATATAGTTTTTTGAAACATGGAAAATATACATTCCAAAATTTCTCTGAAAAACAATATATAGTAACTTTATGGAATGAGATATTTTATTTAACCGAATAAATTTTCATGAAAATAAAATATTCCAATTAACCGCATTAACTTTAATCCTTTATTATAATCTCTCATTTCACGATAAAGCTATTTGTCGACTCCAATAATGAATAGATACAAACCACGTACACGAATAAACACGATTTCATATCTATAAATATCAGAGAAATAAAATCACTGTAGAAAATAAAACTTTTTCTAATTATGATTTTGATAAAAAAAAAAAGTTTTATGTAGCCATTTTTTAATTAATTAAAAATCTTTCCCTCTGACCAATACATATACCATGAAATAGACCTCATTACTGATTAAAGTTAACACAAAAAATTATATTTACCTGACACAAAAAAAAATTTTTCCATGATAGATACGATGATGTATCTACAAGCCAAATAACTATCAAAACAAAAAAGTTATTAAAGCTGGAAAAAAGTGGTGATGTTTTCCATGTGTTCGTAACCAAAGCGTATTATAGGAAAAAAGCTTCTCTTGCAACATAAATAATAGTCTCTTCAGTATCGCAGATGAAACGAATTCGCATTCAGCAAATATAAGCATTAAAATTTGTGACAATTGGTAGAGGAAAGTATATTTACTCATACGAGTTGGTTGGAAAAGAGAAATTACATGCTGATTAAATTCGTTGCATTGGAGCAGGCGTCAGGGTGTATTCTCAAACTGGAGCAAGCTCAAGCCAATGCTTGCAACGCATTCCGCTTACTGAGTATACGGCACACAGTGGGATTATAGAGAATTCGGACCGCGTTCGGCCGCACATAACCGTATACCTCTACTACGTAAATTTGATTGTCTCGACGCTTTCAGAGCGACTATTAATTGTGAATGCACTCGAATGAGTCCAAAGGGATGAAACTTTGTAGTAGGAGAGAGATAAAGCGTTGAGAGACGTTAAAGTATCGTCTATATATGCACACCTACTCTTGCACTCTTTCTCTCATTTTAACTTGTTCCCTCGACGTTCGTGAGGCGGCCACCCGTGTAATTGAAAAACAACGCTTTCGTATTCGTATATCTGCATTTTTACGACATCTCTCAAAAGTTTGTGACACGTTAATCTACGAACAAGGGAATTCCAAATGGTCTAGCTGTCTTAAATGACACAATTGACTTCATCCAGAGCCAAAATCTCCTCCAGATCGTCTCATATCATCTCTCACGTCTTCCTGTGCAAGCCCATGTCCAGTCAACTATATACGCTCTAGTTGTGCTTCGCTTCCAAGATATGAATGATGATTTGGCTGAAGGTTTGGAACATTTTGATAAAAAAAAAATTGCTCCAACAACTTACTCAGTTGACATTTCCTCTATAAGGATTCCATAAAAAAAACTATTGATATTCTTGTGTGATAATTTATGTCGATAGAAAAGGACGTAGTCAAAATATAAAAATGAAAGATTATAAATTTATTTTACACATTGATATAGCATGTAAAATAAATGATATTTCATTCGTACTTAGAATGTAAATATTCAAGGTATGCTGACACTTTCTTTCTAGAAAAAATTAAATTATGCATTCAAGTTTGCTCATCTGCTAGACATTTTTTACTTTAATATTATAATAAGCTCATAACATGTTCTATAAAAATACCTACATATTTGGTTTTTAAATAAACTTTCATCCTCCTCTAATATTTTTATTATTAATGTTTCATCATTCTCAATTATGAACAATCATATCAAATTTAAATATGAATAATAGTAATAATAATTGTTATTATATTTTAATGAATGCTCATATCATAAATCACCAAATTAAAATCATTTATTGGTATTAAAAAAAACATTTTTATACATATAATATTGATATTCAATAATTATATCATTTCATACTCCATTTCATTGAAATCATAAATTGTACATTGAATTCACAGCTCATAAAATTACAGGAAAATTGAAATATCACGACCGTGTGTAGGTCTTACACTGTAAAATAGTAATTAAAAGCTCAATACCCATCTCATATATTCATCGAAGCAATAATATGGAGTAATAAAATACGAATCAACACTAATTACTTAATTACATGTTATCCAACAGTAATCAGTGTAATCACTATCTTTTTAACATACAATGAATGTCAATAAATGAAAAGACCATGAAAAAGAAGAGTTTATAAAATAAAAGAAAATAATTTCTTTATAAAGCATATATAATTGTCTAAGAAGATTATTGTTGTTGTTTCATAATCACACCATGAAGCCTTTCATGTGGTGTTTTACGGTAGTTATGGTCCAATGATTATTCTCTGCACTCTGGTAGTGCACAAATATAACTATGACGAAGCTTTTATTTTCAAGTACAATAAGTCGTAGTAGTTTATTCAGCGAGTTAGAAAAAAAGTTAGTGTAAGGTTAAAAAAAAAATTGCTGTTACTTATTTCGGAATAATAAAAAAGAGGAAAAGAAACTTGAAGTTATCTTTATTATTACAAAGAATTGTACAGGAAACAGTTTTTATTAATAGAGGAATTTTTAATGAAAAATATTCCTCTTGAAACATGAAAAAAGGCTTACCAAGTCGTGTGTTACGGAGTAATCCCAGTCGAGAGATTGCTTACATTCCAAAAGCTATACCGTCCTTGTCTCTATTTTGTCCTATATACAAGCTTGACCCCGTATTCAGTCTCCCATATGACCTGACCCAGAAACGCATTATCTCTAAACTGTAAACTCACTTTTTAGTTTTTTTTATTTAATACTTGTTTAGCGGAACCAACTCAATGTTTGCACATTAAATATATTAATTAAATAAAATATAATTTTATTTCAAGTTTTAAATGACATTTAATTTTAAAAATTAAAAACAATGTCATTTAAACGCCGATTTCACATCGTACGATTTTGAAATGTGAGAATAGCGCGAACACGACTGATAGGATACGCGAACGGCACACCTCTACCGAGATTCTGATATGGTCCACGAAAGAGATGCTGTGAAACTGAGAAGCGATCAGAGCAACAAGAGTGCGCGGGCGCGCGCACGCTTTCATACCAACCCCCGTGCGCGCGGAACACAAAACTCACGCGAACAACCCTCTCATAGTTGTTAGATATAACATGAAAAGTAGTTCTATTTTAACAGTGACACTGATCTGCACAGCCAAGAATTAAAATTACCACAATTTGCCAGTCATTTAATTAGAGAATATACGAGTTAATGATGCAGAATACAACAGCATCCTTCACACAAACTTTTATTCCTTTTATCTGAAGTCTTAGACACTTAAAGTCTTTAATTAAAACCTGCGATGAATTTTTATTGAACATTAATATTAAATTTACAGTTTATTTAACCGGGGAAAAATATTTAGTACCCTCAATAGATTCAAAGTCTTCTCTTACGACAGTCTTAATTCGTTCATACAAATTTTTTCTGTTTACACTGAAAAAAATTTTTGCTTTACAAGAAAAAGGGATAATTTAATCAATGAAAAGAATTGAAAATATTCGTAATAAAACATTTTATGAAATTTAACAAAAAACAAAAACAAACTTAATTTAAAAAAAAAAAATTGATTGCAATTATTCAAAATTTTGATTTTATTAATTGAAAAAAAAATTGCTGTGAAAAAGTGTGCAGTAAATTAAATTGCGAATAAAATAGAAATTATTTATTACGATTGTTTAAAATAAATGACTAAGAAACTTTTTACTATTTACTTAGTAAAGTTTTTTTCTCAACAGCTTTAATTTATAAAACTCTTGGCAGTAGAATTATCCCGATTTAGTCCGACACTCTGGAGTTGTGATTGAAAACGTATTTCTATTTTACGAGCAGACAAGGGATTTATTTTAGAATAAAATTATGTCAGAAAAGAAACAATTCCTAAGACAGTTGACTCTCCGGAGTTTAATTAGGATTTTCATCTTCAATCATTTTTTTTTTGTTTTTTTGGGATGTAGGAGGTCTAGTAGACATTCTTGGAATGTTTTAGCTTCTAGTCCACGTTTAGAAATATTGACTGACCATTTAATAATTAAAATTTCTCAAATTCTTCCTCCGGAACATTGTAAGATAGAGTCGCTATGTATATAATTAAATCTTTTTTCCCTATCTCTGCAGTTAATCAAGATATATTGATAAATCATCTATCTATTGATGCTGAAATAAAATAAATGAGGTAATATGTCGAACTCATTTAATCATTTTTATACTGACTTCAAGTCAAATTGATTATAAATGATCTCAATGAGGATAAAAAAAGCTTTTCTGATTAATGTCTGGTCAATTATTCCTAAATTATTTGAAGGAAAATTAATGAAAATTCATAAAAATAAATTTATGCAACGAATACTCAAACCCAGTAATTATAAAAAAACCTTTCCCTTCTCAATTTAAAATTAAATTTCAATTCAATTACTGAACGACATTCCAAAGCTCCCTTTATCCATCCTTTCACTCAAATTAATGCTTCAAGGTTCATATATACCAAAGACCTTTCGGAAAAGCCTTGAGAATCTGAAATAATTATGATGGCTCCAAGATTTGGCCATTGAATAAGAATTCCATTGTCTTATCAAAAGGGATGGAAATAATTTAAATGTTCATGAATATCAAAAAAATAATTAATAAATTCACTGACTCGTGAAATAAATGAGAAAAACTTAATTGTTGATATGTCAATGACATTTAATTTATAGGAAAATATATCTGAATAAATGTGTATCACAATAGCAACATGATTTTATTTGTTCACATGGACATGAACACCTGTTTTTATGAAATACTGACCAGACCTCCGACTCTATCCGTATTTGATGTCTCTACTCATTTTCTAGGTGATGGTGTCGTAAACTAACTTAAACCTCACTAATTGTTCCTACCAGTCCTTAACATGAAAATTTGACAATGTCTAAATGTCATTAAAATTATAATGAAATGTAATTGAAAAATTTAGAGTGAGAATATGTTTGATAGATTGAAATTTTATGAATAAATTCTAATTTTAATAAATGCTGAAATTAATGGTCAGAATATCTGATTTTCATAAAAAATAATAACGCTATATTCAAAACAAGCTACATAATAGAGTTTCACTTGCAACTACTGCAGTTGCTTGAAAGTTTCACATCGGTCTAAGTGCACAAAGAAAATTGTTGTCTTATGCTAACGAGATTGGTTTTAACCTAGTTATGAGCATCATAGTTATAAGGAAGTTGAAGAGTCCTCGTACTTCATGGACAAAGATTAGATAAAGTAAAATTAAAACCCGCTAGGGGTTTGGAAAAATAAAATATTATTAAGCCTCTTGTGTTGGAATAAAACCGAGTAGCAAATTGTTAACAAGTCGCGCTTTGTCATGAAATGCCTACAAAAACCTTCATTGGCATGGATCCAAAGATTAATTAAGCGACTTTTCCTTGTTACGAATAGTAAATATTGGTTCACAAAATAGTGAAACCACTGAATTGTAAATAAAGGCAATATTGGGTATCAAGAGTACCATTGCAAAGAAGACATCACCAAAAAAAAACATACTAGAGTGAATTAATAATAGTCTAATTCTCTTTTTAACAATTGACTGACAAGTGCAAGAATTTTCTAATTCAGGTTAATGCTGCTCTTATGTCATTCTCATATAAATTAATATTGTCCATTACGACTAATTAATAAAAATGAATTTACAAAGTTATAATTGAATTTCATCCTAAAAAAATTAAAATCATCATTTAAAGTGATCAAATTTCCTTTTAATAGTAATTAAAAATAAATTGGAGAAAAAAGTAAAAAACACATCTATACAAAAATCTTTCTATCAGTGTAGGCGCAGTAATTCTACAATCAATTGCTTCTAGTTCACTTTCTAATTCAAGTAGACGCTGAGTGTTTTTCATTAGACTTTTCTCACAGCAGTAAATGTTTACTTCCGATAAGAAAATCGATTGGTTGTGGCCGGAAGTAAAGAAAAGGGATGAAAGTGAGGTAAAGAAATAAAATTTTAAAAAAAAACAGAAAAACTAAAGCATTTCTTATGTCCTCTTAGTATAGAAGATATAATGAATGTGTTTCATTAAAAGCAACCTAGTGGCTCCTATACGACTTTACAGTTGCAATAATATTATAGCTTTCTCCCACCGGATGCATAATAAACACAATTTACTGTTAATGCGTGCAAACGGAGGAGCTTAAAGCTCCTCGCTAATTTAACTTGCACCTTGTGTTCTTTACGTTTTTTGTTATCCATGCAACCGTTACGAAAATTGCACTTAATTGAGACACAACGTGTTGGCATTGACATCATGCTCTGCGTTATGTTTTCCTCATGCATACCAAGTGCTTCGAATACATTTGTGTTTATTACAACAACACACTCGACAATCTTATTGTGTATTCAAAGAGATGAAGACATCTTCAACTGGCCATAGTGAATCACAGAATATCCAAGTTGCTTGGAGGAGAGTGTTTTCTACAGTTTCAAGCTTAAGATTACCTCTATAACTATCCCAGAACTCTATTCAATTCTAATGCCCCTGGCTAACCCTATAGCTTGTTGTGCGCTCTCATACAATCCTCTTTAGATCTCTTCATCATAAAGGATATTATTAGATAATGTTCTGAAGCAAATGATTATTCGCAAACAGCTTTATGTTAAAATACTAAATTTACACCTCAATTAACTTATCTTTGATGCTGAAATTAACTAAATATAAGTCTGGCTGAGAGAGTATCGACTACCGAGCTTTGATATTATCTTGAAAATTATGTGAAGAACCTTCAACATCTTGTATCAGTATAATATTTGCTTTTCTTGTTAATTACCCTTTTAACAACACTTCTTCTGTTATTATATTGCTAGTAATATATCAAGTTCTGTTTATTGCACCATTCTTGTTAGCTTTTATTTCATTTTATAGTTTTAATAATTGTTTATTGTGTTTAATGAAATATTTATAGAGAAATTAATGAATTAAATAATATTTTTATATTGAAAATGAAATGAGATATAAATAGTTAAAAAAATTAGTAAGATGAGGTTTTTTTTAAAGAGAATTTTCATTACAAAATAAATAAAGTCAAATATAAGAAAAATGACAGAGCATGAAATGTTGATTCAAGTAGCCCTTCTTGCTCGTTATATTCTACTTACCTTTCGTGGAGATCCTTCCGTTATGCATATGCGCTTGCAAGGCTGGAAAGTACTCTCAACGTAATCGTCTGAATTTAAATATACATGAAGGTCAGCTAATTTAACAGTACTTTGGATCTTCTTAATATTTATTATATTTGTTTCATTAATATTATTATAGAAATAAAAAAATTAAATTAATCTAACTTTTGTAATAAATTAATTGAAAAATTGTTTTTCAGTTCCAAGAAATTATCAACCTCTTCGTGATCGTAGTACTGTAGTTTTCGATTCAGAGCTGTTTCGAGAAATTCCCAAGACGGCAGTATCTCATCCGCATTGAGACCAATCTCACTCCCAGATTGCCGACTATCTGAGTTGCTCCATTTTGGGGACTCCTCACGGCTTATCATCTCTGCAGACTTACTCTTGGTGAAATTCCCATCGGTGCTAACTCGATCCCACATCGGGAATGAAGATCCTTAAATATTCACTCTCAGTCTAATTGTCCAACTAATTTAAGCACGTTGGTATTCATAAACCTACCTCTCATCGTATTCCAAATTGGGGAGCGCTTCCTTCGCAATCTACTGCCAACCGATCGAATTGATGAAGTCCAAGAAAGTGTAGAAGTTGAGTCCCATGATGGAATGCAATTTCTTGGCCTCAACCCTCGAGTTAACGTGTCATGCATTTCTAGTATTTCTTGATGCAGTTGTTTTTGGTATTCAGCAATTATCCCACGCTGACGTGAACTGGGTGACAAACGGTCTTCTGATGACTCGATAAACTCAGCTTCAGATCTATTAGAATCATTAAAAAAGTGTAAATTATTTTTTGATTCAACAAAAATAGAGATTGAAAAATGACAATTAAATTTTTTTCGATTCACTAAATTGAACTGTTGACAATCTGTTTTTCAAATGATTTGAATTCAGTTTTTTTTTCTTTTAAATTACCCGTTATCAATACTGACAACATGTGTACAACCGACTAAAAGGTGACAGACGTCATTGATCAACAAAGGAAACCACGAAGCGGCAACATTGTAGCATGGGGTTACCTATAATGATAGGGTTGCCTAATGGCTTCTTGGTAACATGGTACTTTTGGATGCTTTAGAAGGTGTTCGTACTGTTTTTAAAACTATTGTTATTTTTTTTTTGCTTCAAGAATCAAACGTGATATAGAAAAAATTGTATACAAACTAATATAATACATTAATCATTAAAAAAATATTCACATATAAATATTTTCTTCATATTCAGCTACATGTATAACTAGTCAATTCATTTTCTTTATTACCATAATTATCTGTTAGCGTATTTTTCGAGCTAAATTATAAGTACACTTCTACGAGTAGCTTCATAATAATGAAATGCAAATATCTCTACTATGTACATAGATAATTGAAAAGAATAAAATAATATAATCATTATTCTTTGTTATGTTCTTCATCAATTAACAATTTCTTTTTTACGTTTTATTTGTGTAATCTCAAAATATTCTCCCATGTGAATAGGATTTGCGTCAGACCCTGCGGATTAGACAACATGGAATATTTTCGAACAACAAGCAATGGTGTTAGCTTATGACGGATAAAAAAAATAATAAATCTCTCACAGAAAAAGGTCGAAGTATTATTAATACTCTTTTAACACTCTAATAAATTATTTTAAGTCATATAGATGTGGATATTTTTTTTCATCTTTAATAATGACAAAAATAGTCAAGTAAATTCTTGTAGTTCAGTAATGTAAGAAATTACTAGAAAATATTTTTGTAATTCACCTAGGAGTATATGTTTGTTTAGGAATATTTGAAGAGTCCAAATCTGAACAACTAAATCGTCTTAACCGTCGAGATGCTTCTCTAGATACTTTTTGAACGATATCCAACATAGCAATTCTTTCTTCATGAGGCAATACAGCTGCAGCTTCTTGAAGTATCTGGAAAATAAAATGGTTTGAAAATAAAAAATATTTCTTTTATCATTTTCTGCAAAATATATTTTTTGTTATACAACTTTTTTAAATTGAATAAAAAATACGAGTTCAAAAAATAAAATACTAAAATATAAATATTTTTCTATTACTCAAAGAGAATTTTGATTCATGTCCACTAATTATTGGGTGTATTTGATTATCTTCAAAAATATTGATGTTGGAATGATTTATATATCATTATCAAATGAACAAATAATTCCTAAATAAATGGAAATGACCGAATTGATTGCAACTTCTTCAGTACCATTATTTGTTCATAGAATATAGGATATAATTGAATGAAAATGCTGATTGATCTTATTGACTTAATCCCATAGTATTATGATACAAAATTCGAACAACAAAAGTCAATAAATTGAAATTTCTAGTTATTATGAATTTATTTGAATTTTATGAGTTTATTAAATTTTTTAGATAAAAGGTTTTTAATGTTAACTCCAAAATAAAAAGCAAATAAAGGAAAAGTCAGGCATATCCGAACGAAATCACGTTCGGTTCACGTCTGACCACAATCAAGACACGTCCCAGAGGACATCACTAGTGAATGAAGTACTTGCACTCATTCCACTTCCAACTCGTAACCGGAAATTGCTCAAAATGGTGCTGAAGAACTCCCTCCGGATGTACCTATTTGACGACCAAGCTCAGCATTGAGAAAATAAAGCACTGACATTTGTGCCTTTCTGTATCATCAATTTGATCATTTTCTAAATATTTAAACAGCTAAAATTACGATGGTTTGAATAAACTAGTTTCTCTTAGTTTCACTTTTTAAAGAATATTACCTCAACTATGTAATTGAGATGTTTGATTTTCCTCACATTAAAGTTCGCTTATTAATTTTAATAATGAATACATTCAACCATCTAAGAGTACATCATTAACATCACTACTATTATTCATTCACTATTTAAATTAGTAGTAGAAATAAATAGCAGATTTGTAAGAAGTTCAATTTAAAGTTTAATACTTGTTGTTTTTTAAAATCTAATTCTTCAAAGCAACGAATTATAAGAATAACTAACTTCAAATAAAATATAAAAATAACTAAAAAACAAGAAATTTACATTTTAATTAATTCTATAAATCCACGAAACACGCGAGAATAATTTTAAATATAATATTGTCTTCCTACAAATTGAAGTACTTTTACTCAACTAGTATCTTTAATTAAAAAACCTTCTATCAATTATAACTAAAATTTTCTTCGTTATCCACACAATTTCATAAATTTTTTTCTAACTACTTTTTTGACAGTATTTTTACTAAAGTATAAAAATGAATTATATATAAACCAGTTCTATAAAATCTACAACTTTATGGTTTAAAGATTAATGTTTAAATAAGACCATTCAAACTGAAAACAGGCGCAACTTATGATTCACTAAGGTTTAAGTGACACTTGGTCTGCATTAAATGAAGATGACAATCATTAATGAACAAGCTAATATTTAATCCAGAATCATAAGAAACGTTACTCCATAATCTCTTTGAAACCCGTAAAGTCTATTTCTCAACAAACTTGGCTGTCTCACTTTAACCCTCTCACTTATCAGCTTTTTTCACTCTTCCCCTTTTACCCGCCTCCAGAGTCCGATTTTCACTTCCTTCCGGCGCTTTGCTCCAACGTATAATAGTCTCGAGGATGAGAAGAGTACTGATCTTTTGGAGTCATATTCACGAAGGCTGATCACGTCTTGGTCTAAACTCTAAACTACCTAGCCCGCTGAATGTAATTGTAATTCTCGAGTTTCTCGAGTCGCTTTATACTGACCCTGTAGAAACTGCCGGTTTCAAAACTTTTTCATAGCATCGGAGCTGGAAATCGAGTCTCTAAATACACCAAATCCTTTTTACGGATTTTCATCTAAATGCCCTCTTTCATATCTTACTGTGAACGTTTGCGTCCATTCACATACATTATATTTCCCCTTAAGAATCCTTCACTTCCACTAGAAAATTTATCCCCATTTCCTTTCTCTTGATGCTTGAAAGGGTCTCAACATCACCTTCAATACCTTTACGTGCGAACATTTTTTTTATCAACCGATTCTGTGGTTTCACGTTCTCCAATATATTGCGTTTCATGAATTTACTCGAGAGTTTGACGACAGACATCAATGAAGAGGGGTGGTTTCACATTCTCTTACAATATCAGTCTCCATGAGTGCTTAAAGGCATCAGGTTCAATCTTAAATAATACTTTAAAGCTCTAGAGTAAATTTTTGAGGTTTTATTCAAAGAATTTCTAGTAATATCAATGCCATACATATATATATATATATGTGGCATATATATATATAAAAAAACGAAAGAATAAAATGATGAGTGAAAGTACATACATGCTCTTATCGAAGGAAGCCATTTATACTTTTTTCTTCATCGTAAAACGTCTGGGAAATGCATTTGCGGAGACTTCAAAACTATTCTAGCTACTTTTCGAAATATTGATCTCACACATTCATAGATAAAGTTATTGATAGTGAAAAACAATCTTGTTATTTCTTTACTCCCTCTGAGAGATCTCAACACATTTCCTACTATCCTCAAGTATAAGAAAAGTGTAACTATTAAAAAATCTTTTACCTTTTTTATTTTTAGATTCAAAGCTTTTCTTCAACTTCTTGCCTTTTTTTATCAAACTTTTTTATTTTCTTTAACTAAACCAATCTTATTTTATTGTACAAAAAATATCTATCACATTATTGGATTGATCTGGAAAACGTGAATTTAATTTTACGAATAAAATTGACAATTTATTTCGATAAAGTTCAGAATGTTTTCATAATATCATCGATAATTACTCAAACTAATCATAAACTGGGCATTAATCAAAATAAACTACATTCGAGTAAAAAAGTAATTGGCGCAAGTGAAATTTTAAAGATACCAAAAAAGTTTCACGTCTATAAGGATAATGGAAAGAGGTATAAAAAATGATGTGCTTCGTTAACTTTAGAACCAAATTCTAAAGAAGAACAATATCCAAGTCTACTTTTTTATAAGTTAACAAGCAACCTGATCGTGATTATTTTTTCTATTGTATTACACCATTAAATCAATGATGTCAATTTACTTATAGTTTAATTGACGTACGCTCTTTCGTTATGCGAATAATAATCTGATCTAATTATGATTATAACGATCATAAATCAACCTTTACGGTAGCAGTATCTTCTCTTTTTACCGCAGAAAAAAATAAAATAGGTCGAATCGATGTTTTTCAACAGTACGTGATTATGATAAGCTAGGAAATATTGCCCATCATATTTTCCACTAAAAGTTAAGTGCTACTTGTAGAATTAACTGATTTTTTGTACTATTATTTAGTTGAATTATGTGCTTTATTCTCACACTAATTGGCTCAATCAGTACAATAATAAAATTAAATTCTGTATTATCTAAAGCTTTAAATAGTAGTAAAACTGAATTTCGTTTTTTTTTTTCACCAACACAGAGCTGGTCTATAAATAAATTTAAGTTTTACCTCAGCTCGTAAGATTACTCGAACAAGTTAGCGTTGGCCAAGTTCGCCTCATTCTTCGTCCGGTAATTCCGCAAACGGCCAAACTTGTTCAACCCTTTTACAAAATATCCCCTTCCGTACTCAGTAACGCTACTTCACCCCTACCTTTTAATCCTCGGGCAAGACGCCCGCTTGTGTAACTCACGAAATCAGTTTAGTGTTCACAGGATTTTCTTCGAAAACGGCCATGTCTTTTTCGACTTATGCACAAACCTACTGAGAATTTTTATCGACTTATCTACCTCCAGGCTTAATCCGCAATCTTCATTATGAACTCTTTTGAACGAAAAAATTCTATTGATTAGAAGTAAGTCTCAATGATCGGATCAAATACTCTGATCACGTACCTAAAAATGCAAAAAATTTTCTTTGTGAAATAATCATCATCATATAAATTATTTTTTATGTCTAACCTGTCTTAAATGGATGCAATATTTTCATTACAAGAAGAAAAAAAGATCAATAAAATCAATAAACTTCTTTAAGCTTTGAATCTTCTATAGTAGGTAATCTTGGTCAATTTCTAACAAGGCTAATCTAGTACTGACATTTTACTTTATTTTTATTCTTCATTAAAAAAAAACTAGAGATATAACAAACATGATAAAATAAATAGAATGGACGGTAAAATTTTAATTAAAAATTTGTCCTTTATGAATAAACTGATCATAAATTTTTTAATTCATTTGTATTTGAAATTAATCTGTATAACTATTTATCAGACTGGCAGTCGTCATGGTCGAACAATTATTTTACAATATGACTAATTTGAAACTGAAAGGGCACTTATTGCTAATTGCTAACAAATAGCGCTTAACCCTTTGATCAATTTGCGGAGGAATGTAAAAAATTCCAATCAACATAGTTTCAATATCAATATATGAAAATGGAAATCAGATATAATTTTAAATCTGTATGGATGTAAAGAAGTACTTACCCTAAATTTATTAAGAGCTACTAATGCTGGAATTAATCCACCAGGACCTCTTTGTCGACCTTTTCGACGATTTAATGAAACGATGTACGTCAAAGGACTGGAGTCTCTTAAATCAATATGACTGGCATAACCTGAATTTTTAAAACAAAAAAAAAATTCTTTAGAAAAGTTTTCAACTAATTTTATCAGTCGGGTACATAGTAAGTTAGTTGTCAATGAATATTCAAAAACTTTTATCAATCATATGCAATTTGAATAATCAATAAAAGTTAATATTTGATTGGAATTTTATGAAGCTGAATAACTATGGCATCATTTTGATATGTTTATTATATTGAATAATCATTCAATTATAATGAAGATAAAAAAGAAATTTAATTTTGAATGTATTAATAAAATGTCAAAAGATAATTCTAAATATTTTAGTGACATTTTATTGTATTTTTATTAAGTTACTTTAAATATATTTTTATGAAAAAGCATAAAATTTTAAAGGCATATGACGATAAAATTTTATGAAATACAATAACTCAGTAATGACAGGTAAAATTTAAATCTTGTCTTCTTATCGATTTAGAAAATTTTAATTTCATTTTTTTTTTATTGTTAGAATATTTTATTTCTAATATTTAATTCAGTTTTATGATTAAAATAAATGTAGTAAAAAATTTAATATAAACATAATATTCCTAAAGTTTATATCAATTTTTTATGATACATATCTTCACGTATATAGTGTTGGTTGAATGATTTTTATATAAATTTAGAAAATGGATGCACTCATTCAAAGGCTTTTTTGTTTTTCACTTTATGAGTACACACTGGACAACGTCCACCATAAAACCGTAATGAAAGCCAGGCTAGCAAAGGATTTGACACAACCACAACGTCAGAAAATGAGACGTAAAATAACGTCGTCATAAAACGAAAGTATAGGTCGTGAATTCGTTCTCTAGACTATTCTACACTTGCACTCACGTGTATTCAAAGTCTCCTGACCCGATTTTAATTAATTCACCAACTCTTCGAAGTTTATCGTTTGCTAAAAGTTTGCTCTTAAACGAATCAGAACAAAAAAAGTAAAATCTCCAATTACCCAACTCAACGAAGGGTGTGAACAGCGCGACAGAATAATTTTAAAGAGAATTCTATTCTCAGATTATATCCAGTTTGTAAGTAGTTTTGAACATCATATGAAATGTATTGAGAGCCATTAAATTCACATAAATTTATTTAGCAATTAATTTCCTAAATTTTTTACTTAACTTATTTTTTACAATAAACAGAAGTTAGTTAAGTTAATAATTAGCAATTAATAAATTCCATTTTTACTTTTCTCAATTATTCGGGTTTTCATTAAAATATTCTAATACTTCTGTTTTACTAAATAACTGAGTAATCATATAGAAAGAATCTGAAAAATACAGACTATAATGTTACGAAAAGAAGGCCTTTGGGAAATTTTAGAGCTAACTACATGGATCATATTATAATAAAAGTTGCCACTACGACCGTTTTCCAAGACCTTGGGATTTAAAGAGTGAATTTTATATTTTGATGTCATAGACTTGGACTACATATGTAACTTACTTACGTAATTCCTATATAAAATATACATCCTTTAACTTATCGTAAGTTTACAGCACATGAATTTTATGTCAGAGTTGGGTAAGTAACTAACAAGTGTAATCCACATTTCAACATACACATATATGCAAGTATAAAGTTTGATCCTTTGTTGTGGCTTCAAGATATTGACGTTCAATATGAATTGACAACTGTTAAAAACACGTTTTCATCAATATCAATAAAAACGTATATTAAAAATGTATTTCGTTATATTTTTATGAATTTTACTTGATAATTTTTCATCGGAAAAATTATTAAAAAATAGACACCATTAAAATCACTTATATTTTTTATGGTCAGTAACAATTTTATCAACGACAACTCACGAGCAATTATTCCACAATTTTATTTCTATCTTTTATGTTACATCTTCAACTTTCAGTAAAAAATTTCAGTCGTTATGTAACTTAAATATTTCTTCAATTACTTTATTTTTATTACTATCTTTAGTAAGTAATTGTAAAGAAACTTTTTCAATGTGTTTTTAGCAAAAAAAAAAAATGTCAAGTATAGACTTAATAGAAGTCAATAAAAATTCTGTACTATAAGGAAAACCTCTTTTATGTTGATATAGAATTTTTATTGACCATTATTGTTTAAAATATTGATATTTCTTAGGTACCACCAGATCACTTGGTAAGTTTTCAATATTTTTCATGACAAGAATACTGATTAATATTCTACCTGGAAACTATCCATCTATAACTTTATGCATATAAAGTACAGAAGTTGTGCAATATTGTTACCTGTGTTTATTTGATTTTCTTCAGCTCTGTCAGTCAATTTTGGTAGACTATCTGTAGCAGTTATCATACTGTTCCTTGCAATCGTTGCCCGCCTTGCAGCATTACCAATATTCCGAACTTTACTCCAAGTGGAGAAAGCACTCAAGCCTCGATTGTTTGTGAATGTCAAACTATATCTCATAATTCGTCCTGGCATGATAAATACTAGTCTTAATCCATCTTCAGAACGTTCAATTATTTTGATTGTCTCTTCAGCCCAAGACCAGCCCTTTGAAAGAGCTTCAACTATGCCATTGGCTGGTGATACCTCCTGTGTCGTAACCAACTTGCAGAAGAGGGATATTGAACGCATCTCCGAGTTGTAAATGTCTTGTCGTTTTCGCCAGGATTCTACGTGCCAGGCATTCTCGTGGGACGAGTTGAAGAGATTGCCAAGATATGGACGGAGAATGTGGCCGAGAATCTTCTTGTCGTGCTCCATTCCTATCAAGTTAACAGGAGAACAATCATCATTTAACTATGAAAGACACATTTTCGTTGATTCCAATTAACTCAGATCCATTACCAAAGTAGAGCCATCTCAAGAGACTCTTTGCCATAATGGTGTCATTTTCGAGATCTGCGTAAGCAGTCTCTCGATCCCGACGGACAGCATCAACGAGAATATCGACAGACCGTTCAAAATAGCCAGCAGCTTTTTTTCTCCTCCGTGGCACACTAGCAGATCTTTGACACCTACTTCTAGTCCTTTGATGGTTTGTTATTATGTAAATCTGATCTCGTGCTTGCTTCAACACTAATGTCAAGAGGTAGATCAAGTTCTCAACTAAAGACGATGGATTGTGTCCGGATACAGGGAAACCTAAAAAAGTGCAGTCGTTGATATACCCCTGAAAGACAATATTAAAATTTTTTATATCTCAATTTTTTTTTGCTTTTGGGTTTCGCTGTTTCGATATCAAACTACAAAGAAGAATAAAATCAAACATTCACTAAACATTAAACACACTTTGAAAAAATGTTTGAGAGTAATGCACGTACGAGTATTGATTTATGGGAAATTAGTTTTTACTCTTGGGCAAAAAATATATTTCGTTATGACTGAGCTTATTTAAATAAATTCTAAATTCATACATTAATGTAAATATGTAAAAATATTTACAGATAAAATCGCACGAAATTTTATCTATTTAAATATTTTAAAAATTGTCTGTTAAATAACATTTTACTTTATCGTTCGAAATAATAAATAGCCTGATGATATCGTTCTGATATTTTTTTATATCATATTATATCATAACGAAATCTATTTCCGTTTAATAAAATACATCTCCCTAGTAGTAAATATTTTGATAGTTAAATCATGAACTGTTCTATACGACTTACATGCAATAAGAGTTCTTTAACTTTCAAGACTTCTCTAACAATTAATCCCAAGTATGTCAACTGTCGAGAATTGTAACCATTGCATCCTTCCATAGAACCTCTTGGTAAAGAGGTCATTACACGGCGCCAGCGCACAATCAACTCGTTTTCGAGCACGTCACTTGGTGAAAGATCAACTGGAGTCAAGTTCAAGGAATACTTGTGAAGGCCATGGAGATAAGATTCTAAAAGACGAGCATCTGATACGTATGAATCTTCATGATGTAGAATGCCACCTAAAAATTAGATAATTCATTAATTTATTTCATCTTATATTTTGAAATTTATTTGAAAATCAGAATTTTTTATTATAAGAACGTTTAAAAATAAATAAACTTTTAACGTTTTACATTCTCCTTTCTATTATTAACTTGTCTTCAATGTTATAAATAAAGAATTAAAGTATGTAAAGTTTAAATCATTCCATTAAACTTTTAAAACTTTTAAATTTACTTTTCTATCTTTTTAAGAATCAATGTTCGATTAAGAGAATTGATTAACCAATAAATATTAATGGATATTTGAACACGACATCTATTTATTTATACTTTTTTGGCATTTACGAATTCTAAATAATTTTAAAATGTAAATAACGCAACATATTTTTTAAGAAATGCCTGAATATAAATTATTTATTCACCCAACCTACTCATTTTTTCGTTCTGCATACTAGGATTTCTAGCAATCGTCGAGACGTGAATATATTCGAAGTATTTTGTGAGCCATGGTCCTATCCGCTCACTTTCAGCTTATCACACTCATGCCACAAGAAGACGCAAGATTTCCATTCTAACATTATACAAGATCTATTCCACAAGAATGCAATGCAAATGCATCGTGATATCTTCTAAAAGTGGTTTGTGTATAAAGTGCTTCAAAATTCAATCATTTATGTGACTCTATATGTTACAATTTATGAAATAGTTTGTAATAACATTCTTGAACATACTAACTAAATAAGTACAATACTGTTTGTAAAAAATTGATTGTATTGGTATTTCATCAGATGTACATTGAAGTTCTATTTTGAAATATTTACTTTTTTTTATTCTGCCCTTATCTACTGGAATTGTAATGCAAAAAAATTGTACAATTTTTTATCTTTGGCCTGTTATTTCTTTACAAAAGAAAATCCTAGTACAATTTCCACAATCAAACTCAAAAGCTGATACGAAGGCTTTAAAGTTGTTTTTTAATGCTGAACTATCGTACCTTTTACTTGTTTTCTCAGTTTTGCGTAGGGATTGTGTTTCAAGCTTTTTTATAAAAAGCTGAAGAGTGTAAAAAGAAAATTGACTGAATTTATCATGGAGTCAACTATCAGTAATTCTAGAAGATTTTTACTTTACAATAATACTGTTTTTCCTTAATATTTTACAGTAATAATATTATTGAAACAAAATTTGTGAGTCATAGAGTGGAGTGTACATGTTTGCAGTAAGTTTTCCTAATTATTCACACGTCACATCCTTTTACATGTTACGTACATTCCCTCTGGAGCAAATAATCGGGGAACTGGTAACGAGTTTCGCATCAAACACAATCAGTTAATATGACGCAGTGATGTAGAATTGAATGATATTTATGCATCAACAATTAGTTTAGGGGAAAAACTAGTTTAAATTATCAGATTTTACTTTACACAATTATATATAACAAGTATTACAAACTACTGAGAAAAAAAAGTCAAGAACTTGAGTATTGATTGAATGAAAAAATATTTTAACTATACAATTACACGCAGTTATTAAATTAATATAGAAAAGAGTTTTTTAATTGCATTCCACTTGATCTCGTCGCTGTTTCACACCCAACAAGAGTTGACCACAATAATTTCATGCCTTTTCAACAATAAAATAAACTGATGTGAAAAGATTGAAAACAGAATTAATAGTTTATATCGTATTTATGGTAACAATTAAATACGATTTATTCAATAAAATCATATATTCTTCATATTTTTGGATTTTTATTATTTTTAAAGCTTTTTTTCTTTCTGGAAGGAACATTTCATAAGCCACGGAATCCACTTGCAATATTGTCTTGCCGATATTGCTTTCACACCAGCAGTTACGCTATTTTCAGTATGTTTCCACGAAGTCAAAAAATTCGAGGAAAAAAGTGTGAAACACGAATAACAAGTTAATATTTTTCCATTATGTTAAATTATATTATAAGAACAGCATACCTAAAAATTTATAAGATAAAATCCAATACAATAATCTTAGAAATTTATTCAATCATATACCTTTAGTACATTGTAGCATGATGTTGCACCTTGAGTGAAAATAGCACGATAAATTCTGGCACCTCAGGGCTGTGACCAACTCATCAAGGGCTACAAGAACGTGACGAGAGAGACTGTCAGGAGCCCAATTCCGCAGAGGATCTGGCCCAGCTCTCTCTAGTAACCACCAATGTGTGGTTCGTATAATGTGACGTGATACTACTCTCAGATAGTCCTGTTGTATTAAAAAAACATTGGCATTTAGTATCGTTTTAAAACTTGAAAATTGCTATTCAGTAAAAAAATTATTCTATCAATATCAAGATGATCCATTTAACATCATTATATTCGAATGATAAATATTTTATATGCTGATTCATGGAATAATTCCAGCAATTAAACGTATACTGACACTAATAAAAATGTATAAACAATAGAACCATTTTCCATTACAAAGTTTGATTATTCTTGCTTTTATCTATGTCTTTATAGCTTCTGACTGTCAAGCAAAGAACAGAGACTTGCTGCATCGTAAAGTTGTAGATGAAGTTTAAACTAGATACCGGAAACTGAACAAACAGAAAACGACTATAAAACAGCAGATACGAATCTTACCAAGAAGTTTTGCCAGTTGAACAAAATCGTCGCAAACTTTGCATCAACGTTTTCCAAAACGAGGCATCAATAGTGGCAAGAATAGATCTTTGATCTTCCAAGTATGCATTAAACTTGGGTGTATTTGTTGTATGCGCTTAAAAGTAAAAGCTCCTCTGGCATCATCCCCTTAGGACTTTAACAAACACAAAGGCAATCACTTCTAAAGCGTCGCCTTTATCTTCAAGTTTTCCTTTAGTACGAATAACAGGAAATCTAATATGCAACCACTACCACACTTTTCATCCAATTGCTAACTACTTGCTAACAGTGCAATTTAAATAAATTCAATGTTATCATTTAGTTATCAACATCAATAAACTATTTTAGAAATAATTTTTATCATTTCGCTACACGTAGTCTAGCAGTTTTTATCTAAACAATTTATTTACCTACATATATTATCAAATAAATGTCTATGGTGCATTGGATATAGTTTTAAAGAAGCAAAAGCTAAATGAAATTTTTTCATCGTACATTAAAGATAAAAAGGTAAATTCAATATCTCTGTCATGTTTATGACTATTTTAAACTTGAAAACTGTTCACAGTACGTAGCCAACAGAATACATAATACTTTCGCACATTTTTCGGCAATTTTCTCTTATTTTATCGTTATGAATACAATTTTTCAAAAGTATATTTTTAGTCACTATTTCTCCGGAAATAAATTATGTAATATTCAAGTTGACAATGTTCTCTTTAAGTTATTCTTGAAGAAATTAAAGATGAGTATTTATTAATTATTATTTAACCAATTAAAAAAAAAAACTATAATTTTTAAGAAAACTTTCGTTTTTCATTTAAGAAAATAAACAAAGATGTTTATATAGTTGTAATAATTGAACAATGGAAATTTGCGAGTTCAATTTTTTGGTTCAATAATTTCAGAGAAAAGTCTACCAGATGCATCAATATTTATTTTGAAAACAAGAATCGTACAGTCAACTTTGAACAGCCGTAAAGTATGAAAAAAAAAAGTGGAAAAATTATTATTTATGTATATTCCTTCATCAGTTGGCATGACTCTTTTAATTCCATTGAAATTTATAAAGAATAGCATGTAGATGAGAAGATTCATTTCAAAAAAAGGTCATCTTAGTAGATACGTCTTCATCAGACGTAGATGTTAACCTACATGTATACTCTATCTTCACTTTGATGTTGGATATGCATGAACTAGTTTTTCTTTTCTATCATAGGAGTGAAATAAAAAAAGTTTGTTTACTTTATCTGTCTACGTATAAAGAGAGAGTATTTTGACTTGAATATCACCTTTACTGTACAAACTCATGTGGAAAAACCTTTGGGTTTTAGTTGGTTAACTTGAACGATACAAAAACATAGAAATTCAATCTACAAGTGCATACATTTCTCAAGAGAATAAGAGCATTCAACATTCATAAGAGAATCGGGACTTCCACCTTAGTATCACCTGGGATGTTGGCTCACTCATTGTTCATTCGAGTCTAATAACAAGAGACGATCCAGTTCAGTGAGGAAATTCTGATCAATTCAAGTTTTCTCATTACAACCGGTACAAACTTATGTACAATCTTTCTCTCATCGTTACATGATGATAAATACTCCTATTATATTGAAAATATAAATACAAGAGTATAAAATTATTCTCTAAATACGAAATTGTCTTTTGTTTTGTTGTATCATTAAATACTTTAATTGATAACAAGAAAAAAGGAAAATTTCTTTCACACCTACAAAAGGCGAGAATATCAAGAAAACGTAGAACCTTCAAAGGACTATGGTACAGTTTGTAAAAAAAAAATATTATAATTCTTTCATCGTGAAGCAGAATAAGTTTAACATCAAAGGGTCGCGATAGCACCATTTTTAATAAATTCAAGACCGTTTCAAAGAGGTTTTTTCGTCGTTGTATAGAAAATAATGGACAATTTAAAAAAATGCCTATGTACAAAATTCTCAAAGTGTTGCCTATTTTCCTTTATTTCATGAAAACAATAATAACTGTAATGATGATTATCTTAAAATATATGGATCTGTTGAAAAAATATGCCTTCAACCATGAAAACCACGTCTTATTTATTATTATATCTTCCATTATTAGTTTCGAAGAACTTGAGTAGAGAGTATGCCTATATATACTAGTTCAATATAAACTTTATGCAATAGTACCTTCTGGTGCATAGGAATATTCAGTGGCAATCTTCCTCGAAGTTGATCCAAGATATACATAAGCACTGATTCTGTCAACACAGGAATACTCTCTTCGGAGTAATGTTGATTCATGATTTTCTCGGTAGCAGGAACACGAAGACGCCACAGAGTAGCTCGATCATCACATCTGGCACCTGGATAAGGACCGACAGCAACTGCATACATTCCCTAAACATTCAAAATACAACATTGCTTAATATATTCCAAGGGAAGCTTATGAAAATGAAAACTTAAATGTGCTAAAAAATTTTGCAGTAAACTCTATGTGGGAAGCCAACCGAATTTATTGCTAACATAGCTATGTACACATTGCTGACATTACTATGCTTCAGTGTAACGTAATAATTTCCAAGCAGGGGTAAAAAATATCGGCAGTAAGATGGAATAAGTATGCTCTCAACAGAATAGAACGAACCTTTTCGTGGTTGAGTGCCCATTAAAAAAGGAGCTTGCTGAGTTCCCTCATTCCTTCACTCTTTCATTCACCCGCATTCTTCTTCCCTACTTTTTTTTTATACCAACACGTAATGGTATAAAAAAATTGTTCAATATCTACTTTGAGTGCAACGTTAAGTACTTGTGTCAATATGAAGTTACATGAGCTATGTGCATGTACTAACAGTCACTTACCACAGTAAATTAATTAAGTGATTAAATACATTTAGTAGCTTCAACAAATAACCATTATTACTAAGTTGAGGTAAAAATGTTCAATATGTTCTCTGTACTCTATTATAAACGATAATTTGAAAACAAAAAACGTCGTCAAATTACAGAGAAAAATTTATCAGACTATTTTTTATTTTATTTTTTGATTGAAAAAATATTAATTAACTTTTTTATTTGTTGTTTTAATTTTTAAAACTACTAGAAAAAGAAAAAAATTATTTTATTAAATATTTTTAATAATTTGTGATAACTGCTTTTTTTAAGTACTAAACTGTATAATTTTTTATAGCATTATATGTTGTGGTTTTCTACACATTCACACATTTTTCTTTACATTCCATAAATACATTCTCACGTGTGAATACCGAAAACTCACTTTAAATTATTTTCATAATTTCTTTATAATTTAAAATCTACCTTTGAGAGTAATGAAATTTTTCCAGTTTACCCCTGAAAATATTTCATTACCCTAATGCTATACTTTAAAAACAAGGTCAAAGCATGCATTAGTTACCAAATAATTATTCAAAGCCACTATACAAACTTCAAGTTGTAGTGCTGGAGTTATGTGAATATTACTCGAAAGTACTATATACTCGTTCGAAGCTTCTCCAAATAAACTAAGTCAAGACATAATCATGATCATAATTAGATAATTAACCAAACAGTTTTAATAAACAAGATAAATAATGTGTGCTATAATCATGTTTGTGAATGCAATAGTACCAGTAAACAGAAGGACGATAAACATGACTCACGCTCTGAGCAGCTGTGTAGTGAAGTAATGCATCGCAATGATGAAGTGGTATCCGACGTGGATAATCAGCTAGTGATGACCATGATGATACGCCAGCCCCGACTAGAAGTCTCACTTCAATATCCTTTGTATTGTTTCCAGCCAAGCTAATCTTGAGAAGTATTCCACTTGCATCTTCCACCAACGCTATACGATGATCTCTTGGTTGTGGCAAGTCTTTTTCCGCAGCCGCTGAATAAAAATTAGCATAAGAATGATCAGAATATGAAAACGTAATACAGAAATTCTCATTACAATGAAATGAAACACAAATAACGGAGGTATTCTTGTAAGTGAAGCTTATGAAAAATACAAAATATTATTAAAATATACATAAGTTATAATTTTAGTATGTATTACGGAAAATGCATGTTTTTTTTATATTTTAAAAAATAATATCATCTATAGAGAAGCGTCATTTAAGGATGAGTATATGGTATAAATAAAAGTGTAAATTGAAATGTTAAAAGTGTGACAATAAAAAATGTAGATATGATTGCTGTTGAAAATGAGAAATAAAATAAACTTCACGTCGTGCTCTTTATCATTCTCTAACTCGAGAGAAAAGAAAATTCTCCATTTTCTCGTTCTGAAAAAAGGTGAATTCTGTGATTTACTAACGCTCACCCAAGCTACGAGTGTAGACACTTTATATTTTCCTTCAACGTCATAATTTTAGATCTCCGCCAGTTATAATTAAGTAACTCCACTCGACCGTACATTCTAATTTATAGTACACGGCTTGTATTGAATTACTCGCGTGGCTTAGCGTTTGTTACAGCGATCGGTATATATAAAATATTACAACGAAATATACATGAAGCTGGTCAAATGAAATGTAACTTAAAAAGAAATGAACAATGGTTAAGTAAATCTTTAATTTAAATAATTTGAAAATATTTAAGTGATATATTACTGAAGAAGTAAATTTAAAACTGCTCTTAAATATATTATGCAACGCAGCTACGTTATGAAATATGAAAATAAATTATAAGAACGTAATTTTAAATATTTAAATAATTATGATAATTATTATTGTAAAGAAATTAATTAACAGTAACTCTCTAACTTTGATGTTTTAAATGATAATTAAATTAACCATATAGGAGACATAATAAACTGACAGTTCTAATTTTAATCATTATTAAAACATCTTTTGAACATTTTGAAAAATAATCCTAAACTTTACTGAACAAACTTAAAAGTTAATTAATGAAACCTAGATTGCCAAAAGATGTAACTAAAAATTAAAAAAAAATTTGTAATAACAATAATTATTACCAGGCCCATAGAATATTCTGCAATGCTCAGGTTGTTTGAGAATCTTATCAAGAGTTTCTGCATCAATTACTTGTCCAGGGGTCTGATAAGTATGTTCTTCCACATCATTAATAGCATCTGAAAAATAGTATCTCATTATATACTTGATAGAAAAAGAAATAAGGCAATAAATCTTCATCAGCTTTGTAGTAAGCCGGAATAAACGACGCAGATGGCAAGGCTGATACAATCCGAGAAACCAACTTTCTACTTGGTACCTTGTTTAGTAGCAGCTGCCAATAAGTTCACGAGTTTGGCTTTCACGAGATCTCTCCTCAATCGTCCGCCAGGACCAAGAAATTCAGCCCAAGATTCAACGTCTGCTCCTCGAATCCGAAGTCGAGCAAATCCTGGTAATGCTGCTTCCTCTTCTACACTTGCTATTGTAGTATCCTTACTTGAATCGACTAGTGGAGTTGAAAGTGCATCAATTCGGAGTAAATACTCGAATTTCAATTGCTAAGAGAAATTGTTACTTTAAAAATATTGTAAAAATGTTAGATTTAATTTTTTTATATTTATTATATACTAATCTTAAAAAAAAAATTTCATCAACACAGCTTTTTTCGTTTATTAAAAAAGTATCGTTTTTAAATTGATTTACTGATGAAACTCACAATTTAAACTAATACATATTGTATTAATACAATCGTTAATCCTCAATAAATGTTTGCACCGCTAGAGAATTTTATTTATGTTTGTTATAAACATCAACATGAATCTATTTAACAAATTATCAGAATAAATATAACTGCACATCAACATGTGAAATAAATTTTAGAGTATTTATAACGAGCAACCCATTAATTAAAGTAAACATAATGCATGATCTTATCTAATTATCTATTGTATTATTAATAAACGTATTATTTAAACCATTCTAGTGAAGTAGTTTCTTTAAAACTGTCATATGAAAGAACATTATCATAATTTACCTTTACTCTTTGTTTTTCATTTAAAGAGACCAGAAACATTGATGCAAATCTTCTATCAAGATTTCCTACTCCTATCACCAATCGTTGTACTAATCTTTCCACCGTTGTTTCTATCAATTTGATATCTGTAAAAACAAAAAAAAAACTAATTAAAAAAATCTTTTATCAATCCATGGATTAAACAGTTCAATGATGAAAATCATTAATCACTATGAAATAATAATAGCTGAACTATAGGTGGAAAATTATATAAAAATGTTTGAAACAGCTAAAATATCACAAATAAGTTGTTTGACTAAGTCGTGGCAATCAGATAATAATAGTATATTTTATTTTGGGAGCAATCTGTTTGCTTAAAAGAAAAATTTCAACAATCTCTTCCAACTCCCGTATGGTCTAGTGGCTAGGATACCTGGCTTTCACCCAGGAGGCTCGGGTTCGATTCCCGGTACGGGAAATTTTTTTTTCTTGTGTATTGTATAATAAATTATGAAATAACAATAATAAAATTTTTTACCTTTATCGGCAACGTCATTGTCAATCATTTCTCGAAAAAATCCATTTAAGTTTTCTAATTGTGAACTTGTAAAGGCGAGTTTCGTTGCAATCAAATGAGTTTCAGTACATTTGTTGGATAGCATACTTGGTCCACAACCCATGATACTTTTGATTTATCTAAAATAAAATATTGCCAATTATTAATTATAATTTAATATAAGCGAATAATAGTAAAAATATAATTAAAACCCAAACTTTTATTATATTTAATTATTCAATGAAATATATTTATAAATTATAAGGTAGCAAACAGTCAAGTTAAAAATTTTATTCATAAATTGAATGATAATTAAATTATCTGCTCCAGTGAAAATTTAATTTAAAAATAAAATATAATCTTAGTACCTAAATTAAACCAAAAAATAATATAATACTATCAATTATAAATATGTATGTTGGAAATTAATTTCATATATTTAGTGAATAATTATAAAAGTATCATTATCATCAACAATAATTATATTAAAATTTATCAATTTATAATGAATTTACTAATTGTAATCGCTAATTGGAACACAAACAAATTAAACAGTATAATTTCCAAACAAAACGAAACCTGATAGTTCATCAAATATATCTATACTTGGCTTGAGGCCACAGTACTTTTGTAATGAAATCCATTTCTGCAGTTAATTGATTGAAAATTCTCATATCAGCGAATAAACGAAATTAAGCGCTGTCAGTTACTAATAAGGTAGACGAAGCGAAAGAATATCTATTAAATAGAAAAAGATATAACGAAAGCAGATGAATTTTCTGTTGAAGTATTCGCATGGACACATAACATGAAATTTCATTTATTAGAGTATGAGAATTTTACACATTTCTTCGTTATCCATTCGGCAACCTGTAGATTTATGTGACCGATGTGACAAATAAATCATCGACCATGTGAAAATTTGTATTCATTTATAAGCATATAATTGATAGTGCTTTCGAAAACTCTAGATATGGCGATCAATTAGAAGGTTAACATGCCATGTAGGAATAGCTTACTTTAAAAACCTTTTTCTTTCCCACCATTTTATAGTAGGATTCATATAATAGTAATCCCAGCACTTAACCGTACTAATGATATTTTTTGTTGAATTTCTCCAACGCTAACTACTACCCTGTATTAACCAAATGCAAATAAAAAGGATCAACTCTTTTTCCTTTATTACATCAAGTAATCTTCCTAATAACTCTTATCCACGATGTGCATAATTTACTTCGTGATTTTCTAAAGCCTGTGTAGACATATAAAATCTACTAGGTATTCTCATATAATCCAACCCTATTCGCATAACTCCTACCCAACTTTCCAAGATATGTGGAGCGTTCTAGTAAAGTTTACGATACTACAGCTTCTGATCGAAGAATAGACTTCTAGGTAATCTGACTGCCAGCAAGGGTTGAATGCAATGAAACTTGGTCAAACTTTAAGGTTAGTGTAGTCTATACACATATTTGACACAACATATTTTCTAACTCCAAAATCTCAAATATTTTTAGGTATATTGAACTTGTCTCAACTTTATAGGAGCTAAACTTCTAAGGATGTAATAAAGTCTCTTCTTTGTTTATCTTATCCATTAAATTTTTCTCCCTTTTTCTAAATACATTATTTTTCTTTATTTATTATCTTTTGTCTTAACTACATTTCTCGTCTTAATAGCTCAGAGTAGCATAAACAACATCACTTTCGATCTTTCACAGTGATGTACACGCGTTGGTATTCGCAAACGAATCTCATGAACGTCTTTTACTTCTCCCCGTGAATTTTCCCGAAATCAATCTTTCAAGCTTAATACCACCAGTGGCTGGGATTTAATCACGACACCTCAGGCTTTTTCCGGACTTTACGAATGGGAAGAACGAAAACCAAAACGAAGTACAATCCAAAACCCTGAATTGAGGAATTCACTGAGAATCTGGTGAATGGATTCCTAACAAATTCTTTGCATACTTTTTTATCACTTAAAGTGTAAAATACACTAAAGTTCCATGTTAAATAATACTTTGATCATTAGCTCTACTTTTCATATGCTAATAATAAAATGAATTAACAAAATGGCTACCACAATTTATCACTTATCTGTAACAATAAATTTTTTGTACTATTTATTTTTTTTTGGTATTATTATGTGGTCAAGTCAATTGATAAAAATGGTAATCTTTCAATCGATGCATTTAAATTCATTTAGTATCATCTGTGTCATGTTTTATATTTTTAATTGAATATTTATTGTAAAACAACAATATAATTATAAAAATTCCAACACCCTTCGAAACATGTAATAAAAAATTGACGTGACCACAATGAAAGATTGACATTATTTCAATATGCGACACTTTATATTTTTACCGGATAATCGAGATAGTACATACCATAATTTTATGCATGCAATTGATTTAAATAATTTTTTGAACCTATTGTTCATTCAACACCTACACACTGTGAATTATGCACAAATATTTCAATTTAAACAATATAACTAACTAATCGAATTTACGCTCTTAATGGTTAGAAGTTGTTTTAGTTTGATAATTAATTTAATTCAAAATGAATAAGAGACATACCTCGCGGTAACAAAAACATGATACATACTGAATCAATGTTATTTCACGAACCATATCCGAAGTAGTTTCCACCTAAATGTGCATTGTAAAATTACTGACTTCCTACAATTACTCTTATATAAAACTTCTGATGTCAAAAGTTTTTCGGTTAACTTTCAACAATGGTTCCATAGTCCCCATCAAATCACTTCCGATTCCGATTGTTAGATGTTAACTTCCGGTTTTATAGGTATGTCCATGACACAGAACGAGAGCTTGGTGATTGTAAAACTCCTGTCAACAGAAATTTCCTATATTTGTACACATGTTATTGAGCTTGAATAATTTTGAAATTATTTTTAAAATGAAACATACCTTATTTAATATTAGTTGACATCAAATTGTTGATCTATGCTGTATTTTACTCTTATTTATCTCCATGATCTTATTCGATTATATTTGATGCTTATTGCTTCGAAATGCATTTTGAAACTTTCATTAAAACATCCAACTGTAAGTGCACCCTGAATTAATAGAGGAATTATAAATTATGACGAAGTTATATATGTTAATTATTCAACGAGTTACAATGCTTCAAATCCTCAAACTTTTGTTACATACCTAATGTTAAGTTTAGTTAAGTCTTTTACAGAAATAAAAGGAAAAGTAAATGTATATTCAACTCGTTAATATGATAATTAGAAAACAAATATGATAAATTATTTCTTGAATTTTACACTATTTATTTTAAATCAAAAAAAAAATTAACAATATCTTCTTATGCATTTGAAATATTTCATTTAATCCAACATGATTAAATGTTACCTAGAAGTCAGAGCTAACATCTATCAATGACGTAAGAGGGAAGTCTAATTAGTCACCCTCCTGATCAAAATTTTGCGAGATGTGACCTTCAGGTGTTATATGTACATTTGAGGATTTGAATTCTTTCAGTTTTCTCTAAAAATTGTTTGTAAAATACTTTGTAAACGATTGATGATAAATGATATAATATCGACAGTGAGTCACATAGAGAATACATTTAAAAGACTGTACCATCAGCTTATGAGTAACTTGTAAAGAGCAACAGCGAGCAGCCTTTGCTCTATAAGCTGTGAAGCATTATTTTCATCACAACAAAACGTAATGGCTTGTTGATCGTAAATATTTATTGTAAAAAATCTAGTGAATAATTCTTCAATTAATAATTGTCAATTAATGAAAAATGGCAACATCTTATATTAAGGATGAACAAGGTAAATAATTTCATTTATAATTCATTAGAATCATGAGCTTCATATAACCTAAACTTTATAAACATATACAACTAACATTGTTTGAGATCAAATGAAAGTAAAATCATAATCAATTTTCATTTTACTTGATACAGGTGGAACATTTATTGCACCTAGTCAACGACCTGATGGAACCTGGAGAAAGCAAAGAAGAGTTAAAGATGGATATGTACCTCAAGAAGAAGTACCATTGTAAGTGAAAGAGAGTAAAATTAAATATTTAATTCAGCGAATTTTTTAATAACTAAAACTATTATTATGTATTGTTCAAAGGTATGAAAGTTTGGGAAAACAATTCCAGAAAAATAAACTATCTTATCCAGTTGGAATGTCTCCAGAATATGTAGCAGCTCATAAAGCAAAAGTTGAAGCAGAAAAGAATAGAAGTACAATTCCAGGAATGGTGATTTCAAATGAAACCAAAAAGAAGAAGAAAAAATCGAATAAGAATAAATTGATGAATTCGGTAACAGAAGATTTAGCAAAAACGTCAATTTCAGAAATTGAAGTGAAAAAACCTACAACGAATAAACCACAGCAAGCTGGAAAACCAGTCAAATCACAATCTACTAACTCAACAAGAATAGATACCAAGTTAATTTTAAGTGATAGTATGAAACGATTGAAAAACTTGAGAAAAAAACTTCGTGAAATTGAAGTTTTGGAAAATAAAATAAAAAGTGGTGAAATAAAAAATCCTGAAAAAGAAATGCTTGATAAAGTAGCAAGAAAAAAAGATGTTGTGGATGAGATTAAACTTTTAGAATCGAATCAATAATTTTTTAAATTCTTGAGAACAATAACGAAATGACTTTCATTTGTACACTTGTGCTGGATGACTTTTTGCATTGCAAGAATAATTTGTATATTATCTATTTTTAGAGATTTTTCATGTAATTGTATAAAAAATATTTCATTTAATATATAGATAAAAATCATCATGAATTAATTCGTATATTTAGTCTTGAAGATTTGTAATCGTATCATATATTCTATTGTAATATTGAACTGACTTAATCTTATGATCTAAATAACCCCGATTTGGTATTCCATTATCAATACATTTATTATTAATCACATCTTTAGTGTTAGAAAAACAATAAATAATAGAATATATATCATGAATTTACATAACTTTTCTTCTATAAACGTACTAATTCTTGTATGTATATTTTACACTTTTTATATTCTATAACAACCTTGTCATTTTGACATTTCTTTTTTTGTCAGAATAAATTATAAAAAAACTAATGGTTTATATATTTAATAACAAAGAATTATCTTACACAAATAAAAATTTTACCATTATATTCTTACTTTTTCAAACATCTAATGACGTAGTTAGTGTTGAACATACACAACAATTTTATAAGTTTTTGTATGTTTAATTAATTTATAACATGTTATATGATTAATAACAATATTAAAGCAAACAATTGTAAATAAACTTTTCATTACAAAATTTTATTTTTGTATACTGAAATTGTGAGCCTTTCTTTTCTAAAAAGTAAACTCCCTCCAATTTGAACACTTGTAAATAACAAACGTGAAGGCGCTGTACTTTGCTGATTCGTGATTTTGCCACCAGACGAAAAATTTTAAAAGTAGAACAGTCGATGGAATTTGCACAAAGTAAAACCTAAAAAATTATATTTGATATAAAATATTTATACAGTATGTTTGTCAGGCCATACAGTAGATTTTAGGTCTATTATTTATTTTATCAAAATTCAGAAAAATCTTTGCAAATAATTTTTATTTATTTTGTTGTTTGTAAATTTGATCATTCAAATTCCGGAAATCTGTAATCATATCAAATCAGGGCATGGCTGCTTATATCGTTCAGATAACTTCACTTCCAACTGCTTTTGACAGTCGTAGGTGTCGTGATCTTCGCTAATGAATCATTAGTAATGGTAAATTTGCAATACTAATGTCACTGTTTATATTGTTTTCTAATTTAAATGTATAAAAAAATTAATTTTTCTAAATATATTTTTTTATATTAAATTTATTCAGAATTTCATTTTTAACTTGTGGAATTCAGCTTGGAAATAAATACTGAGTCACCTTGTTAGAACTAATTTTATAACTTGACTTGCACTGTCACCAAGAAATTTATTTTTTTGAAAACTACTTGGAATAATTATGAAAAGAATGATAACAATCATTGAATAATTTATAACATATAGCATTATAAGCTGATAATAAAATAAAATCTATTTATTAGGAGATAATGGATATTAATTTTTCATGATGAATGACAATAGCATTCCAATTGTAGAGCCAACTATTGATTATACAAAGGTTTGTATTTTTCTTTGGTAAAAAAATAATAATATCGAAAGATGTTACTCATGCTATTGACAATTATAATTCTAGGTTCCACCAATTCATCCAAAAAGGACTGTTTCATTTATAAATCATTTCATAGTAACTACAGTGTCTTTTTTAAATAAATTTGCCTTAAACTGTGAAGAACGACTTTATGAATTTGAAAATAAATTACAAAAATTAGAGGCAGCTATAATAATACTTGAATCTAGGGTAAGAATATTATAAATATTTACATTATCAGTCGTACAGCTACATATTATAAAAAGTGATCTATTAATTCATTTGAATTCGATAGCTTGCATCGGTACCAGGATTAGATAATAAATCACCAGATACAAAAGACTGCAATCTAGAAGAGCAGGAGACTGTCAATACAGAAAGTAATGAGAAGGTAGACACAATGAAAACTCCAGAAGTAATAAATAATGTTGATGAAATTGATAAAAATGATGAAGAGAAAAATCCAACTCAAGCATCCAATGTTGAACCAATTTCATCACATCCTCTTTATCGTAAATATTTTAAGATGGTTAATGTAGGCGTACCAAAACCAGCTGTAAAAATAAAAATGGCTCAGGAGGGGCTCGATCCATCACTTTTAGAGTAAGTTTTATCCTTTAATTAATCTTATTTAATTATTAATTCAATGAAATGTTTAATAGTTGTTTTTTCTAGTGATCCAGACCAATTGGTACCTAAAGACGAATCCCCAACGGCAGACGGATAATTTGTCGTCAGAACGACTGATGAATAATAAAATCCATGTATTTTTATACAATGCTCTATACTAATGTTAATGTTAATTGAATGTAAATAATATAACAAAAAACAAATAAAATAAGTAAATTAATTTAACGGAATTTATTTTGTTTTTAGGAAATACAATTCAAATCTTAAGTTGATCCTTAAAACTGGATCATTTGACCCTGCAACAAAAAGAAAATATTCGATGTAAAACACTACTATACTGATAAATGCACTGCATGTCATTCAACAAATTTATTTACTTTGAACTAAAGAAAGAATGTATTGAACATAATAATTACATACCTTTCTTTTCTTATCCCCTCCCAGTTCAAAATGCTTGCACCTTTTTAGTGGGATTTGTTTTCGGAATTTGCACTCTGTGCACTCCATTCTTAAAACTATTTTCTTAGTTGTTTTTGCCTAAAAAAATTAACAATATTTAATACAATTCTGATTTTTAGCATAATGTATTGACATTTTAAGATATAAATATTATAACAACTTACTTTCTTCCTGAAGATGGGTTTGGTTTGACCACCAAACCCTTGTTGTTTCCTGTCGTACCGTCGTCTTCCTTGAGCTGCATGCCGCTCTTTACTTTTTTTATATTGAGTGACTTTGTGCGTTTTGTGCACCTTACACTTTTTACAAAAAGTCCTCCTCTGTTTTGGCACGTTCACCTGATAAAAAATATTAACATTATATCATTTCAAAATAACACCAGTAAAAATGTTGAAGGTTATGTTTATGATTTTTTCCTTCAACTTATACATATTGTAGCATTCACTGAAGAATATTCATACTAAATATAAATTTATAGCATCACTAATAATCACATTCATAAAATTTTAATAATTTCTTTGAGATTGTTTAAATAAACATGGATATGATCTAATCTAACATTCATAGAAAATTTACCTACCATCTTGATTGTTTAAAAGAAAGAGACGTGAACGACACAAACGGAAGTGTGCGTTACATGAAGCTTTATACGCATGCGTTGCTGTATAACCTGATATTTTTATTTCTCATTAAAAATTTAATTTTTTTTCTAAAAATATCAACGTTTGCTGGAAAATTCAATATTTTTGGTTGACTAGTTTTTTATTCATTTATTATTCATGCATAACAATGTAAAAATAATTCCTCCATTAATTTAATACTAACATATTAATGAAATGGTCAACGTTATTATACGTAATAATAAATCTATGAAATTTTCCCTAAGTTCATTAATAAAAATGAAAATAAAGTCTGATATTAATCAGATTTAAAATAAAAAAATGATTCATAAGCTTAAAACCTTGCATGGGTAATTGTCTCACATTTCCCGTCAATTCTTGATGCGCCGCAAATTCAGAGCATTTTGAAAACATTGCTCTTTAGTTGCTTGATCGTTCCGCCATCTATACCGGGCAAATGCATAATTGAAGTGATAAGAAACCATTGATAAATAATTACAAATAATAAATCTATCTATATTCATTGATAAAATATAACTAAAATATTAATTTTTTTATAATACTTATTAAAAAAAAAATTTTTTATAAAAAAAATAAGCATACAATTAGCGCCGAAGCACAAGAATTTGAATCGTGTAATTTAATCTCAAACCCAGACTCCTAGTTCACATCACGAACTCTCGAACCCCTCATCTAATAATGAATTAAACTTCATTTATACTAAAAACCTACTTCCACACTATCAAATAGTAATTAAAAATAATTTGCAGATAATAACTAATCTAAGTTTAAAATTTTTTTCTGAATACTAGACGAAAAAAATGATTGACGTTTAGCCAATCAGCGATTTATCGAGTTTCAAACGCGCGCCATCTTCGTTTTTGAACAAAGCTGAGTTACAAGCTACGAGAGTAGGAGTATCGAGAATTGGTGTAGAGAGTTTAATAGTGTATTTGCGGCAATTAAAATCATAATATCGACAAAATACAATCAATTTTATATTAATTATTCACAACATATCTTATTTGACGAATAATTTCATGTATAGACGACAAAGAAAATCGCTTTAGTTTGGGCTTATTTCCCCTCCTCTATCTCTGTCTTTTATCTTATTCTCCCCTAATACAGTCTTTGTCACACTCTTGTTCCCCCACTTTCTTTGCTTCCCCTCTTTTCCCCACTCTCGAGTGTTCGCCTGACGACGCTGCTCTCTCGGGTATTTCGCCGGAAACCAACGCCGCGTGAGGACGCACGCATCTTTCAGTCTGGTCGTGGTTCTCTTTTTACGCGCCTATATTACACGTTCGCGACATTTGCATACTTAAAAATACGTATCTTCACGCACATACCTAATCAATAATGAGTACCAAGGAAAATAACGAGGTAGCCGTCGAAAAGGCAACAGAAAACGACAAGGCGTCCGGGGACGCGAAGTGTGAACTCAAAGGAATCAAGAGGGCGGGCGAGGTAAGTTTTCCATATTTTTTTTACATTTTACATATAATTTACAACCTGCATGTTACAATTTTCCATCATTCTTACCAAACATCCAGTGATACTGTTCATGAACTTTTTTGACGTGAGGTTATTCCATTCATCAAATGGTTTGGTGTCTTGACGGTTTATTATGTCGGCGTTCTGGGGTAGAGAGTACTATGAGGGCGCATGGTGCGGTGAGTTTCAGCAATGGAGTTACGCGGGCAACAGACATGTGGGAGTAGATGCCGGCCGGCATCTTCTATTAGGCTCCATTTTCTCTTACCTCATCGCACATTGACCTGGTGCTCGCATTTCTCTTCATCTTTCTTCGTATTTATTTTTTTCCAATCTCATATCATCTGCAACTCCCTTACTCACTAACAAATACATAAGTACTAGTGACGCCATGAAATCGCGTGGCTTCGGTTGATCACCCCTGTTGTTCATCGTCACAATGCCGTCTATAATTACCAATCCTCTACTCGTTACGCGAAAAATCCAGAAAGATTATTGCAAAAACTCCAAACTACTTTTTTTTTATAGATAAACTAACTTCCTGCATTCTTTGAACGTACGACAAAAATTTTTTAATCAACCATGTGCTTTACACTCATAAAAATAGCTAGGCTTTGATTATTATTATTATCAAATAAAATATTGTGATATTCCTACCTACAAACAATCTACATCTCACGACCTTGTTAATAAACATCATTTGTCCGCCATTTTAATTCAGTTGCTGTCATTATTTTTCTATGTTTCCTAATGTCTCCCGCGCGTTTTTTTCGTTACTCTAAACATGAAAACGAACCTGTCCATTATGGCCGACTCCGAAAACGACTAGGCGTCCGTCTGTCCTTTTCGCGCCTTGCTCTACAATTGATCGATAAATAAATAAAAATCAGGTTAATTATGTCACATTGAATGTAGTGTATTGGAGTATATGTATTTTATTGAGCTTCAGGTCAAAGTTTGCTTATGATAGTAAATAAACAGAAGCAGTGTTTTCATGGAAAAATCTCTAGCCTACAGGAAACGACAACGCCATGTATTATGATGTCGGCGCTTCGCGCGCGTTGGCTTCCTTGTCTGCCAGCCTGCTTACTTGCTTGCCTGCCATTTGCTTCTCACTTGCTCTCCCTCTCTCCCAGTCTTTACGAACTTTCGAGAAAACATCGCGTCGCTTTTTCATGTTATTTCTCGTGATTTCATATAAAAAATAAATAAAACAAATTTTTATCAATATTAATTAGCTACATCAAGCTATTAAATCAAAGCTAGAGTTATTTAATCGTCGCTATGGTTTTAACCAAAACTAAAAAAAAAAAAATCACAAAAGAAGCGTCGGTGTTTTATATCTTTGTCGGTCACGCGCTATCTCTTTTCTCGAGAAGAGATTCGCGATACTTCACGTGGAACGAACGCGGCTTCTCCTGTTCGTCAACCACGCGCGCGCACGATCCGACAAGCAAAAGGCGTCTTTTCCAAGCTAAAGCATACGGGGACATACATCTTTCTCACTCCTTCCTTACTCTTTCATCGTCAAGTTTCTCAATCGTATTTTATGCGATCGATGCCACGTAAAAGGGATGATGTTGAGGGTTATAGGAATGGGGAAAAATAACGCGCGAACACGTTCTAGTTCGATCAAGATTATTCTTTTAGAATTGTTTATGACCTCAATTGCCTGAAGCTAAATTGATGGTACTTTCGAACACTTTTTGTTATTTTATTTTGTTGATTTATTAAATCTTATTGATAACTAACTAATTAGGATAATTATCATTAATTATGATGGTTATCATTATTTTTAATGTTAATTTTTTTTAAGTATTATCAAATTAATCAGAGCATTAATACCTGAAAAGAAAATATTTCTAAAATAATTAATATTTATCTAATTAATTATAACACATTAAAACAAATTAAATAGTAATTATATTACTTAGAGTTTTTTATCAATATATTTTGTTATTGTCTTATTTTTGAATTATGTATTTCATCAAACTGATTTGAAAGTAAATAACTTCAATATTAGCTTAATAATATCATATAGAATTTTTTATAGTGAAAAATTAAATGTAACTAACACCTTATCTTTGACCAATAATTTCGAGTAATTCACTTAAAAATTACTGGTCTAAAAAAATATCATCTACTGTCAAACAAGTGTTAAGCTCTATGTTTATTAATTATTTTTTCTAATTAAGAATTAATATTCGTAATTATAAATAAAATACAATAATTATGATGTTAAGAAAAATCATGATGTTAAGATAAGTTGGGAATGTATCAAGCATACGAGATTTCTATAAATTGTTACATAACATCTTATTTTATTGGTATTGGAGTAATCGGTTTTTCAGGATAAGTTATGTTATTCATATGTATTGTTTCATTTCATAAATGAGACATTAGATATATTCTTATTAACAATAAGTCACATTCAAATGAAAAGCGGGAAGATAGGACAGGTCAGGCTAAATTTAATTTTAGAATTAGCAATATCACTCGCCATATTCGATTTTCTGGTTGACGGAAAATTCTACCCAGTTACGATGATTCTATTAATGCTTTCTCTTCTCTATATTCTTTTCCATTCCAAGGTTTGTTAATGTAATCATGTGTTACTATTGAACTATTTGTTTTTCATACACGTTTCAAGTAACTCTAATGCTTCTAACTTTTCTATGCAGTAGCCAAGTTGATTCACTAAGTTTTGAAAATGATGTTGCAATTAATCAACACATGATCAATTAATGTTTACAGTATGAAATTAATAATCATTTTATAATAATAGACTTGCTATTTTTCATACCTAAGGTTTGTTACAAAACTTGTAAATATTCACATTAATCTATAAGATTAAAAACGTTAGGTTATCTTAGAAGACCTTGTGATTAGTGGTTGATACGTAATCATGTGTTGTTCGAGTTTTTGCCACTTTTAATATATGACGCTACTGTCAGCTACAAAAAATTAATGTTGGCTCATTGTTTATTTTATTATTATTTTTAATGTTATCCTTGGTTAAAAAGATAATCATCTATTCGATTAACATGATCCTTGATCTTGTCCTTGAAGCTTATAACTACTCCATTTAATTATAGATCGAATCCTCGGTGTCAATGGACTTTACTGAACACAAATCATTCAAATTATATGTTATTCATTAATTTTTACTTGCAATCTATTTTGTATGTATATATATTATTTTAGTAAAATTAATTGTACTTTCCATAAGCCCAACTTCCCCTAACATAATTGTTGTATGGTATTCGAACATTCCTACTTCGTCAGCATTGAAACATCTGCCAATCGTTTTCCTTTTTGGTCTTTCAGCTGGTCAGTCGAGTTCATTTTCTCCCCTTTTTCAACAATTAATTTTTAAGTTTACTAAAATAAACGGTTTCCCTCAAAATAATGGTTAAATTGATTTTATTGCTGACTCATTATGTTTTTATTGTGTAGTTTTTTACTTATAATTTATAATAGAAATAAAATCATAAGCTATATTAATACTTTCTATGTATATTATAGGAAAAAGCTGACGAAGTTAAAAAACAAAAAAAAGAAGAAAATGGTGACGGAAATGATGAAGGAGATGAATTTGATGGTGAGGGTGAGGAAGAAGATGATGAAGACCTTCAGGGTGATGACGATGTAGATGAAGATGAAGGTGAAGACGATGTTGAAGGAGAAGAGGACGGTGACGAACATGAAGGTGAGTAAGACTTGATAATTACAATATAAAACATATTAGAAGAAACGATATTCATTGATATAAATTTTTCTACTTAGATGATGAGGATGAAGAAGATGATGTTGACGATGAGAATGAAGATGATGACGCATAATGAAAAAAAAATGAACAAATTGCTATGTAAGTAAGAAGGAGGTAGACAGATAGCGCCATCCTCGATCACCGGCAATCATCTCAGCAAACATTTACTCTCATATTGAGCGGTTGATAGCAAAGTTGACGCCTATCATGCCCAGTCCATTTGTCGGATCCTCCTGATCTTCAACTAAAGGAAAAAAAAAATAAAATAAATTGATACAACTCCGCCAGAGTTGTGTTGGGCTGATATTCGTCAGTGGCAAACGCAACAGGACGATCTTGGCTCTTTGCAACTCTGGTTCTTCTAACCATCAACCAAATACTATTCTGAAAGCGGTTGGGACGGAGAAACAATAAATTCGCTCAAAAAATACAAATAAATAACTCCTATAATATTGGAGTTTTAATAAAAAATTAATGAATTATTATACACATATTGATGATAATCACAGCGAATGTATCGTTTGTTCTGAGCAACCTATCAACTGGTATTTGTCACCATCTGGCTTTCTTCGCGGGGACAGTTTTATAACGAAAACTTATTTAAGAAATGAAAAAAGCTCTATTGTATTTAAATAGTGTAAAATGAACATTTGTGGGTGATGATTTTTTTACATTTAAAATCAAATTACGTTTGTAGGTCGACGAATGTCTTACATAGTGCGCGTGAATGAGTTTTAATTTCAGACCGATGATGTGTAATAGTGTAGCAAGGATGTGAGTCTGATGAACCTTTTTTTTCTTTATATGAAAATAAAGATGATAGGGCGCGATGCGCAATACGTAAACGAAATAATCATAAATCATGAAGTTGAAACAATATTACTTAATTGTTCGATGTATAGTGGACAATTTTGTGACTAATTTTTTTCTTTGTTTCATGCCTTGCGTTATTATACCAACACCCGTTACGATTATTGCAATGTTGTTCGCGCCAGAGAATGAATGAAATATGTGTGGCTCACATTGCATAATAATTATACATAGTATGTATAAAGTTATCAACTAAGAAACATTTTATTATTAACGATATTATGTAACATGAAAAAGATTCTTATTAATCAGACCTGGTTAAGGAGTTGGAGTGTATTACGGCATTTAAACTCTACTCTTCCGTGAATTATATTGAAATATTTAGATTAATTTTCAACCAAGAAATTTTTTTTACTCGGAAATGCAATTTATTTTTTCCTTATTTCTCCTTTATTGTCAACTCACTGTAAGATTTACAATAAATGATCATTTATGTATAATAATTGCAATGCTGGACGAATGAAACTGTATAAAAAATTGGATGGAAAAAAAAATACAAAAAAATATATATACGACGCGCGATCATGAAAGAATTTTACAAGTTTTCTCCCAATTCATAAGTTTTTAATTGGATTACTTAAACTTAATTGTACTAATAAGAAAATAACTGATTTAAATAACAATTATATGTGGGTAAGACACTTCCAAGTTCGTTATTATGAACTTTTGATGCAAATATTCGTTGACTGGTGCAAAATGTGTAACAGTATTTATCTTCTATTCGTGATTCACTTGTGAAAGAAAAAAAATTATCATCTAATCGTTCTATAGTCCCATAACAGTTGGATGGATTTTGTACAAGTTAAGATAATGCAGCCACTATTTACTGAAACGTTAAATAAATGCCTCCACTCTAATATATCGAATATGCGTAACGGTTTTAGTGGCTGGTAATGTCTTCTTATTCTATATGAGTCAGAGTTTAATAGACTAGTTCAAACAAGAAGACATTGGTTCTAATAATCTTGTACCATATAGCTGCGTGAAGAAAAAAACGCCAATTTGAATACGAAACGGTGTTCCACGTTTTAATGTACAAATATTTTCGAAGGAGGGTAGTTAAATAAGATGCTGATAGATTAAAGTAATGGGAAGAAATACGTGGCTCATTGCCACAAGTAGTCATGGGTTTAAGAGATAAAAAAAATTAGATATGGGATTAAATAGTCATTTTTGTTAATTGAGAATCTTGAAAATTTTTCTAAAAATTGAATTGATATTGACACCCTCGATACTCGTTGAATAATTCTCTCTGGTATCTATAAAAAGTTGATAGTGATTTTATGAAAAAATGAACGGGAGGTTAAAATCAGATACCTCATTAATAATAGAAATAAAGACCGTGGATTTTTTGTATTAAATTTCGGCAGCCGATTTCTACCTGTATAAATTATACCATCATTATAATTTTTATTTCCATTGTTACTGATATGGTTATTAAATTAATTGCTGCTGGTGTTTTGTCCACGTGTCTGCTTGACTATAAAATGTCCTGATAATGTTTAGTGGTGAAATATCGCCTTAAACATAATACAGGTGCCTGGATAAGATGAATAAATTGCATCTGTAATATTACTTACATAAATGTTTATTTGTAAACATAGGTTCTACAAATTTATTTGGAGAAATTGAAAAAAAATTGCCTTCTATCACTTTTTTGAAATTAATCGAGCTATTTCAAAAAACAGATGTACAGTGCAAAAGCTTATTTCTTCAATTAAATATCAATGAATCTTATTACACATAATTTCGTTAATTATTCAAAACAATTAATTTTTTCTTATGTTAAGTTAAATAAAACGAACTCATTTTTCATAAAGTACCTAAAAACTGAAGTCGAGAATTAAAAAGAAAACCTAAGCTAAGATTTTTTTGGTTTGTGTGTTCATGAATCTTGTTCAAATAATTTTGTACAGGATTTTATCGCCTCATCTCGCTCGACAAATAATATATATTACAAGAGTCCATATACCACAGATTACATTTCTGCTCATTCCATCAGATTTGCAACATTAATTGTATTTTTGAGTAAATACATTTTGAAAAACAAAATTGATGCATTTATTTCATTCTAATCATATGATTAAATACACATAACATTTCAATTATTTAAGCTAATCAGAAAAATTGTTTTCAAAACCTGAATTTTATGTATACTCTAATTGAAGAACAGGGTAATGTAGAATGAAATAGATATTTATTCTAGAAGTATTAAAAATTACAATGTCCTAATTTTATTTACACAATTCAATAAGCTAAAATTACATGGTTTTTCACAGAGTTTATCAAACGTGATTTAGTAATTAATAATAAGAGTATTAAGACACTTTGTGTCCTTTAATTAATAGTGTGTAATAAAGTTATTTAACAATAAAAAATCAATTAATAATTTACAAAAATACATTTTAATTACAGACATTGTTTAATAATTAGAATTTATTTGCTATAGTTGTTAATTTTCTTATATACAAGTATGATAAATTTTTATCAAAAATAGTATTTCATCATCTCTTAATAGTTGGTTTTCTAATTAATTTCAACAAGAGAATGAGTAATCAAGATAATATTTGTCACAAATTATAGTTATCCATGAGATTAAAATTTGATCTAATCAAATTATCATTGACAATATTATTTAATCAATGATTGGAGTCTAGTTTCTAGAACTATAACTTTCATTTAGAACAATATTTATCAAATTTTCCGTTTCTCGATCACAGATTCTTAATCCTTTCAAACTGCAATAATAAAAAAAAATTCAATAAATAAACTAATAAATAATTTTCATTCTATTGAACATCACAATCGATATAGTTTCGTTCTATACATACCTCAAGTGGATCTGCAAGTGAAAAACTTGCCGAGAAAGTTTCAGATAAACCAGCCAAATCTTCAGAATTCAATTCCTTTAAAACATCTAATGGATTTACGTCAAAGTTAAGGCTATTGCTATTGAAATCCATCGGTGATGGAATATTATCTGAAAATTTAAGATACCATTTTAGTTACGAATTATGAGCAAATAAATAAAATTATAAAAAAAGATAAAGATTAGAATGAAAATGATCTTCCATACCTAATATGTTATTATCAGCCATGGGTTTTTGTATCCTATAAAGTGTTGGCCCTTGATTCTGATTATTTGATTGCTCAATTTGTCTTTGAATAGGAAGTAACGAAATACCAAGTGATGATGATGATGCTGATGGTGGTGGTGGCATTGATCGTCCAGGGTTGGTTGGAATACATTGAGGATTAGGTTGAACAACTGGTTGCTGTGCATTTCTATTCTGGTATTGAGCGAACATATCCTTATTCTGATATTGATTTGATGCATCTCCATTTTGATACTGATTCGATATATCTCTATTTTGGTATTGATGCGATTCCTCTCTATTCTGATATTGATTTGATGTATCTCTACTCTGGTATTGTGATGCCTGATTATTTGCATTATGCCATTTATTACTGTAAAAATGATCAAATGCAATAAATGGTAAAATATACTACAAATTTAATTATTAATTATAAATAAAATTTAAAAACTTACTTTGCATTGTACGTAAAACGAGCAGGAAAAATAGAAGGAACAACATTTCGAAGAGTGAATTCCGGTGCATCTGCTCTATTATTATTCACAACACTTTGTTGATTTAATCGTCTGTCTATCATTTCAATATCTCTTCTACCTACATTATAAAAAAATAATAAAAATAATTTGTTATAATAAAATAAATGCAGTCATTTAATTTTTTAATTAGTATTATATAAAAAAATAATATCAAAACTATTAGAAAAAACTTACTATCTGCTTCAGCTTGCAGTTGTTTGAGCAATTTTATTCTGTAAGGTTCATTTGGTGAAGTCTGGTGTAAGTGAGTTACATTGGTCGTAGCAACCGCATTTGCTCCTTGATTGGGACACATGGACTTACAGCCAGGCTGATTGTAAATCTGTGAGTCCATTACTTCCGATGTATTGTACTTTTGTCGTTTGCGTTTCAGTGAATTTGCTATCTCCTTGCCAACTACAACCACACCAAAAATATTCACATAACTAAACAAAAGATTTTATGGGTTTACATTCATTGTTTAAAATTTTCAGAAATTCACGGTCAGAATATATTCTCATGGCTTACGAAGACGTTTGTCAAGTTAAGCATACCTGTATCAAGTGGTATGAGTGTGAAGGGCATAGGTTCACTTGTGGTACCGTCCAAAGGTCTCCTCAGTTGGATATATACCTGTACAGGATTAGGCACATCTACAATTGGGTACCGAGGAGTTCTAAAAGCAATCGCTGTCTACAACCAATAAAAATTATGATGGGTTATTAACATTATAAAATGATAAATTATAATTGTTTGACATAAATAAATTTAGCTATTACATTTTATTACGTTTAAATTTTTTGTTAATATTTAGAAATGATTCATTGACAATTTCAGAAAATTTTTACTAGTACAGGTGATAATTTGTATTTAAAAATTCTTAAAAATAATATTCTAAATTTTTATTTTACCTGCTTGTGAACGTCGCTTGGAGTAAATACTCCAAAGTCTCGCCAAACCATTTTATCATTCTTCATTTCGAAAAATACTATTTGAATGTTATCCTTGACAACTTTTTCACATAGAAGTATCATTTCCATCCCTCCATCTGTTGGAGCACTGCTGTGACTAAGTTTGCAAATCACCAATTCATTCAAAGTTTCTAAAAATAATTAAAAAAATTCGTTCAATATCAGTCTATTTATTTTTTCAAAATTGCAATAATTTATTTTAAATATTCAATGCAAACTTACTTTTATCATAAACTGGATTTGAAACAACTGGTTTCAATGGGATCTGAAATTTTCCATTTCGCCCTTGGAGAAAGACTTGAAAACATAATCGAACAGCGCTCAAATCAAGTGTTATAGGATTAATATCAAAACCAGCTGAAAAATAAAATAATGAAAATTAGATTTTTAATGACTTCAAGTATTTTAATGAATAAAAAACGTTTTAAAAATAGTACTTTTAAAAGGATCAACGCGTGCTTTTTTCCGTTGCTGTAGAGCTTCTGCAATGTCCTTTTTCTTCACACATTGAATTCCTAAAGTTGGAAAGACTATTGGCTCCTGATCGGTATAACGTTCTACCGTGCAAACCCCTTGACTGCACATTTCTTTAGAAACAATGCTGTGAGGATGAGGCATGTATGGTTCATCTTTTGTTACACATGAAATAACGATCACGGCACGTCCTTCATATCCTACAATCTAAATGAAATAAATGTATAAAATTAATTTCACATTTCATTTAATTAAATAAAAACACGATCGAAAAAGAAGTACTTACTCTGATACTTGGAAATGTTTTCTTCTCAGGTTCACTATTTTCTCCAGGAATACATCCTGTAGAACGTCCTTCGCATTCATATCTAAATCGAATACCTTTATTAGCCGGTTGCTCTAAAATTTCAACGTACGGCATATTATTTTGTTGTTGATGATCCATGATTAAATAATCCGAATTAGACTTCTAATCAACAAGTCAACACAATTATCCACTTATTTGAAAAGAAATCACATAAATGTAAGAATATAACTGTCACTTGTACCAAGTTGATCCTGTCGTTAAGACTCTTATTCCGTTACTGGATTAGGTAGACAAACATTTGCAAAGGTACCCCAATGATTTTCAACGTTTGGTCCTTTGATAGCGGTGGGGAGCAAATTTCTCTTCAGGTCATGCATATACCACACCAATACAACGGTACATGCCGGTACTCTAATGCTCACAGGGTGGGAAAAGGTACTGAGATTATGAAGAGAGGGTAAGGTTCAAAGAGAGTCAGGTCTAATAGTTAGCTATTTTTAACTGTAAAATTTTTGACAAACAATCTCGGTACTATGTTGAAATATTATTCACAAGACTGATATTAAGATGAAAAAAAAATATAAGAATGAAATCACTCAGTTAAATGACTTTTAAAAGAATCAACCGTTTTTTTCTCTGATTTATTTTTACTCACTCTCATATTGGGATATATTTTCTTGTAAACTATTTTCTTCAGAAATAAATTTTACACCAAATTCATCATAGTAGTACTTAAGTCGATGCAAGTACTCTGCTGGTTGTTCTATTATTTCAACGTATGGAAACATTTTTTCTTGAATATTCATACTTTTTCTTTAATATAACCGTAATCACCAACCAAACGTATACACATGAATAGTTATTTGATAGATTTGAATTTTTCTTTTGAAATCATAGGCACATGAGTATAATTTTTACCTTCTTACTTTTCTAATAAAAATGAGCAAAATGAGATTTAATGGACTATTTAGATTTGAAAACTGCATGATGGTAGGGAGATTTTGAGTTGAATACACGCTTGGGTATTTATACGAAATTTAAAGTATATATTTATTTACTATCAAAAGATTTCGAATATACATATAAATATACGTAGGTTTATTTTTACATCAATACTGTGTACGTATTGCTTCAAGACCAAATGACCATGTTTTATAAGCTAATCCTTATGATATTTATGTTTAAAATATTATTAAACTAATGAAACTTAACAATTATAATCTACAAATTTATTAATTATATAGAGAATTAATTTCGGAGTAAACAATTTATATTACATTTTTTCTTATTATTAAGGTACTTATTGTATCACACTCTTAGTTTATAGGAATTTACTTCAAATGTATCAAGTATATGAGATTTTTGAGTATTTTTTTTCCATTAAATACATTGATGATATTTTATTACGTTATTAAATTGTCTAGCCATTTTTAATTATTATTATTATTAAATACATAGATATTAAAAAATATTTTTAAAATAATTTATTACACAACCGTGAATAATGTTTAAGATTTAAAAGCTTATAACAATAAAAATAAACACAGTTATATTTAAAATATGTAAAATGTGCAATTAATATTTATAAATTGTACTATTTTGTTGTACAAATTAAATATGAGAATAAAACAATGAGCATTGAACGTTAAAAAATATAACGCCTAGAAAGGTTTTCTATTACATTAATTCATACATTTATGAAAAACATAAGCTAATTTCATAATTAGCTGAAAAAATAATTGTTTGAAATGTTCAATTTTAGCAATAAGTTTTGAAATTTATTTATTTATTTCTTATTATTATCCTGTCATTCTTAAGTTCTAATAGATCATCCTTTGTAATGATGATTTTTTTGCAATTCGTTCATATTTCCTTCATTGGATTATATAAACTATTAAGTGTGCACAATTCTTGAATTGTAGTATTTGTCAATCGAGTAAAACTATCTGTCATGCTGGTACCTTCACCGGCATTATTGGCTGTTGAATTTTGTGCTGTCTCCTTAGCTTGTGCCTGATAAAAGTTCAGTGGTTATCAAATTATTTATTAAAAAAATTTTCAATTATTTTATATACCTTATTAGAGTCTGATATAGACAGTCCGCTAGAAAAATTCTCAGATAAAGCATTTCCTAAAACTGCCAGATCTGCAGAGTTGAGTGGATTCAAACTGTCTAACTGATTCATATCAAAGCTGTATTGATTGCTATCTAAGTCAAGTACGCTACTGGCACCTATATTTGAAAAAAAAACATACATATTTATTTCAACTCTAAATTACAAAAAAATGTCAATGTTGTAATAGTAATTTTACCTAAATTTTCATGAAATCCTAAATCTTGCTGAGGTTCTGGAGTAATTCTATTTAAAACTAGTGGCTGATTGTCATACATCAGTTGAGGTTGAAGATTTGGACTCAAATGTCCAGGTGATTGATATGGAACAGTGAGGTTCTGCTGAGGTTGTAGATTCGGCATATTATTATAAGACATGCAGTCTAGTGGAGATGGTGTCCGATGAGGAGAATTAATTGGCCTAAAAGAATCATATAACAATCAATCTCAATTTATATCAAATTTCTATATAAATCTTTTCAAAGATTTTTTAAACTCAATGCTTCATAATTTTACTGAGAAAGAAGAAACATATACCTCAAAGTCTGTACGTTGGAAGGTGATAGAGGAGATGCAACTGGAATATGATACATTGGAGAAGATCCTCCATGCGGGATGTTATTGGAATACAACATTGAATCCATTGGCTCAGGTTTCACGTTGAAATTATATGGTAAAGATGAATTGAATGCTACATGCCCTGCTGTAATTTATAAAATAATTAATACATGTTATTTTATTAAAGTAAACTTTTAGATCAATTTACAAATCATAAGCTTTTATTAGGAAGGCTATGATTGAAAGAAAATTGATATGAGCATATAAAATGGAGAAAAGACAATCATTAAAGCATATGTTAATCAAGCTGGTAAACATTGTAAGGTGTTTATATGATTGAAAGAATAAACTGAAATGAAAATTTTTTTATATGATAAATAAAGATCATTCATGCATATTAATAGTTTGTTTCAACTACCTTTTGTTAACTAACTCTTTTAAGACAACAAAAAAATTTTTTTTTAATAAATCAACAATTCTAACAAAATCTATACACGTCACGCAATAATATCAAATTATTGATTATGTTTACCTGTTTATCTATCTGTTTTCACAATCGAGCTCTGAAAAAATATTCAAGGTACGATGTATGACGTGTTTTCAATGAATAGAATTCTCACGATTTTATCTAGTTATATTTATATATGTATATGTATTTTATATTTTATATTTCAGTATCAATGTATTTATATAATCAATACAAATATTGCAACATAACCATTTTTGTTTGAAAGCTCATCGTTCCGCTTAAAAATTACATTATATCGCACAAATATTGCACAACATTATGTTTTTATATTCTTTCACATCCCGTATCAGAAATTCTCCATTAATTATTTATTAAATTGACATATAATTATTTTCTATTTTACACCTTGTTTAAATTGATATACGGCATTCAACAATTATTTATGATTTTAATAAATTTGAAATTTTTGTCAGAAAAATATCAAAGGAGTTCATTTTATCCTTTTTTCAATTATTAAAACAATGCCTATCAAACAATAATTTTATATTCGTATCAAATATAGTATTCGTTTCATTTCTGTTACATTAAAGGCCACTGCTGTGTTTTTAGCAAAATACAAATCTGGAAATATATCCATAATAGTTTATATTTCTATTATAAAATGCATTTCGTAAAAAAGTACAAAATACAAAAATCAAGTCGCTTCCTTCAAGTACAATAATTATTATGATTGAGCCATTTTTTTTCTCAACAATAAAATTCATTATAAAAATCATTTAACAACCTTTTTCCAGTTATATTTACAAGTACAAGAAAAAAATAGACATTAAAAGTTTAAACTTTTAATGATCAATAAAAGAAGAAATTTGTTAGTATACATTATGTGTATAATACAATTGAGAATCATAATTAATTGTCAACTTTTAAATAAATACTTATAAAAGTTTTAACAAAAATTATTTATATTAAAAAATTGTAACTTTTGCAACAAAATTGTTGGATAAAATGATTATATTTTTATGAATCAATTGATAATTATGACTCTCATGTAAAACAAAATTTACAATATAATAATGATAAAATGAAAATCCCATTTCCCACAATATCCAGTATTCCAGTCCCAAGCAAGCAACAAGAATTTTTTTTTTATCATGAAGTAGTAATTCATTTTCCATTTTTTTACACATTTAAAATACTTACATTTTTCCGCCTCGACTTGTATATGTCGTAGGACAAGTGAACTTGGACTGTTATTAAACTTTTGCCTCTTTCGTTTTAAGGAGTCAGGATCATCTACGAATGTATTGATTACATTGATTAATACAGTCATTGTGTTGCTCGTAACAATAATGGCCAGTAATGTACTGTAGCTTGACAGGATAGAAATATTTTATATGAAATTTAAAAGACTATTTAACCACAATAAAATATACAATTTTTAAATGTATATAAAAAATGCAGGGTATTGCAAATATCTCTTTACATGGAAAGATTCAATTTACGTGAGTAAAACAAGCACTTTGGTGCATGACTAGATGTATCAGAATTGAAGTAATTACTCCTTAAAATTTAAACATCCAAAAAATGACTAGTACAATTTTGTAGTAAAATTAAATTTCCATTGTCAAAGTTTTTTTACGAGACAAGAATAAATTGTCATCGATAAAGATTAAAAAGTACAATTATTGAGAAAAATCTACTCTTACAACGACGACTGCTGTTTATCAGATAAACACCAAAATCACTATGACTTGGTCAAGAGTGATTATCATCACGAATAAAATGTTTTGAGCATAGACCTTATTCAAGATCAAAATCACACTATTATCGATTTTCATTTTCTTAAGAAAATAATTATAACCAACATACTGATTTGCATTTATAAAATTTTTTTTCATTTTGTTTCTGTCAAAATTTTTCCTCCTTCAACTGGACTATAATAAAATGATAATTCATCAAATTCGGAGGCAGTAGCGTGAGGTGCCATACTAGTGTATAAAGCGTAATGTTCAGCTTCAGTTAATTCAATTCCGTAAGGTGGCGATTCATCGCCATTTAGATCAAAAGATTTTACTGAAGCAATACTAGCAACACTTGGCCTAGGTAACTCAGAATTATCAGGATAATCTGGCAACTCGTTTTTCATTGATGATATACTGTTACGATTATTTAATGAAACATCACTATTTTTAAGCCCTTCTAAAGACAGATCTTTATCTTTTTTATTTTTCTTAGCAAATAATTTTGAAAATAAGCTTTGTTTTGGTGACTTTGTAAGAGTTCCTGGGAGTGATGGCAAGTTTTTATTTGGTGCTTCAGAAATATTTTCTGCTGTATTAACAGCCTGTATTGAAGATGATCGTGGTAAAACAGGCATTGACGACATTTTTCGAATTCTTTTTGGAGGCAACGGGGGCATTTTTTCCTCATACGCTCTTGTCACGTCTCTTTTAGCGGTAAGAGGCGGAGGAGGCAAAGGAGGAGCACTTGTTTCTCGACTTGGAATAGCTACATCTTCGTACTTTCTCTCATCTTGAATATCATCGAGAAATTTAATTGGATTCTTCATTGCCATTTGTAGACTTGTATACGTTTGATTATCACAAACGTCTATGTCCATGAAAGTTTTATTTGGATCCTCCAAATTTTCTTGAAACATTTTTGTATGTGTATCAGCATATATTTGATCAAGTTCTGCTACTTGAGTCAATAAATCGTCGAAAGATTTATTTTCATCTTCTTCATTTTTTAGCTCAACATTAGTCATCTTTCCATCATTAAAACATTCTTGATTTTTCTGGACCCACTTGCCAACCTCCGAGTAGTCAAACCAGTCAGTTCTGTCTTTTGGCAACGTTTGCACATCCGGATTGTTTGCATTCTCTATCTCTAGATTCATTTTCGGAGTACTAAAGTCATTCATTGAAACATTTCTCAAATTATCTTGAGCATTTTCAGGTTTTTCTTGGGAAATACCTTCGTTATTAATATTTTTTAGAACATTATTTGACTCAGAATGATTAGTTTTCAAAATATCACCAACATTCTGAGTGCCAGTAACATTTTTCACCTGATATAACTCATTAAGAACACGCAATGCTGATATTTTATCACGTGCAACATTTATGTTGAGATCATTATTATTATTGTATTCATCAATATTACGCGTGAATTTTTGATTAGAATTAGAGAGCATTGCTGCTTCAGTAGCAATAATTTTATTAAAAGTATGAGGATCAGCCTTCTTTTTATTTAAGGCTTTGCGAAGTGACCAGAACGCGGGCCTACCTGAACCTAATGGTAACATCTGAAACGGTAACGCATCACTCGTTGCATTATCCGAAGGCCTCTTCAGTTGTATGTACACTTGAACCGGTTGATCCACTTGCTGAATGCGATATGTTGGTGTCCTAAATGCAATTGCAACCTGAAAAAATTTCAATTATCGGTAATTTCACATATTATGTAATTCTTAAAATAATGCTAAAATATCTAAAAATTATGTAGTTTCTTAAAAAATGGAATTTTGAACTACGAAGAGAAGATTAGTTTTATCTAAAAGTGTATTTATCAGTGCTTCTTTAATATTTGTTCAGTTCTGTTCAAATTTTTATGAGCATACAGATATGCAATACATTTACTCCAAAAATCAATAGTCTTTTTTGAAAAAATAAGCGTTTAAATATATGATGGAAATAATCAAAAAAGTGCTATTAAAACTATGATTTATTTTAACATTTGATAGTATACCTGTTTATGAACATGGGATGGTTGAAAATCTCCAAATCCTTCCCAAACGACTTGTCCATCACGTTCTTCGAAAAATCTCACTTGGATATCTTCTTTAGCAACTTTCTCGCATAGAAGTATCATTTCCATACCACCAGCAACCGAAGCACTATAATGACTGAGTTTGCATATCACTAAATCTGACATGGCCTCTGAAATATTTATATTATATTTTTAATAAATCTTCCAATAATTTTATTAATATAAAATTTCATCAAATACTTTCAATAAAGTTATGATTCAATTAAACGTGACTCTTTCATCATCACAAACTAAATTTTTACTATTTAGTAAAAATAGTTTTATCTGTGAAAATGATGAAGTTAAATATTCTAAATGTCTTCGTAATGATCGTGTGTATGTACAACGCTTCATTTCATTTTACAAATTATATGAAGTAAGATTCTTCCAAGAAGCCATTTAGCTATTCAAATAAACAACGTACTTTTATCATATATTGGATCTGACACAACTGGCGACAGTGGTACGGTAAATTTGCCTTTTTCAGTTCCCTCAAGAAATACTTGGAAGCACAACCTGACGGAATTCAAGTCAATACTCGCCGGTTGTCTCTTATGATCGAAACCAGCTGTACAAAAATGATAATATCATATTTAATACTAATGAGAATAATCGTTATAAATAAATTATTTATTCATTATTATGAAAAGACTCATACTTCGAAAAGGGTCAACTCGAATATCTTCCCTAATTCTAAGTGCTTCTTCAATGTCTTTTTTCTTTACACACTGGATTCCCAAGTTAGCAAAAGTTACTGTCATGTTTTCTGATGATATTTCTACTGTGCAAACACCTTTCCTGCAAGCTTCTTTACCCACAAGATTATGGGGATGAGGTCTGTATGGTGAATCTTTCGTTACACATGACACAACTACCACTGCTCGTCCTTTATATCCTACAATCTGAATGAATACCAGGACATTAATATTGAGTAACTAATTATATTAAACTTAAACATAACTTATAGTACAAAAATGTTTGGAACTAATAATGAAAAATTAAATTGAATAAAATCTTACTCTTATACTAGGAAATGTTTTATTTTCAGGTGTGCTATTGACCCCGGGTATACTGCCAGCAGAACGGCCTTCACATTCATATCTAAATCGAAGAGCTTTACTTGCTGGTTGTTCTACAATTTCTACATAAGGTCCAACTCTTCCAGTGTTTACTGCCACTGGTTTGATAGTTTCTACTCCACCACCAGACAACATATTTAAAGCTTGATTTTGACATCTGGTACCTTCCACAAATTCAGGATCTGTTGTTTGAATCACTTCAACTGCAAGAAACAATTGCATTTATTATTAATTATAATAATATTCAGTCATTGATTAAATAGTCAAAAATTAATTGATTGAAATGATACTTACTAACATCACTTATATTAATATTGTCATTCATATCATGATACTGATCCATGCCTTTTTTTAGACGTTGAAGTGTTGAAACATCTGGAACAATTTAACCTGGAATATTAGTCTAATATTATGATATTTTTTTTAGAAATAAAATTATTGAATGGTGTATATAAATGAAAGATATATCGTGAAGTTTATTTACTGAAGGTAAAAAAAGATGTGCTCCAGAAGATGTGTGAGAGTAAAAGGAAAAAAGGAAGATAGAGAAGCACCAAAGGGTGATCCAATCATTATTTTGGGCGAGCCTAGGTCTGTCCTGCTCTGGCTATAATTAAACTATTGCTTAGGACAATGCAAAGCGGGGCACTTGCCTGTTTTAAACTCATAGTGAATATATCCACACGCTTCTTCACTCGTTCCTGAAGATGTACTATGTTCTCTGTAATATACCAGAGATGTTTAGACAATCAATTAGACAATTCAGCACCAGATGAACTCTTAGTTCAATATTTAACAGTATATACACTAGATTTGATAGTCATCACAGAACTTTTTTAATTTTTTCTAAGAATAAGATTCTCAAAAAAGTTTCTTCTGATAATCAATTTAATTAATTGAACAAAAAATTTATTTATCACTTTTCACTTAATTTTGATGATATCGTTCAGTAACATATTACGCAGTTGATGCTGTTATTTGACAATTGGTTAGTGATGATTTCATTTTAATAAAAAAATTGAGGGAATCTTTATATACTTGTGGTGGAGCATGCACACGATTGAAAACACGCGACAACCTCACGAAGTCTGTTATTTCTTGCGAATGCTCTGGTGAGCATGAAACACCACACGACAACGAAGAGTAGAATTCGTGACTATTAACACGGATGCGCAAGCGCACCTTAGCCACCTTGTTCTCTTCTCTCGACACATGCCCGTACCACACACAGCTGTGAAACTCTAGATTTATTTTCGGTCCACATACAGCACATTTGCGAATCACTTGATACACATATCCAACTACTGCGTATATTTGAAGGATTTGGATTTTAAATTGAATGTTTCTTACTTGAGAAATTGTACTTTTTACATCATAAATAGAGAGCAAGAAAAGGAAAAAAGATGATTTAGTATGAAGTGAAAACAGGCACTGGTTTAATGCGTTGTACATTTGATGCTTATTGGCTGTTAAAAAAATCACGTGGTATTTTTTTCAAGGTCGTACAATTTTCACTGTATATAAAACGTTTGAATGGACTCAAAGAATCGAATTGTAAATAAATTCTCATTCATCACAATTACTTGATAGAGATCGTAATAGATATCTCTTGATTTTAAAATCATAATTTATACATCATCTACATATGATCAAGGAGCAACGCTAACTTTCAGAGTTTTAATTAACATTAGGAAGAATTGATAAATATTTCAGCAAGTCATTGGTTTTAATGGATCGTACAAGTATCTATAATTTACTTTGTATTTATTTATCAATTAAATAATTGTTTTTTAATTAGTATTTTGTATGAATGATCCGAGCAAATTTAAACAATTATGAACATAGTAACGAATATTGGTTATATAGTTTATATTTTTTCAGGATTCGAGAGAAATTGAATAACTTGAAAACATGGTAAATAAATTTAAACAAAAGTTAAAATTGTATGAATGAAACAAAATATAAAAAATCAACTAATTAACCTTGGCTCTTGAAATTGAAAGTAAAAAAAATATTTGCTTATTCACTGGCGTTTGTTTGCGTAATCCAGTATTTTGTTTCCATGACGAAATGTGTACAAACAATTTGTAGATGATCTCGTAAAGTAATTTTTCGTAAAAGAGTGAATACAGAATGCAACAAGAGACAGTAGTTGATACAAAAAGCTCTAACACGACCCGGCTGGTACAGCTGAATAAGTTCAAGAAGGGTGTAACAGCATTAAGCAGCAGTGGAGAAAAGAGCTTGGTGAAATGTATCAACCGTAAGCCCCAAGTACCAACGAAATGTCAAAGGAAACCATATATACGAGAACCATGTACAAGATTTGCTGCTAAACCTTTCTCAAAGTCTGCTAAAGTTTTCAAGCCAAAAAATAATTATTTTCAAGTGTCATCATATCAACCAGCTTTTGAAGTTCCCAACACTTCTTCATGTAGAAAAAGTTTGTCGATGATAGAATTATCTCCTGGTACTCATAGTAATAACGTTGATAACAGGTATTTAAGAAAATGATTTATTAAGTAGTTAAAGCATATAAATTACTTGCAAAAATTAACAGCATTGTGACAACGATTGAATAATATAAAAAAATAATTTAAAACAATATTAATATTCTTTATTAACTTAAAAATGAATACTGATTAATTTCTTTAGTATATTATGGTATAAAAACGGCTAAGTTGAAACATAGTCTATAATTCATCACATTACATCATTAAACATTAACAATAAAGAAAATAATGTACTGCTTTCTAGTTGTAAAGACAGCTATACAGTTTATTTGACATAAAAATTACAATCAACATGTGCTACCTCTTTGCAACGGTAATAATTAATCATCTAGTTGAAGTTTTATGAAAGTAGAATCCTGTAAATGATTAAAAAATTTTCAATGGTAATTTTACATACTATTTTAATGTTCATATTCATTTTGAGTGGTTGGGTCATTCAGAAGATCCAAGTATCTATGTATAAAAAAAAAGAGAGTAAAATAATAGTGAAGGATAGGCTGTAAAGATGAATGTGGCAGAAGTTTTGCTCGCCAAGTGTCGACGATTTTTCGTAACCCCATCTTCTGAACAGCAGCTTCGGTCTTTTGCAGTGGTTTATAAATAGGCATATTAAATACGTTTCAGCAAATGAGACAAGAGTCCTCGGGGTAACGTCGTATTTACTTTGTTTTCTTGACTTCAAAGCCCGTCACACGCACTTTACACACTATGAAACATCACTCAGAGATAGATACACAATAGAAAATGATCATTATAAGCTTTGCTGATAATTATTCTTCTTGACACTGACTGATTTCTTTATTAAATGGATTATGTAAAAATTAATATTATATATATATTGATTGAGGTCTTTATTGATTTTATTATGCTTGCATGAACAATTATTATAAGCCATGACTAATCTTCATTCAAAATCTATACTATGACTTCAACATTACTTTTGTTCGATTTTAATTAATGTCAAGGTCAAAACGAAGTTTAATGCTGATGGGTCAAGGTATACCTAAGATTCCGTGTTCAACTACTAAATCCACTGGTGGTGCGAATCATGATCAAGAGCATGAGGATGTATCAAAAAAAGCTTCACATTTGGTCTGTCATGTTTTAATATTAAATGCTTGGAGAAGAAGACGAGAAGAAGTTGTAGAGCTTCAGGGTATTATTGAGAAGTCTGATCAACAGATTGATCATCTGCAGTTGCAGATTGTCGTGTTGAGAAAGCTCTTGGACACCGAGAATAGCCGAGTTGGTAAACTTGGCGCAGAAGTTCATCGTGCTAAAACACAACTGGATGGTGTTATAAAAGAAAAAGAGACGATTCACGAAGTAATTTCAATATTCTATTATTTTACTTTATATTTTTAAGAGATTGCTGGCTATTAATTAAATTAAGTTGGATTTATTTTTTTAATAATCATTGCAAAATTTTTTTCCAATAAAAAAGGAAATAATAAAATAAAATAATTCCACTTGAAATAAATGAAATCTCCATGACTATATATGATTATGCATTGTCTGTTGTAAAAATGTTCTTGGAGTGAATATAACATTTTTTTTTAAAATTAAGTTAAATATATACCCTCACTGAGAATACTTAAACATGTGTTTTTAATAGCATTATTTTGATGAAAATTTGGGTGGTTAAGTCCTCTTTTGTATATGAAAGAACGAGCAAATGACTTTACTTAATGCTCTAGTTAGATACTCATTTTATTTTACTTATTCCAAGCAATTGAATTTCAACAAATTTCTTGTATTAAAAGCATTATAATTATACTGAATATTCATCTTTTGTCTTTCAGGAAAAAAAGAAATTAGAAAATGAATTTGAATTGTTGAAACAATTATCAGAAGAGCGTAGAATAGCTGTAGAAAATTTAAAGAATGATCTATTTTCAACAAAGAGTCAACTGGAAGCTCTGGATTCTCAGATGGCCAAAGAAAGAGAAAAAATTCTGAAGCTTCGAGAAGATAAAAAAATTCTACTTGAAAAGGTACATTAAGAGATTGATAAAAAATATGATTGTTTTCTATCGTTATTTATGATGATTGATGCATTCATGCTGCAAAAAAAGAAATGAGAACTACGATAGATAGCAAACGACATCGATGGTCGACCTATATTTTCTGCCGTCAGAATTGATTAACAACATTGTAGTAAAGGGTGAGTCATATCAGTGGTTGGTAGAGACGAAGCAAGGCCTAGACTTAGAGGGAGGTTTCTAGGAGGTTTCCGCGAAGTGGTGATTCAGAGTTTCAATGTTTATCAAACTTCTAGGATCTAGGATACTCGCCCACGTATGCGAAAACTTGGCGTAATTTTTCTTCGAAGTTATCTGTCATTCCAGGTCATCAATTTCTTCCAGTATCAATTAAAGAAAGCATTTCATTGCCAGAAGTAATAAAAATGACAATAAAAATTAATATAAATAATTCAGATAAAGCTTATATCGTGTGGAAACAGTCGTTATTGAGTAATTCGCCCGGAAGGATATGGAATACCTACACGAAAGGGCAATGCATCGTTTTGCTGTTAGGTCAACGTACTCATGCCACTCATGGACATAACTAAGGGATGATTCATGCAGCAATATTTTGAATGGTGACTCAAAGTCGCATAGTGGCAGTTTTGCTATACTAGATACTAAGGTTGCGCGCGTCCTTAAATACCAGTTTTACAAGTTTTCTTATTAAAATAATTGGATTACTGACCTTTTTTATACATTCTCGAACATGATTCATGCTTCATGATTGCATGATAATTTGACACCTTTCGTATTACTTTCTACTTGAAAAAGGGGTTCTTCATCCTTTTGCAAACAACCTGATGTTTCATACAAAATTGATTTTTCAAATTTAGCAAAATTTACATCTCCTTAAGAATAAAATTTTCTGAAACAATTACACAATGAATAAAAATGTGATGACTTTTCTTTATTTTATTTTGTCACAATATTCGTGATTGAATTACTTGCTGATTTAAGAAAAAAGAAAATTTTTTATCAAGTTTTATATTTAAAATATCAATATTTTCTTAGAGTTAAAAAAATTGTATTAAATCTACATGAAAATAATTAAAAATTAAAAATGAAAGATTGTTATTATTATATTAAGTTTCTTCTATTAATATTCATCTCACTGTTAATTAAGGTGTTTGCAAATGAAGCCCTGGCTAAAGAACGTGGTGAACGAGCACGAGCAGCAGAGAAAACAGTTGAAGAATTGCAGGATAAACTTAGTATCCATCAGGGAATTATTGAGAGCTTACAAGAAGATAATCTTTTGCTCAACAAGTAACCTTTTTAATAAAACAACTAAAAATCTTTCTGTTTTAATGATGAATATTTAACTTATGAATAAATTAATTTTTTAAAAGAACAATAACGGATTCAGAAACGGAAAAAATGGAACTTACACAACAGTTGTTAAGTAGTGCAGAGATTGAAAAAAATTTAAACGACAAAATAATTCATCTTGAAATACAGCTAAGCGATCGTGAAACTGCTCTTCGACGTTTTGAATCAATTTACAATTCCCAGTTGTAGGTTTATCTCTAATTTTCAATAATTCTACTTAATCTGATAATCAATTATTCAAACATAATGGTAAACGAGGATTGATTATTGGAATCCAAATATAAAACTATTTTAATTTATGATTATTCGAGTAACAATTTTTATTTTTAATGTTTATCTATAAAATTAAAAAGTAATTAATTAGTTAATAAATTTTTTTTATATAGAATTGAACTCAAAGAAATAAAAGAAAAAATCATAAGACAAAGTGAAGAAATGGGATGGAGCAGCAAATTTTTACAGATTGCAGGAAATATTGTAAGAGTTCCTAGAGCTATCTTACGTACACTTTCATTCTTGGCAGTAGGTGGAATTTCTTCACACCCTTAAATACAAAACTGGGTTATTCATTCTATGATGAAAATTATGAATTGCCACTTCACTCTATTCAAATAAAAATTTCAAATGGAGAAAAATTTATAATTCAGGAACAACCTCAAGAGTATTCCAAAGAATTTAAGTGAAATATTTAATGTCGATTGAAAATTTCATATGTATGCATTTGTATTTTATGACTCGTGAAAAACGTGAGACGATAAAGAAGTAGTAAAGCTCTAGAACGAAAAAAAAAAAGCACTAATGCAACTGAAATATTTTTAAACATATATGGAATTATAAAGTATCATAAATCAATATAACAAAATGTTTTGATTAATATTGGATAAAACTTTTTTTTATTTTTTTTTTTTTTTACTAGACTTATATACGAATCATCTATGTAACTGTTACATGGAATGTGGCGAATAAATATATAATTTGATATAAAAAATTTCTCATAATTTTTTACATGAATGCGTATATTCTACGAATTAAAAGATAACATACTTCAGTTTAAAAATTCTGTTTTAATTATGACAAGTTCTACGATGTTATAGAAGGTGTTAACAGTCGTTAATAGTCAATTACTTATATAAATAATTTAGATTCATTTTATCAAACAAAAATTTCAAAACATTATCTAATATTATGCTATTATATAATGTGGTAATATTAATATGACTACTTTTTGAATCACTTAAGAACACAAAGTAGTATCATGATCAAAAGAATATATCTATATTAATCCAACAATTAACTTTATGAGTTTAAAAATAAACTTTTAACATCGAAAAGCATGAGAGCTACACAAGATCATTCTAATAATTCTATCAATAACTATCATTGATTATTTAAACACATTTGTTTAATAAGAATTGTGTATTCAAATATTATCTAGTAGGTATTTTGAATTTTTGTATTGTTTTCTATTAGTACCAAGTACTGAACAGCCATTATTTGATGATATATTAACGTTTTTATCAGCCCGATGTTTGATTGTAACGCTAATATAAGTACAAGTTATTCTAAATTTTAATTTACTTACAAGGTGTATTATACAGCCTTTAAAGCTATTAGAAAATTGTGCTTTTGATGATTCTTATATTTTAAAAAAATGAATTACGAGTTTAATTTCTACGAAAGATGACACGCGTTATCAGTAAAAAGTTACGAGTATTCAAGAAGTGTTCTTCCAACCCTACACGTACATACTAATTAACAAAGTTTTTACACAATATTTTTTTTTCCAAGTTTGTAATCTACAAAACATTCTATCATAGTCTATTTTAATGACGTCACTTATATTTTTCACTTTTATAGGGCACGAAATGCCCGCTGGAGAAAAACGTAAAAAAATATGAGAACAACAACCATTCGTCATACAGACAGTAATATTATTTTTTTATATTGCTATATGCATTCACAGAAGCATGAATAACATGAAAATGAAAGCATTGAAATCAGCTATAAACATTATAACTGAGATATTTTCTTAAAATATGGATAAAGTGATAATGTGTAATATTCTCTAGTTGTTTATTTAGTTTCTTTTCATTCAATTATTTTTCTTCATAATAGTAGTCTAAAATCATATAAAAGAGGAAAGAAAATTCCATTAACTGAAAATTACTCTCATTTATTATAGTCTACGTTATGAATATTGAATAATTACAGTGCACAAAAGCTCTTTGATGGTCAAATTCTATTACACAGAGATAATTTTATTGTGTTGTGGTATTATAAAAAATGTTTTTTCAATTTTCATTTATTATGATTGTTAATTATTTCAAAATAATTAAATGGATTACTAATACATATTAAATAGATTATTACTAATAATATTATTGATACAAGAATAATACTTAAATAACACAATACGATTTATTGGAATAAATTATAAACAATCCGAAAATTATAAAAAAAATTTATAAAATAGTATATCGATAATACAAAAGCTGATTTCAAGTACACTCATATTCATGATTGATAATACTGTAACATGACATAATAATTTGTTATTAAATTACACTACGCAATTTTTCTAACAACTATCTATCTTAAAATTGTCTTTATATTTATTGCAAAATTGACTGAGTGAAACGAGTCGATAAAAAAACAGCAAAAAATTCATACTCGTTTCAGATGAGAAAAAATCACAATAAGCTAGTGAATATTGCAATTTTCAGAAGAAAATTATCAATACTAATCTCTCGAGTAGTTAGTTGCACATCCCATGTGTAAAATATCATTGAACCATTTTTTCTAATTTCAAGAAGGTTGAACGAGATTATTTTTTTATTTATAACATTCTTGATATTTTGACTAGTATCCTATTGAGTTAAGTATTTCACAAGTTTGCACTGCTTGATAATCAACAATAGACTAGAATGTTTAGTTTTATTTCAGTGATTAGTTAAATTCTTTTAAATCATACCGAAACCTTCTGTTCCTTCACTAATGGCCAGCAAGAGAGCACGTTCGAAGTGATCATAACACTCATAGTCGGGTAGACAAAGCTGGTTAAAGCTAGAATGACAAATAAATGAATTCATTATACAATCTAAAATATTACTTTGAATAATTTTAATACTGTGAATAATTTTTAAACTTTATACCAGGTATGAGCAGTAGGAAGGTTGGCAAAAGTCGGTGCCGCGGTGATTTGAAAGCGCGGACTTAATTGCTGAAAACCCCCTGGTGGTAGTTGTGAACAGCCTGTAGTAAATTGGAGCAATCTGGCCATTTCCTCTTGTGTAAAGTTGCTAATTGCAGTCCAGAACCAGTCAAGAACACGAAGGAACTCAGGTGAACTACCATTCACAACGTGATGAGCACGAAGATCTGCTACACTATATTCGCCAGTTCCACACAACAAGAGCTAGAACAAGAGGAAATGTATTTTAGTAAATATTTAACATGTTTAATGCTTAGTATTTTAGTCAAATGTGCACGATTAATAATAAAAAATTACCTCCAATTCATTTTCATCAAATATTCCAAGTAAATTATCAGGAATGAGTTCATTTAATCCACGCAAAAAGGAATCAACCTCATTTCTGATTGAGCTAGCTAGTCGATGCTGTGCTAAAGCATCAAGATATCGTAATTTCGTATCATTTGTAACTCGAATTTTACTTCCACCAGGTATCAGCTCAGCAACTTTTATTAATTGCCCATCTTTATCGTATTCCTCTTCAACAAAGTAAAGCTCCATTTCCTCTACGTCATTCTCCAAAATGTATTTAACTTTGCTCAAATATAAATCCGGGTCATCTTGCTCGAAATACTGTTATTTAATTAAAAGTGGTTTAATTAAATTTTATATGTTTTTCTATAGCTGAGAATATATATGATGAGTTTTGAGATATATGCGTACCTTATAATGAACTCTAAGACCAATTATTTGTGCGAGGAATGAGCGAGTAAATCTCGCTCTAACGAGTTGACGGTATGAACCACCTAAGGCTGATTCATAAAGACATTTACCTACTATTCTCCCAGCAAACTCATAATGTTTAAGCTTCAGGTTTGGAGGTCTTTTACTATTGGGATGTACTAAGGCTTGCTGAGATTCTCCGAATGATGCAAATAATCCATTCCCTGGATCAAATAACGACGCGCAAATAAGTTCAAACCATTCACGTCTCACTCCACCCCAATCAACTCCTGTTATATAGCAGAAATTAATTAATCAACCAGAAAATTTTGAAAGACAGTAAAATATTTATATTTTTGTTCAGTTAATAAATTAAAACAATCATTTACCTTGCTCTCCTTGGAATGTAATTTCAAAATTTCTGCACCAGTCACTTACAGAAAAGCCTTTAGTTGCTTTCATCGACTGAAAATTTTATTCACAAATAAATGTAGAGAATTTCTAAGGGTATGACATTATTATATTGAGAAACTTACAGATTCTAGGAGCTTTTCACGTTGCACTTTTATCGTAAGTTTTTCATGGTAATGTTTTTGATGATGTTTTCTAACTTCGTGATAAAAAAAATCCTGCTTATCAGCAAACGTTTCACTACCACCGATATTCTTTAATAAAAATAATGTAAACGTCGCAGCAATTACATCTCGGTAATGAGAAATTAATTCTACCGGAGGCTGACAGCCGTCGTCTATAGAAAAAGAATCGTATCCTTCGTATTCATTATTTAAATTATCAAAGTGAAACTGCAATATAAAAATTTTTTATTAAATAGCTTGTAGAGATTTATGATTAATTTTTAATATTATGTTTACTTTAGTGGATGGGCAAAGTCTGAATGTAACAAGACGCTTTGGAATAAATTTTAAAAGATATTCTTTTATCGTCAATTGTTTGGGTGAAATGAAGCAGAATACTTTTTTCGGCTTTGAAAATCGTTCGCCTTGCATTCCTAGCAGTTTTGCTGCATAACATATATCTGGATCCTTTGATGCTACATTATTGTGAACCATTCTTGCCACTGGGCCTAAAAATAATTTAAATAAATATTAAGCATTAACATTTATACTACTTAGATTTATGATGGTTGATTAAAATGATTAAATGTCGACGGTACAATGATACTGTTGACATTTACAATGACTGACTATCATAAATATTAATTATTCAATGTCATTATCGATATATCTTATGTTAGTGATGGCTGATAAAAAAAACAAATGAAATGTCAGAATGATAATTATTTAAACGATAAAATAAAATATTATCTATTATATAATCAATAAATAATTCTATAATTTTCTAGTTCTTTTAGTTTAAAAGCTTTCAAATTAGCTAACTAACAGTGTTGATAGATTGTGAATATGAAATAAATCTTTTACTAGATACTGTTAATCATCTAGATGAACTTTGATGAAATAGCTTGTTTACTGAACACGTTAGCAAATAATTCAGGAATATTGAATAGGGATTCTGTAGGTTGAAGCATCCAATGCATTTTCATCAATAAAATAAAATAACATTTACGTTAACTTACTTTCGAGAACAATAATATCAAAATCCCCATTATGTAGTTGTAATCCAGCTAAACTGACTGTTGCATGATAACATCCGCCTTTTGGAAACCCAACTTTTAATCGAATCCTCTGGTTTGGTTGATCGTATTCAAGCTGGATATTACAAAGCACGACTTGGCCTTCTTCTATACAACCAATCTGCAATAGAAATCGATAAATAGCTGAAAAAACGGTTGAAAAACGGGTCAAAATTAGTTACGATGTTGCAATCAGCTTGCCTGAGTAATATTGACGTTGTAACCGTCAGTAGGATGGTCTTCAGCACTAAATATACACAAATTATCGTATTCATCCCTGGGTTCTATTGTCATCGAATGTGCAATTCCAGCAGTGCATACGACAGTCGAACTTTGACGAACAAATACCGTTTTATTGGGATCGGGAGGTCCTACGGAATCACAATTAGGTAAAATCAATAGTTGAAATTATGGTTTGTGTTTTATGTACCAGGAAGAAAATTCTTGAGAAATGGGCTGCCGTGAACATGACAGGATCCAATCAACACAGCGATTCGGTATTGTCCAGCATGACGAACTGTAAATTTGACGACGGCAGTATTCGCTGCCAAAGGATCTGTTCCACCTAAATCTATCAGGGTAGCTACTCTTCTTGTTCCTTCAGATACATCCACTATAAGATTGTCTTTGTCACAGATTGGATATGGCTGACCGTTACGTTGATAAAACTAAAGGCATTGTAGGAAAATTGAATTAAAAAATCAATTTGATAATATATTTATATAAATTAATTAAAATAATTGATTGAACTGGACATTGTAGAAATTTAAATTAATATTTTACAAATAAAAGAACACTTTGGGTTCCCAATGGAGAATTATTGAACTCAATTTGGACAGAATATGAACAAGTTTAATGAAATTGGACTGGTAGAATTTTATCGTAAAAATGTTAGAAACTGCTGGCTTGATTAGTATCTCTAAAGTGAAACACTCGTTTGAGTGTTGCCAATTATAAGTAGAATTTTCCGATTGATTAAATTATGTAATTACTTTCCTACTTCTCTAAACCCATTCGTTAACAGATATAATTTGAAAAAATTGAAAAACAGTTTATTTTATATTTTGTAAATAAATTAAAAATATTGATTAACTTATGAACGATAATAAATTCTTTACTTTAACAGTAAATGTCATAGTTTCTCCGACTAGCTGAGGTTCTTCCCATTCGAAGTGGACTCGACAGTTACTTGGAAGTAAATATTTCCCCGTAACATATTGAAGCAGTGAATGTTTTGCCTCAGGAGCCAAAGCAGGTTGAGTCATAGCTGCAAGGGTAACCAACCCCGCAACTGATACAGATACTACGAGCATTCCCCCTGCAATTGAGATATCCAATAGTTTTTATTTATGTAAAGACACTACATAACGTTACTAAAGCTATTTATGTCTATTTGTATCGATAAAAAGATATTTTTGTTTCGTGATACTTTTTAAAAAAAAATTTGCATAGATTAGAATAATGCAAACTATAATTAATCTGATAAAAAAGAACCTAGTTTCAATTATCATAGCATGAAAATAAAGCTGCATAAATTATTTGTTAGAAATATTTTTTGTTCACAAGCTAAATTAGTCTAGAAACATGATATCATACATTTTTCTAATAACTTTTTTGACCCAGTTGACTTTTAGTGTATCATTAATTTTGCCAATTATAGTTTTAATGAAAGGAGAAAAAAAAAACAGTTAAATACATTTCAATTGTTTGAGGACATCTTAACAAATTGAAAGAAAGAAAAGATAAATGATAATTTTGTGTTGATAGTTGAAAAAAATTTTCTGAAACCTCAACAAATATAGTGTTTATGATTAGATAAGATTGAAAAATGATTGCAGGTTTTTTTCAAAGTGTTGAAATTTTTTTTCTACTGATTTATTAAAATGTATCTTTTCGGAACGCTGATAGTTAAGGCTGAATTTTTACATTTCGTAATTTTAGTTATAAAAGTTTCATAAAAATTTTCATATTTATGTTAAAAACAAAATCACAGGACTGGCGTGAAATGGCTGTAAAATGTGAACAAAATATCCGAGAGAAATGTGTCACAGCTTAGAATGTATGAAAATACACATATTTCTAGACATATATTTGTGCATTTCAATTTATTTTATTAAATCCGCGGAAACTCGTGGAAGCAGAAAAAGGTATGATAATGATTTAGAATCAGTAGAATGAATAGAATATAAAAGTAAAGACTAAGTAGTGGGTAATTACATAAAATGTAATAGAGGAATAAATATTTTATATTCAACTTTGTGAACATATATCACGTCACTTCAATGAAATAAAGAAAAATGTTTCTCATAAAATGGAACAAAAGAGCTTGAAAGTAGAAATTTAGAAATCTGTTGAATATTTAATAAATACCCACGAACATGACGTTAGATTGATTATCAGATTAATGATATTCACTGGAAGTAAATGTATGATACTTAGGAAGATTACAGACAAATTCCGTGATTAAATTAATAATTCACCCCATGTCCAAGCATCCTGATGTTGGCTGTTTTTGACAACAGAGCTCCAAAGATCGGCCTTAAGTGCCTCAAGGTCATCTTTTGACGTCGGCAAAGTTTGTCGAGCTTGAATCCACCGGGGAAGATCTTTCCCAAGAGCGGAACGAGCCTCATTATCTTCAACCCAGTATACATCTTCCAAGGATAAGACATCAATCTGCATTAGCCTTGAAATTCACATCCATCAATAAGCAAACTTTTGAACATATTATCAAACTAATTAAATAATACTTTATTAAATTTATAAATAAAATAGAATATTTAATTATACAAAAGTTTTACTTACTTTTGGTAATAAGCACTTAGACCGTGATCACTCAACCACTGTCGAAGCACCAGTCGTTGTTGCAACAAGCGTGCAGCTCGTTGTAAACGTTCCTCATCTTGAGGTGGCAACTCCGGTAAGGCTCCCACTTCACCACAGCTAGCAAGACTCGAAATGCCTGCAAATTATTAATGACACATATTTAACACATGGCCTCTTTAAGAAGTACAATTTTTCCAGCTCATATTGATTCTCATTCAAAATTAAACCTACGACAAAATACAAGATAATGTTAATAGATTTTAATCACACTTTCAAGTTCATTAGGGAACGTAAATTTTATGATATAAATTGTATTTGCATATTTAATTTATATTTTACATGTCGTTAACACAGAGTAGCAACATGTAATAACTAAAGCTGCAGCTTTACTGAAAATTTCTAAAGAAAGTCTAGAACATATGAATAAATTACTTTAGTAAGTTAATGAATGTTTTAAATATTTTTAAATATATTTCTGATGTAAATTTTTTGATTTTGTTTAAAAAAAAAGCTGACATATTTTGTAATTAGCTGTAATTTTAGAGCAAAATTTTGAATTAACATAACTTCTAGTTGCATGTGAATTTCCTCTCAAGAGGAATAATTTTAGTTTTGAGAAAAACCATGGTATTATCTTCTGGTCTACATTTATTCTAACTTTGTTAGACAGCATGACATCTTTACAGCCAAAAAATAGTCATTTGTGACAATAGAATAAATAGCTAGGGTTGCTCATAAAAATAAAAATGGAGCAATTCAGCTTTTTTTATATTCTTCAAGTAATTTGTGACGTACCGTAATTTTCTTTTATGCTCAAACAGTGATGCAATGGTGCTCGATTAACTGTTTAGACAGTTACATTTAGGTGCTATCTAATCGAGTTTTATGACACTGATAGTCGATAGAAGTATCTTCTAAATGTCAGTATTCTCTTTTGTTCTGAATAAAAAATTTAAAGGTATGATCTCTTTTGCTTAAAAATATATTATATTTTAGTTTCATTAAAATTTAATGATTGAAATGAGTACGCTGCTTCAAACTGATTAGTTTGAGAAATGAAATACTTTATAACTTTACTGAACATACATAAATGAATATTTTATTCATCCACCATACTATCTAAAGTATTTCAATTTTTCTTTGCTTTGTTAAGTTTAATCATTACAATTACCCTGCAAATTATTTCAAAAAGCTAATTGATACCGTCGGAATTCCAATGTTTTATAAAACAAATTATTCTAATTTTTGCAAAATATATTTGCATAACAATAACCTTTTCATCTTCTCGACTGGAACTTTCTCAAGTTATTTAAACCTGTCGTGTACAATTGTCATACTTTTTTCCATTTTGATTCTTCTTATTATCTCTTTCATATTGTATATTTACATTTCATGAATATTTGGAGACCTTTTGTTATTTGAAATATTCTTTTTCATTTTTAAAATACGAATATGGCGATAATAAAGCCAGACTAAGTTTGCTTATTATTTTTTTAATTTCGTAAAAGTGCTTTCTGTTTGATGTATTCAACACATTATTCTCAGCAAGTAAATTAAATTTGTAGTTTTTTTAAATGCGATTAAAAATAAAAATTGTTTTGTAGAGTATTTTATTTTCTCTGTAATACATTGTTTGAAATTCTCAAAGTACTAACTTTATTGATAAATTCTATCAAAAGTATTTCAATCAATAAAACAGAGATTCATGTCACCATTCCTGTAAGGTGTATAAAATTAGGATAGTTATATTATTAAATTAATCGATAAATATATCTGACATTACATCAGCTATAGTATTATTTGCTGTAGGCGCTGAATTAAAATAGATATGAGATTTTATATCAACAATACATCCATTTCAATTACAAGCATAAATTTTATTTACTCATACAACAATATTTTTCTACCGTAATAGAATTATATTAAAAAGCATTGAAGTTTACTAGAATTCTTTGAAAAATTTAATTAATCTCTCTGAATCTATAAATTTTTAATAATTAAAATCTGATTACAATAATTAAAAATACTGAAAAATTTAATTCAAATATCATAGTTAAAGCTTTAAATTAAATTAAATATTGAAAGAATTTAATGAAATAATAGAGAGTAAATAAATCAATTGATTGAGAAATAATGAAATTCAAAAGTTCTCTTTTCAATTATCAGCTAGTGTCAACTCTTTCTAATGTATCGACTCATAATTAATGTATTCAATAATTTAGAAACCCTTCATCCTTTTATAAGTGCTTCAATAACTTTCATGAACCTTTTTAAAGTAGTATATAAACTTTATTAACCTTTGGAACATGAACCTTTTGAAGATTCTAGAAATATTGAATTTTAGAAACTTTTTAATCTACCCTGGTATTCTTCTTCATCAATCAGAATTATTTGAAAAATAAAAATAAGAGAAAAAAAATATCAGTTTTCTAGAGTTAAAATGAACTGGCATCAACAACAATGTTGTTTGTTTTAAATTAGCCATTTTTTTTTTCAGAAAAAAATTCACTATTTTCTGTTTTTATTGTCATTCCACTCTGATGTACTATTTGTATTGAGCTCAACGAATATGTTTCCATAAAAGCGTACATAAACGATGTACAGAAAAAATATCTAACAACTAGAAATGGTGAACTGATCCTGATAATAAAAAAGTATTTTTAGATATCTCAAGTTGGTCATCACAACAGAACTTATCTAGACACTCTTTCCTGTTCTTAGGCATTCCATATCCTGTATGATATTTTTTATTACATCAGTCATTCTTTTGTTACGATGTTGAACACACGTATTTTTATATTTTTATGCATCTTCAAGTGTATCGATTTCACGTCAGCAGTGTGCAATGTATCTCCGTATAAAGAAGGTAAGTCTAATATTTATTTCTTAAAAGCTTGTCAGTTATAGAAAAACCTTTTAACGTCATCAAAGCAATCTTGCTTTCAGAGCAATCCAAGTATTAAAGCTTTTACTTGATATTTTATATTTTATTTCATTACACTTCTTAATGATTATTATTGTGTTTATCATTTTTTCTTTTTTATTATCAATTCTTTGATGATAAAATATATGAATATTTTTTAGGTGTTGAAACTAAGGTGAGGTGTTGGAATACATTACTCAAAGAAGTATTGCAGTCTAGTGGATCATTTGCCAATGTCATAACAGTTTTACATTCAAATCTTGGTTCTCTTGAAGGAAATTCATTCGCCAAGTACGGGAAAAGTCTGACACTATTGAGTTTTCAAAACTGCAGTATTTCAAGCATTCATCGTGATGCATTTGCAGATCTGAGATATTTGAAAAAGTTGACTTTATCTCATAATAAAATTTCGGAATTACATCCAGATATTTTTAGATCTTTAGAATCTTTAGAGTATCTTGACTTAGAATTCAACTCAATTAGACACATTGAGGACACTTTATTTTCAAAACTACCACGACTAAAGCTATTAAATTTAGATGACAACCAGTTGACATGTTTAAAGCCTGAAGGAATCCAAGCTCTTAATAATTTAGTGCAAATTCGGATTTTAGAAAATCCTTTAAGTTTGTCCTGTCGAGGAAGAGTAAGTTGAAGAAATAAATTTCCCTGGTGAATATGCTGAGATTTATTCTAACAATAGAAAAGTTTTCTTTATGCTACTTTCTTTGTTCGCAGTTGACACTATGGCTGAGAGATCATGGAATAAATTACTCCAATGAAAATCCTACCAAGAAAGAAAATTGGTTAGACAGCCTCCTCTGGCGTTGTGCCATGGAAAATCCTGTCACAACAACATCTGAAGATGAAATGAGGCGATGTATCATCTTCTATATGTTTAATCAACTTAAATCGGCAGTACAATCTACATCAGACTATTCCGTTGATCCTAGAACATGTAGCAATGAAGTTGACCAGTTTCTCCAATCGATTGAGAGTACCACTCAATTTGGTAAACCAATTAAAAATGGCCAGGCAATTGAAATTATGATGTACGCATTACGAAATACTATCATGCAAATGAATTAATGGTCATATGAGTCTGCAGCTTACATTAATATCCTTATCGATTTCAACAAACTATGCTGACCTGTCCAATAGTGACTGTTACATTAAAGGTATTGACATTCGATTATAAATTGAATTGAAGGTTTCAAGTACAGATAAATTAGTAGTTAATGCATTGTACTAGATGTAGAATACTACCTCTTATTACTTATGAATTTATACCTACAATAATAATACTCATTGAGATTGTCTTAGAGTATAGAGTAACTGTTTAATGTTTCCTCCTGGCCCAAGGCTTCTATCGATCGAGTTGATTTTAACGTGATATTGTTGCTGAGTATAGACGGGTGTACCCGACTTCTAGAGAATATAATTTGGTGTTCGCACCAGTGAGCCAATTCGAGCTTTGTTTCTGTGCAGTCAACAACCCGAAGTAGTATTAATTTTAAATGAGAAAAAGTTGATGCAATTTATAATTCACATCGAAATAAATTTTTTAATCAAGTAAAGGTATAAATTAGTAACAGGTTCGTTAATTAATGAACATGTTCTGTACAGTTAAACAAGATAAATATCGATTTATGCTGATAATACGGATGTAATTGTTAAGGTGCTTCTCCTTTTATACAATCGGTTAGAAGGTGAGTGGCCCAGTTTTTGACCTCTTGGGTACACGACTTAACATATTGGTTCAATGAAGATTTTAATGTTGACTTAAATACAGTTGTTATTGACTTATCACTTTGTCATTTAATGAATCAAATTAATAAACTGAAAACATCAATTGATATTAAATTTTATTTTTATTCATTTTTCAACAATCAAATTTTTAAACCTTAATGAAATGTATCTTGATCATTTTTGAAGAAGTTGCAATGTAACTTTAAAACTTGTGACAATTTGGCAAAAAAGATATGAACATTATACAATCTTCACGACAATAATATCTTGAAAAACTTCAACTAATAAAACTTCCTGAAGTTGGTAGACATATAAAAATGTGAAACTTTAAAATTCTACAATTTTATATATTAAAGAATTTTTGTGAAAAGATATTAGATATTTTTCATTTGAAAGAAATATTATATTTTATTGTATAATTTTTATAACCAAACTGTGAATTTGGAGGAAGTGAATATTTATAAATACACATCAATTTGATATTCCAGAGAACCAATGTTCTCTCATAATTAATAATCCAGCATTGAAAATAATATGACATTTCCCAATATTCCACTCAAATTATTTTCAACGATGTTCAATTAAATTCAAAATTATACGATTGAATATTTAATAACATTACCTTATTGACATGAGTAATTTTTTCAACAGATATTATTAAAAATTAAATATAAACAGTTTTATTTGTTTCATTATCAGCAATAATGTGAATATTAAATCATAATAAAAACTATTATTACAATAAAAAAGAGAATATATAAGAATGGAGTAAATTCAATTACTTAGATACTTGTCTTTCTTTTTCTCTATAAAAAGCTCACTAGAATCAGTAGTAAAAACGTCCTCGTGTTTTATTTCACATTCATTTGCACATACGCTTTATACTCGTTATTTTTAATGAACAAGTAGTTGTTGCCCAGTGAAATTTACTCTATTCCCATACCTTACTTCTCAAAAGTTTTTTTTTTCTGTCATACTTCTTTGAGTGGGCTTTTTTATTTTTTCTTTCTCATTCTTTATATTATTGTACATCAGATATTTTTTCTTTATTTATATAATGTTGATGTAACAGCTTACATAGTTTAATATAGGATAGACTATCCAAGCGATTTGATATCCCTTGCTTGATTAAAAATCTGATAATAAAACTCTTTGCCAAGATACCCGTTTATATTTTATTGATTATTGATTCTAAAGGACAAAGGCGTACTTTTTTCGCTATATTTTTCGATTTCATTTTCTCATCTAGAACGTACTCCAAGGAGATTTCATCAATAGACAAGAATAGAAAAATACAACGGTAAGAAAAAAATTGAATTAAAGTCGTAGAGATAAATAAAAAAAAATTGTCTATACACTGGCAACAGAAAATTGAAAACTCACCAGAAGAGGAACTGCCACTTGGTCGAAGTGACATACCAATCGATGATATTTCGTCCACAAAGAACTTCTTGTCTCGTTGCCCATCTCGACTTCCGGTATTTTTGTCCGGCATAACTCAATTTCAATGCTTTCTTTTTCTTTTTACTTTTCTTCAATTCTCACTCGAGCATTATATTTCCGGTTAAATCAATGGTAGACACGAGAACTTTATGACGGTCTTGTATGAAACGGAAAAAGTTTGCTCTAAGAAAAGATTCTTTTTTTACAATGAATAAAATAAATGGATTGTCAGAATTTTTCTGCGATTTTCAAAAGAATAATCATTGTTTGATTATCAATCAATTCTATTCATGATAAATTAATAAATTCTTAGTGTGATATAAACCTGACAAAATTAATTTATTCATATTTATTAGCATATAAATGAACTTTTTATGAAAACTGTCAACCTATTTGTCATAGTCCTCTCAAACGTATTCCATTGTTGAGCTTTAAAGCTATTGAATATGAGATTAACCAACCCTGCTAGTTAAGTTTTATTCCTAATGAAGAGTCACATGAGCAAGTTAATCGAGAACATAGTTAGGTGAATACCAAATATCCTTTGAAGATAAATATATTTCGATCTAATAGTACGTGTTATCTGGCTCTTTGAGAGTACTAATTATTGCAATACAGTTCATCTTTGATAGTTATCATGATAAGGAGTATCTGAATGACTTTATGTGACTCAAATAGTTTGAAAATATTGCATCGGTTTAAATACTTGCCACATGTATTTATTTATAGTCATTTCATGTTATTTAGCATCATTAGATTGAACCATACTATAAATTAAGTGTAAATAAAAGTCATCTCATATACAACAAAGCCTTGTTCGCATGGTATACTGTAGATGGTAGATTGCACGCATAAAATAGTGTCAAGGAAAAATAAAATTAACGCTATTATAAACTAATTAGTTTAGCGGAAGTGTGAAATAGGAAAATTGTCGATATTTTTTTACAATAGGAAACGATAAGTTTCTTTGTATATTAAGAGTAATATCTTGAAGAGGGTAGAATAAGAGATAGAGAGTGAAGAAAAAGATGAAGATGGTGAGTAAAAAATGTAGATTGAGATAATTTGTGTACTCGAGGTCTTATGACCTAGCTTGGACTCTTGACCTTTCACGTAGACATCCTTTACTGACATTACTTGGTACTAACGATCCTTTTCGCGATGACGTGAGGACGAGGCTAAAGCTATGAGGATTTTAACTTCTGAGGGAGGTTCGGAAGGAAGAGCAGAGGAACCAAAGGAAGCTGAAGAAGTGGGGAAAGGGTTTCTCCACAGGGTTTTATGTATGTTACACATACTGCTCATGATTATGGATGAGAGGGTAGTCTCGAGGCATTATGAAAGTAGACGAAGAATCGATTTGGAATTCTCTCATGCTCCACACTCACCACCGCAAAGTCTGGATTTCGTCCTAATGCTCCTAGACTTGTTCAGAAACTAAAAAACCAACTTTTTCCTGCTCCACTTGAAATTCAGTCTCGGAAATCTCAACGGATTTCCTGATAACTTTTGTCTTTTACTTTGACGAAAAACCACCCGATTAGAATAGACCATCTAGACAAAGGAATTCATTTCCACATCCATTTTGATATGAAAATTAGAGAAAATTTTTTCCAAATTTACTTTATCGCCAAATCGATCCATCAATTCAGCTTTGTAGACCGATTATAAATGAAGATTGAAGATTTATTACCAGTGAGGAAATAAATTGTGAAATGAAGTTAATAAAAGGAGAAATATGACGATAAATGGAGATAAAAAATGCTATAGAAAGAATAAAAAATAATAATTATGATACAAGTGGATTTTTTGTTTTAGTTTTAATCGAGCTGATCTTCTTAACTAAATACTTGTTATGTCTTACTTGATTATTTTTATTTTTATCCGGGGCTTACATAGCATTTACATGGTTACACTCAATGTAACACAGAATGATGTCATATTTATCACAGAATGCAGAAAATTCTCGAGAGAATTGTTGTCTATTATTGTCTGTATAACTCTAGAATTTATATACATATATAAGTATAAATATTAAATGCATTTAAATGATAAATGTGACATGCATAATCCATTCTACTTGCACATGATTTATTATCTAGCATGATAGTGTTATGCTGCATAGTTGGAATTTCAATTTGATTGTTTATAGTTTACTATATAGTGTGTACATTGTCTAGTGGATAATTAATTATATTGAATTATAAACAATAGAATACTTTTGAGAAGAATCAATTTTGAAGTAAATTCAGCATAAGAAAATCGAGGGAAAATTGAAATGAAATTTTTCTATAAATCTGACTGAAACGTGAGTCAATCTATGGAAGTAAACAAAATAATAAATTAATCATGAAACAATATCAGCTATTTTTACTGAGATGAAATTCATAACAAAAGTTAGAAAAAAAAAGGTAGAAACAAAAAAGTGTAAAATGAGGCTTTTCTACACAGAATCTGAAAGAGTCAAAAGCTCTTTTTAAAGGTATCAAAAGTGTAGAAATCCGTTCTGTATAGACCACGAAAGTGGCGTGGACTCAAGCTGCAGAATGTAGGCCGACTTTTGCAAAAATCGATTTCTAGGTGTTATACACGCAACCTGGGTTTCTATCGAGCATTATAGAGGTCGAAACTAAGTGTAGCAACTTTATTAAAGAGGAGTAAATATGAAAAAAATTACCAACATTTTTTTCCTGTACTTTAAGAATTAATTGCTTCCTGAAAGTTAACAAAAGTGAACAAGCTATTTTTTGCAATCTCAGTTTAAATTCTTGAATAATAAATGTAATCTTTTCTTTTCTAACAATATATATACACCAATATCCTTTATCAAAATCTCATTTTATTTTTTTTTATCTAGATTGACATTTGGACTTACAACTCGTCTTTCATTTCCTCGTCACGACAAAGTGTGAGATTAAAAATACGAGAAAGAGAGAGAGAGAGCCTCTGGATGAGATGAAGAAATATTTGAATTTAATCCTGCTTCTTATTCAATGAATTACAAAGTTTTGGTGATGGAGTGGTAGTATTTAAAGTGGATTTATTTATATAAAAATAATACAAAAGACATCTGCAATGCAGAAAAGTTGGATAGGATCGAGCTGAATGTGTATACTGTTTCTGGTAAGTTGCAACTCAACGAACATTAGTAACAAAACTTGCGAGAAGTTTGATCTTGATCGCGACGCGAAAACTTTACAAGTAGATCGAAACTATGACGTCAACCCTCAGCAGTATATTCCAACAGGGTTTATAAAACCAACGAAAACGATAAGCAAACCATAATAGAACTAATGTGTTGTATGTGATAAGCACCACTTTAATTTAAATTTTTTCTGTATATTTTTATCGAAAAAATCATCTAATGGGACTGAGGTTATTTACTACATTTGTCAAAAAAATTTAGAAATGTTTTAAAAGTTATTTATAATAATAACATTGTTTAAAATCATAAACAAATTATAAAAGTAATGAATGTATAATTGATTAATATAGTCAATTAAAATTTCGATGAATAATATCAATGGTTAATTACATCTTCCATTAGTATTATGATAATAAAAAATAAATAAAATTTATAATGATTAATATAGAAGCAATGAAATATTGTGTTGATTAAAAAAAAAAGTCTTGATGAAAAAAAGAAGACTAGATGTAAGTGATTTACCTTCATGGCAATTATACTGGGCACTTGAAATTACACGTTTAATACGCCCACGAAAAGCATATAAATAATTGATACAATTGAACGAAAAATAACCAAGTAATATTTTAACTTTCTGCAGGCACTGAAGGTTTCCTTCACCTTAGTAATTTATTTTAATCAACAACTTTGTACTCGATAACTAAGAGTAACAAGGCCTCTTAATAAATATTGTTTCTAATAAAACAACAAAAAAAAAATGACTTAAAATTTTTTCTCCTGATGACAAGTCATTTAACGTTTGTGTCAAAGATCTGTAGGAGTGAATGTAACGATTTCGCAGGATTTAAAAGTATTTGATGGAGATAAATTTAAAAGTATCGGTTGTTCACGTATTTGTTTTGTCGATGATAGCATTATTGCCACGTGTTTGCTGTAGTATTTTAGCTTGTTTGTTAAAATAAACAGCAAAAAAAAAAGAATGTATATTTATCAAAGGTTTCTTTGAAATCAAAGATAAAAAAAGTTTATCATCGGGGGGAAAAATCGCGGGAGGAAATCCGCCGCGAACTGCTCGTATGAAGTCACGCTAGTCGACTGCATACAATACGATTACACGGGCAAACCAACCCTCGACCCCACCAACATTGCCGCCACCACCTCTACCTTTTTGCCCATCCTGCGATACTACTCTGGCGCGTGCTCTTCCACACGCTACCCCTTTTCGAACGTGCTCCTGTGTATATATACGTTGGTGGTAACACCATCACTCCCTAAGTCGACCAACAGACACGATCCTTCGGGAGGGAATCCTCTGCCCCCACGTGTTTTGCAGTTGTACTGATCTCATTCTCCAAAGAGTTGGAAATCGTAAATGCCATCCTCGTTCAACCTTATACGAATGTTGAAATGTTTTATTGCTCCAATATATATTTTTTAATGGAAAAAACATATCTATATGTTCCTCTGTATATATGTTTATGTGTATATAGATACAGAAAGCATGATACATTGATGCAGCTTACAGAAAATTGTGTATTATCGTAAGATACTTTTTCATGTTGGCCTATCCAATATTCCAAGTTGAGCAAAAGTGCATATTTACCAAGTGTGCTCGAGCACAGTAAATTCAGTTAGTCGCAGAGTCAGTCTGTACAGACCAGTGAGTTAATTATTCGTCTCGCTTGTGATTTTGTTTTAACGGCTTCTGTCCTACCCTGTACAGCTGAACTATTATGTGTCCAAATGTGTGCGTGCTAAGAGTGATAGTATAACGACAGAGTTAATTGTTAGCAAATTGTCGATAAACTATTTTCTCAAAATGTCTATTTGTTTTGATTGTTAATCATTTTGTATGTCATAATTTTAATGATATTTAAAATATAAAATTGTATATACAGATAACTATAATTATTTTAATCAACTTTGTTCGAATTGATTGGATCCATACAATTGATATATGGTTGAATTAAATAAAAAACTTTACTATGGAAATTGATACTCTTTTTCTAAACATTATTTTCTATATTTTGCGAAAAATGCAAATTTTAAAATACAATAGAGTTGAAACTGGGTTAGATGATTATAGCAAATTAAGGTTCAGATAACTGATATGATAGAATGATAAGCATTTTTTTCAGTTTACTTCAATTTTAAAAATGATCTTTTTAATGAGAATAAAAAAGAATTTAAAAAAAATACTACTTTATACAACATGATAATGTCATGTTTTTTGCCTCTAATAGTTATTAACTTTTTGTAATTTTTTTCTTCTCAAGATGAGATAATTTTTAATGAATAATCTCCAAAGAAATTCTGCAACATCTTGGAAAAAAGCTACTTAAAGTCAATCTTCGTTGTTTCGAATTTTCGACAAAAAAAGATAAGCCCTTATTTTTAGACTGGCTATTAGCAATTTTACTCCATATTTTAAAAGCTTCTATTCCAGGTAATTAACAAAAAGAATTCTAGTATAAAAAAAATTCGAATTCATGATCAAGAAAATAAGTATAGTCAGTCAAATTGCTGCAGTAAATTTAAAATGATAGAATTTATTAGACTATGAAATCTTAAAAGCTGTAAAATAATTGAAGATTTAAGGAAACTCATAGAATAAAATTGAAGAGTCGTAAAAACAAAGCATGAGTTTAAAATAAAATATTCAAAGAGAGCTGAAGTAAAATTTGAAAGAGTATTTGGAAAATATGGATTTAAAAAATAAAAAAAAAAAAATATCAAAAAATTAGTTTTGTTAAAATATTGGAGTCACCAAAAAGATTTAGTACTGTGGAATAATTTTTTTGATATTAATTAAAATTAATTGGAAGTCTGAAAAATTTCTAGATGCTAGAGAAATAAAATTCAATGGAAACAGTTATAAACAAGATGAAAATTGATCTATTGAGCACAGGTGTTTCCATTATTCCGCTGTTATTTCGAGAGATAAAAGTACCCACCATCAATTAAAAAATATATAGGGGAGATGTGCGTGTATAGTGACAGCGCAGGTTAACAAATAATCAATCAATGGAGATAATAAATATAAATAATGAAAAAAGCAATTAGATAAACGCCTCTGGTTAAATTGAAATTGTTTGAAGTGAATAAGAGTGCACTCCAAAAATGTTATTAATGGAAAAGTAAAGGGCAAAAAGTCAATGGTTCATGTAGTAGATATTATTCAACCTAAAGTACACTTGACTCTACAGTAGAACACCTTTGTTTAGCATATGGACTAAAGGTTAAGATATTCAAACTTTTGAAAATCACTTTTCCATTGACAAAACGATATTCTTGGTTCAGAAATAATTTTATTCTTGATCATAATATTCTTAAATAAATAATTTTATAACACAGCACGAATGAAGACAAGACAAGATCAAAATGGATCCAGAATGATAGCAGGATCTTGTCATCATTCGTGTTATGTTATAAAATTATTATTGTTGTATTTAAAAATATTATAATCAAGAATGAAATTATCCTTGATCAAAAGATATCGTTCTTTCAGTTTATGAAAACAATTTAGGAAACAAGAGATTCTGATGTATTTAAGTATGTATACATGAAGATAGATGTATTCGAATGTTCAACTTGAGTGAAGCTACATGACTGTTTCTACAATTTCCGTGATAGTCAGTTGTGTGCACCCTTATGCAACTCGTCTCGGTCGTTTTGCTGTTCTCATACCAAATCCATGCAAATAAACGCGCATTGGCATTTCTGCAGTCGACGACAAACCGAGTCGTTTATCTCGCCAATAAAGCTCACCAAATTTTCAGAAATAAATGCGCAAGCGCTAATTATAGCCAGTATTTGAAATACTTTTTTTTCTATTATGTAAATCTAGATAATAAAATAAAACATCCAAATGGATTTTGGCCAAGGATTTTTTTCTTTGCTCTCAGATTATGAAAATAAAATACTACGTCCTTTCCATTTTTTTAAATGTTATCTGAATCACCCTATAAATAAGAATCATTAATCATATTTTTAGCTGGATAAGCGTGATAAAACATTCAATGGCATTTTACTTGTTGAACCTATAGAAATATTTCTAATGAAAAATGGCCAATCAATAAAACTTAATTTTTCCTGTCTATATACATATATGCAGAGAGAAATGAAAAAAAGATACATAAATTTCTACAGGGAAATATATTTGATGCATATAAATTTCCTTGGGTCGAATAAGATTGCGTTATATCGGGTGATGGGTTTCGTTTGATAGCAATATGTGCCATCAGCTTAATCGAAGTTTCTCTCGATTGGAAACAAATATACGATAGCTATGGAAATAGAGTTGAAAATTATTTTAAAAAAATCTAAAATATGATTGCTTCATATTATTTGTTTCTGAAAATATAATTCAATATTTTCTACGATTTTCAGATATTCAATAAGCAATGCAATTTTTTTCTCTGCATACATTCATTGAAAAATACTGTTTTAAAGAATTTTAAATTAAACTTTTTCACTTTTTTCTTAGCTCATTTTTTTAAATTCATTTATGTTTATTTTGTACAATACAACAATATAGAGACTCTTAAAATTAAAAGTAAGCATGATAATTTAAGTAATTAAAATTTTTTTCCATCAATGTTAATTATCATTTCAAAAAAACTCATTTCTTCTAAACTATAAAAGCAATAGTTTAATGCATATTAAACGTGCACAATATGTGCAATTTAATTAAGCAAACTATAAAATGAAAGAAAAATTTTATACATGGATAATTTAGTAAAATGTTCTAGTAGTTATTAAATTTTTGATATTGTTAGAATGGGTTATTATTGTAGTCTGTGAAATGATATTGCATAAACATATTTTCAGTATAAAAGTCAATGAGAAAAATATAAAAAAATTAACTAGCTGCCATATTCGATTTTTGATAGACCAGTTTTAAACTGTCATGTACTTATTTTACGATTCATTTATCACAACTTTTACGTGCATGAAATCGTATAAAATTTTTATGATAGAAGTTAGTTCCGACCTAGGCAAATATTTTAACTGCTCCAATATAGTATATATAAGCTCATAACGTATTTAAACAGATCTAAAATACCTTTAAATGTTCTCCTAGTTTTCACTCATATATAATTTAATACACTATCAACTTAGATCATTTTTATAAAATTAAAGCGAATAAGTAATTATAATAAAATCCCCTTTAATAAGAGGATAAGCAAAAGAGACCATTTCTTAGAATCCAGGCATTTTCATAGTAATTTTGCCGGATTTAATAAACTAAATGAGCTGCAGCTAAGTACATAATGTGGGTTCAAATAGACTTTATGTCAACAGATTCGTTCATTCATTGTTCCAAGTATTTGAAATTTAACTTGAATGAATAAACTTTAAACCATTTGGTAATAAGGATCAAAAATATCTAGCAAACATTAGAATATATCCAGCAATAATCGAATTAAATGATTTAGTATTTTTGTTCATCTTGAATAATCTCCTGTCCATCCTTCAATAATTCTAGAATAATGAGTAGAGGTGGGTTAGGGAAATAGCTTACTTACCTTTCTTTTTGAACAGTTGTCGATATTGTGATAGGCCAATTTCTGATAACCATTGATCTGCTTCCGTCAAATCTCCATTGTTCCCATTACTAGCAGCAAGCATCAATAGCTTTCCAAGTGACAACATCATTGACAAAGCCAAAAACACCCCTGATAATACCTTCGACCATCGTGCCATTGTTTAAAATCTTCATCTGCCATTTAAAGATAAACAATAATATTATTATTGGAAAGAAATAATTAGTTTTGAAATATAATTATAATTTATGATATATGCAAAATAAAACAATTCTAGGTTATGAAAAAAATTGTAAACAAGCTAGAATATTAAAATAAAATTAACTCACTACATTTTTAAATATACAAAAATAATCTCCAACATTTATCACAGCAGTCTTAAATGTCCATTCGAATTAATATGTACATTATTATAGGTTAAAAAATACACATAAAATTTGACAGATCATACATAGCGGCAATCTCACTCCGAAATATTTTAATCTCATAATGTAGGCCAATTTCCATTTCAATTTTTATGGAAACTTTTATCAGGATAATGTTGGATTTATATATTAATTATTTGACATTTTTATGACGCGTTTAACAATTAAATTAAGCTCCAAAAATAATGCAATAATTGATTATCATGTTTATTGGGGTTTGTTTTGATAAGAGTAGACACATTGGAAACATAAAGGACGACAGAGGTCTCTGAAAGTGCTAAAAGCGCCCTCTATAGTGCAAAAAGAGAACGTTCATGCAATGCATGCAAATTTTCTATCGGTAATGTAGATTTATTTATTTAAAAATACTGGACTTACATTATTTAATTCATTCTCTTACAAGTAGCTAATATTACTTTAAAAATGCTCAGTTTTTTTGTAATTACTATGTGCCATACGACACATCAAGATAATGATTATTGATTTAAAAAGCATCACACAAATGGCTTCTGTAAAATCATCATTATTTGTAAGTGTTTCTTTTATCAGTCTACTATCAAGTGATCAAATAAATTCGAAAAGTAATTTTCCGTAATAGAATTCTAAAGTACATAATAAATAATTATTTCTCATCATCATAATCTCCGTATAATTGTGAGAAAAATGACAGCTCAGATCATTACGAATGTCTATGTAGCAAGTTGTTTTAACAGTAATCACGTAAAACCATGACAGAGTAATAAAAAAAAATAACTATGTGAGGTCTTGGTACCACCGATGTGAGTTAAGTAAAGGAGGCTGCATTAACGGTTCGAGAGAACGAGTGAGTCCAAGTGTCGAGGTCTTTCTCGCGGTGGTGTCGAACCGCGTGTCAATAGACGACCGAGTTCTTAGACTTCTCCAGGCGTAAATGTACAAACGACATGACACTTAAAGATCGTCTTACTAACGTCACACCTCGAGGAATCTGTCCGCAAGGATTCATAAAAACTTCCTGCTTTCGGAAATATAGAAGCGTGTAAAGCTTCAACTTGTCTTCACGAGTTTCGCAAAAGGTATCCAGACCGGGCCATTGGACTCATTCATTGGCTCGACCTCGATGCAGTCAATCTTTTTTCTCACGATTCTTCAACCGTTCTTTTTAATTACACATTAGAAAGTGTTGTAATGAAATCATGAACTTGATTATTGATATTTTCTTTTATTTAAATAACTTTTTCTTGTGAATTTTAATCTAAACGTGCCTTTTTTCATTCTTTTCTACTAACATCTCGATAATATTAATTGAATGCAGTGAAATATTTTATAGTAACCAACACATAAAAGTAATGTAAAAAAAAATAAGCTAGAACTTTTTATAGTAATCTAATCATGCTCCATAATTATTATGTTAATTAAGATATTAAGTAATAAGAGAAAAATTATAATTTATTAGCTTTAATAACGACATGAAAAACGAGATTTTTTATAGCATACCTCAAACTTTTTTCTTGGAATTATTCAAGTAGAAAAAATGGGAAATTTATGTAATATTACTTACCTCAATTACGACTTAATTAGTTGATGTTAGTGTTCACTTGAGATTGACAGCATTTCTAAGGCTGATCAGTAAATCAAATAAGCGTCAATTATGTCAACATAGCTAGTGTACAACGTGAAAGAAGTGTGAAGACTGAAATGGTTCGTATCACACACGATGCAGCGGGCGTGACGGTACGTGACAGTTAAGAACGCAAACAAGAAGAAGACATCCTAATACAGAATGCACCTTACACTATGTTTAAATCTTCCTCTTTTATTCCCTTTTTCTCATTGAATGTCACTCGATAATCCAGTTTTTTTCCAGGCATCAATCAAATTACGAGTATGATGCTATACAATTGCAGTACATCTTGGCATCTCGACAATTTGCTTCGATCATTAAACTCTTATGGAATCTCTTCACAGTTACAAAACACAGCTTTTAACAACATGAAAAAAATCAGCAACAACTGATAGTCATATATGCATCTATTTTTTGTAGATAACTTTATATGCAATACAATTTCGTTTTTTGTCATGATTGCTACAAAAAACATGGTTGTTTTTAGGTCAGAGGACATTGAAGTTTGCAATGGGCAACTGGCCAACTAACGTAAAAGTTCCAAAGTAGCTTTTTTTTTTTGTAGTCAATTCGTGCTTATCTTTGGTGATACTCACCCGTGGGTTGCTGCACTAGCAAAGGTGAGAGAGGTCTAGGTCGTAATTTAAATGATATCTTCTCTTGGTGGTATCAGTATGGACGATACACATATGCAATCTAGTGTGCATATGTACGTACATTGAGCACATGTACTTACCCCGTCTAGTCACATACTTTACGATCGTCTGAATATGGTCACGAACATGGAGCACCTCGGAGACTTGCACCAACTTGTCTTTGACACTGCAAAATGTTTATTCAATGCGTTAATATTTTATCGAGTATTATACTTGACATTCATGAGCATACTAGTATTTTTTACCAATGAATATCATTTATAATTTATTGGCTCAATAAATTTTTCATTGAAAATATCTTGATAAAAATGGACACAGCCTAGTTAAATTGGCGTACTTTCCCAGTTGATAGCACCTGTTTTCATGCTGTTGAGGGCAGTGAAATATCAGACAGTGATTTGTCTTCTCCTTTACGATGGATTCCTGGGTAACCGATGCATTTATTACAGTCAGGAAAAACAGGTGAAAGGCGCTGTCGAATGTGCAGCTTAACAAATACTGGGAGAGACTTCAACTTGATGCATAAGATCAAGTAAATTGTCCGTAGATGTAGAACTCATCAAGTAGCGGGTGAAATCCTCCAATGTTTTTGGTGTCAATCCGAGTCCTCGTTATTTTCTTATAGCTCATAAATTCCAATGGCTACCATTAAACTTGAAGAACAAATAAAAGATTTAAATTTTGTTCATACTATCTTTAGGGACGCATAATACAATCTCCAGATGAGTGGATAATTTGCAAGTTTGGAGTAATAAACTGGAGCTTCGGCCAAATTTTAAAGAATCAGTGAATACAGGTTACAAAAAACGGTATCTCTCGTATAACAAATTGTATATTATTGCTTGTAACGTATCGTTAACGTTGTTTTATTTCTTCGAATTTTTAAAATGTAATGGTTTTTTAACTGCGGCAATAAGACCATCTTAACGTTTCGGATCTTAGCTTCAAGTAAGTGAGGGTAATTGAGTAAGAAAAAAATGATTTGAAAGTAAATTACAAAGGTCCAAGAAGCGGAGCTTATCGGTTGCATCAAGAAATCAGCAAAACGAGGTGTATGAAGGCAGAAGGAAGGAGAGTTAGAGGTGTGAGAAGGTGCAGGCGGCTACAAGGTGGCCTAGAAACAGGGTAGAAATGGACATAGACTGATCTAGCAACAGTTGAAGCTCTCTTGAGGTGGGACTTCTCCGACTTATGTTCGAATGAGGAGGAGGACATCGTCGTCGCCGTCATTGGTAATGGTAATGATAATGGTCGGCCGTGTGGTTGCTGTCCGCTGAGGAGAGTCTCTGGAAATGAGAGCACGCTTGTGAAAGTAGGAAGGGGAGGCTATAGCCAGACCGACGTTGCTCCGACCGTCTCAGTTGTTCGTGGACCTCGAAGGACGACAGAGGTCGAAGAGGGCACGTTTCCTCCTCCTTCTTCGCCTTTCTCTACGTCCTTGCGCTCTTTCATCACACCCGTGTACTGCTTTGTACCGTATAACCGTCTTTTAAGACTGGCTTCCGCACTCTCGATCACTCGAGAACTCAGCCACGTGAATCATCTACTCACTTGCCAATCTTTCATCTACGAGGATGCGCTATTATATCGTCGCCACCGTTTTCCTCTTCTGCTGTCTTCAAGGTCAGTTCAAATTTATTTTCATTTTCAAGTGTCACGCGATTTTTCTTGCCAATTCAATTATCATTTTTGTGCTATTCTTATGCCAAGTTCATTCAATTGATGTACATATAGTGAATGTCTTTAATTCAATTTTTTAAGCTTAAAAAATTAGATGTTATTTTGGGTAATCACATAGTCAACTGAGTGATATTTTCGTCGGAAATTTCAATATTCAAACTTTATAATGTTAACGAATCTCTGAGCCAGTATACTTGTCTGTCAAAGTCTCGAGAGCATAAGATTTAAATCAGTGCATTGATGCATGTGACTGCACTTGAATCGAGATTCTTGAACTCTGATTCGTACAGTACTCTGTATCCATAGAAGCTGCCACCATTTCAGATCAATTTCAAAGGGCCCACATCAAAAAGTCCTCTTTCTCTCTTTGCTATGCATAAATTTTAACCATGCTTCTATTATCTTTCGTCTTCCATTCTACTTCTTATGTGATGGACATAATCCATTTAATAATCTGAAACAAAAATAAAAGAATATGAAAAAAAAATGTTTCTGAAAAAAATTAACTGTGGAAAAAATAAAACTAGTACAAATCATTGCTTATTAACTCGATAGCAAATAATTTAAGTAGACAGATTGTTTGCTATTACATGTGAAGTGATCTGACAATGTAAAAGAAGGAAAGCAAGCCGTAGTATGAATAGGATCAAAGATTGAAAAACTTGGAGATGCGTAAATACCAAGGGTAGAAAGAGCATAGATGCATAAAATGAAATTAACAAAGTGACTGATAGACAGGTTGATTCAGGTTTAGTGGAGCACGCGATAAATTGATCGACAAACCGGTTGGATACGATATAAGCTATTACGAGTTAATAATCCGTAACGTATCGAAAATCTTCATGAGTGGCGTGTCTGAAAATGAATGTCGTTTGTTCAACATTTTTCGCATCGACATTGTAATTAAATCATCGTTGAACGAATATCCTGAAAATTGTTCAATGAAACCACCTATTTCAGGATGAATAATTTGTAATTTAATTTTTTTTTCTCATTACTCTAACTACGAGTTATCAAATTAATTATATTATCCATCAGTATATATAACTTCTTATCTAAATTTTCATCAGCTCGTGGAGATAATTAATGAAGGAAAAATTCACATTCATTGAGTATAGGCATATAACTTGGTTTTTTTTTCTCATAGTAATAATTGAGTTAAAAGAAAAAAATGGTGACGAAGAGAAAGAAGAGTGATCATGATATTATTGTTTCTCTTCATCTTAGCGGTTGTTTTTATCACCAAGTACTTCAGGTAAGAGATGATCGTAGCTTTGGGGATGTGTATGCATGGTCATTAAATTTCCCCCTTTCTTAGTAAATACGCACGTGCTGTGGCAAGGGCAATGGGATTCAATTTCTCGCGTTGTGGTCTCTTGGTTGCGCTTGTTATAGTTCATACATTAGATGACTTTTTTCGTGGACTTTTTCCCCACCAATGACTGAAGCACTGAAAAATGATAGATAAGTAAGAAGCGTAAAAAATTGAATGATTCTTATTTTAAACAGGTATTACTTAAATGGATTGCTAATTTTCTAATTTGAAAAATATATCATTGAGGTTCTGAATGGGTGAAGCCAAGTAATTTGTCGTAAACATAAAGCTATCATTTCTTATACTTGGCATAAAATGTAATGAGTAGTTTCGAAAAAGAGAAAATCATAGAGTGTCTGGTCTTTATAACTTGATACAGTCTTCATGATATGATTTAAAAGCAAGAAAAAGAGTCGTAGGTACATTAGAATATGAAGAAAAAAGAATGAAATGTGTATAGAGAATGAAGAATCATCGATGCTTGGGTCGATTACAATACACAAAGTGGTCAGCAGACCGGAGATAAAAAACGAGGAAGAGTCAAGTTAGTCTATTTAACCAGGAGAGTTCAGTGGGCATATAGTCATGCGGACCGTGTTCGGCAAGAAGATATTATCTGTTCGTACATTCCCTTGGTGAACCAGTCGTCGTTGTCGACGTCGTCACGCGTTGTTGCAGTTGCAAGAGTTAAAAGCGCAAAGACACCGATTGGAACGCACACTCTTGGATCGAGATCCTATCAAAATGGTCTTCTCGTCGTAACACTTGGCCACCAGCACTTTAGCACTGCTGCTGTTGCAGATGCAACGAAGACCAAGACAACGCCCTACCTCGTGTTTAAATGTAAATTGCTCATTGCCTGCACTTCAGTAAACCAGATTAATCATTGGACGCTTTAGCACTTGGGTATGCGTGTGTAGTGATTACTAATGTGCTATCTCAGTCTTATTTTACTCGTCTGAAATTCCACTGAAATAAAATAAATTATCCTACAAGAGATTTAGTGATGTAGGATAAAGGAGTTGGCTGAGTGACTGAGATTAATACTAGTAATATCCAGTTACATTAGTGATACTGGCGCTCAGCTTATCTGATAATATTGTTGATACTAGTTAACACTAGTTCGAATTATTATTTGCATTGAAAATTTGTTTTTACCTCGTTGGTAAAGATGTTCAGCAACAGGGATGATAGTAGATAACAGATTAACTGATGTGGGGACTTTTAGAATGATACCATCTAGTGCTGGTATCATTTACAAATATAAAATCAAAAAAAAAAAATATTCTCTTATTTTTGTCATACGTATGCATATTAATATTACATATTTGAAGAATGTTCGTAACTCATTTATCACTACTCGATCCTTGTTCGTACTTAGTACACTCCACTTTTCTTTTGGATGAATATGCACATTTACAATTTAAATTTAAGAAATTTTTTCTTCATAAGTAAACTGTGTTTCAGTCAAATTTTTTGTTCAGTTTTTTTCGTCTGTTTTTTGTGAATAGCAATTTTAAAATTCATTAATGTATGAGCATTGATGAATATTTGTGTTAAATTAGAAATCGGAGAATGATATCATAGAATATTCATTTAATTCTTTATGGTAATTTAAATGTTTTAATTTAGAGATCAATAGATGCATATTAGATTTTTAACGATGTCATCATGTCAAATTAAATTTTTATCTTCCTTTCACCAATCTACACTTCAATGCAATCCAACGAGCCATGATCACCGAAATGATCTTTTCATCTACGCTCAAGCGTTGTTGTGTTGACACGATCAATCATCTTATTTTGTTGTTGAGTCCAAGCCCGAGTGACCGAGACTAGCGTGGGATGTAGTAAATTAAGTCCAAGCAAACTCGACAGTTCAGATATACTTCTTTCTTCCTTTCTGCCACTCAGTCATGGTCAACATAGTTTGTTAACTCTTCGAAGAATCCTTCCTCAAGCATTCAATGTTGTTTAAAACTTGGCAACTTTAAATGACTTACTCCCCTGACCCGGAGACCAAACTGCTCTCTTGAATTTTAATCAAAGCACTGGCTTAAACCCATCACTTTTCATTATCTATTTTTATTTCTAACTTTATTTTTCTCTCTCATATTCATCTTCTAGGTCGTTAGTTAATATTCTTCTCTTTGCTATCTTTCACAACACAAATTGGTTATAAGCCCGAAAAATCTCCAAATGACTTATACCTAATCTTTTTTTTTAACATCATCATCATTCTCATTCACTCTTTTTCATCAACAGTTCCACTCTTCTTCTCTTGAGGCAATTTTTAATCTAGCATTTTACTTTTTATTATATCTTCGTTTCTCTGTTCTCATCAAGTACGATCATCATTTGATGCTGAAGCAAACTTTCTTCTGTGGCATACTAATGAAGGTGATAGGATATTAGAGATGGTGAACATGCAATGTATACCATGTAAGAGCATTGTATACAGGATTCGATTAGCAAGGCTAATATAATTGACGTGCGCTAATTTCAACTAAGAAATAAAACGAATAATTGCTTTATTTTTAGCACTATTCACAAATTATTTCCCACGCTTTCGAATTTGTCAAAGCAAAAACTTTTTCAATCAATCATTTCTCCACTAAATCTCACTCACATTTATCCGTCGTAAATCATATATTTTTACCTTAAGCCATTACATTAAAGAAAATTACGTGGTATTCACCTGGTACGAACACACGTGGCACGATGTACTTTTCCTTCTCTTACTAATTTGGTGTCGAACACGTGAGTTTAATGAGTTGGAAATCCGTGGTTAAAATTACAGTCGTTGACTGCACGACTGACCTAGAAAATATTTTTTCATTATTTCTATTCATTTATTTATTTATGCTTTATTATTTTTGTACATACCTCAATTTATGTTTTTTATTCGATCTACTTTGAAGCAGATATGGTTTTATGAGCCCTGATAGACACATATATCATTTGTTAGCATTTGCATGCACTTCAATTGGTCACGGTAGATATTAGAAAAGTGTACAAATTACTGTTTAACAACTGGTTATTTTAATATCCACTTTATCATTCTGTGCTCTAGTTAATTTATCCAAATGTCATTTGTAACAATTATGACAGGAAATCATTATGCGAAAGGAATTTGTTATGTTTTTATAAAAAGTTTAAACTATATTATTACGACTCTGGGTGGTATGTTATTATGAATAGTGTTAATTTTTTAAGTACATAGAAGAATTTTTATTGATAAAACGAAATGTTTATGAATAAACTGATGTTCATTTTAACGGTATATTAATAATTAAATTGAAAAAATTATCGAAAAGATAACGGATTTTTTCTCTAGCTTATAAATGCAAATGTGATAAAAAATAATGGAATTTAGTATCTATGGTTCAATTGATATAAAAATTAGTTTATTTATGAGAAACTTTCTTATGTTATTTTAACATTCAAAACAAGTACAAATAATATTTATCTTAAACTTCAACTTTTCTTTATCATTTAACGATTCTCATCCGATTTCTATCTTTTCTTGGGAGTGGTTTAATGTTGAGTGAATGACTAGTAATGATTGCACCGAGAAAGTAGCAAAATAGAAGATGAAGACGATGAGGAAGAGGCTTGAAGATGTTGAGGCTTTCCTAGGTGAAAAGCGGCCTTGAAAGAGAAACCAGAGATTAATTGTGTCGTGTACCTAATAACCCATATCAAGCTTGTCTATGGCGAATCAAGCTAAGTGTACTTGAGCAGAAATGATGTGAGCTGTTTGTAGCCCTAGGCATCTGTATGCTCGTAAAGTAGGTATAGAGGTAAGGTCGAGGCCATCGTCGTCAGTGGTGAGCTATCATTACCACTGTCCAAGAGTATTAACTCTCTATCGAAAGGGTGTTGAAGACTATCGTTGTTGAGAGTTTATTATGAGCTTTCTCCATATTCTCTTGTTAGATTTTATTGAATCATTTTGAATTCAATGTTTTCGCTGGCGCATAGTGCTTCATTGTATTGGCACGTTTTTACATTATCCTGTAATTCCAATTCCGATGCATTCACGCTTTGTTCAATCAATTGTATGTACGTGCTGAGGATTTTAGTCTGATTTATTACCTATTGCTCTGTATCGTCACTTAAACTTACATTCTGACATTCTTGTAAATTGTTTATTTAATCCATTCTTACGGTTTAACGGTGTAATTTACATCATTGTTATGCCCAAAACAGCGAATGATTTGATCATAGCAATCTAAAAGGTCATGCTGAAAATATTTATCATTTATTCGAATTATTTGTTCATCTGCAGTTGCGATTTTTTTGTGCTACGGAAATTTTAGTTATTTGGTGTTTTTATTATAAATATTTGAAACATGAGAAAAATAAATTAAAATATCCGAGGTATTTATTGGAAAAAGCAAGCAAAAGGTAAATATTTTTCAATAAATTTATTGAATCTCATGTGTAGTTATCTGTGTATAAATAGTTAAAATGAATACCGTTGGATTTACGGCTTAACTTTAAACTCAGTCAATATTTCTATGTAAATAATTCAATCACATATTCTCTTATTGGAAATTGATATAGGATTACATATTTTATCCTTAGAAGGGAATTTGCATTATTCAATATCATTTTTCTTGCAATTTAAACTCGTTAGATATTCCATTATACTTGGTTTTATAAAGCCATGTATCTACATACTAGTTTGAAAATATTCGTAATGAAACTTTTTACATATTGATTAAAAACAATATTTACCGAAACATCATCAAGACCATTCTCAGCGATTATTTGAAATTGAAATTAAATTCTTATCTAAAAAATAAAATTGAATTTTATAAATATCTGTTAGTATTACCAGGGAATATGTAAATTTATTTTTTTCTCCATTTTTTGTGGGTTGATGGTTAAAGAGGGCTTTAATGAAAATCGTTTTTTTATGCACTTTTTTCGCCGTAAAAAGTTGTTTTGAATTCATCCGGCGATTTATAGGGTCACTGAAAATTCATTGCACGATTGCCTAGCTTCAAAATTACACGCACGAAAGATCTCGTATTCATATCTAGATGTGTGAGTTTTCGTAGCCCGATGTGGTCAATTTAAATAACTGTATATTCAAACCGTTCAGAGCAACGCACAGTGGTAAGCGAAACGCAAGAAACCTCTTCAATACAAATTTTTGAACGGCCAAATCATCAAGGACTCAATTACCTTTGGCCTTTAGATAAAAAATGAATACATGAAATATCATAAACCATATGGGTAATTTAGCTATAAAGCTAAATATTATTACAGCTCACAAAGAATCTTGTTAGAACATAAAAATAACGCAGTGTGCGAAACTCGATTGAACGTTCTCCGATCTAACGGATCAACAGAGCTCTCTGAAGCTAGTATGCTGAGGAAGTTATAGAAAAGACCATACTTAAGGCATACTCAGTCTGGGAGGTAGTTTTTCGCCCCAGTACTCCACTTACCACTTAACCGATCACAACGATTTATGGGACGGGATTCGGCTCGACTTAAAGTCGACTTACCACTCGCTCTCTTCGATTGCTCTCTTGCAAACGCCCTAGTTGACATACATTCCACACACAACTTATACCCAAACTCATTCATTCCACAATATACAAAGATATACCGTTAATTCTGATAATTTCGATAGAATTATTTTATTTGGATCAACAATATTATTTTATTATTTACCTCGTATTGTCACGAAAAATATCCAATTATTTACTTTTCTTAATTGGCTTTCTCATTCCAAATATGCCAAAGTACAGCTCATTAAATTGATGTCCTTCTAAAGCCATTTTCAGTTAAAAGTTCTATTTGCAATGATGAAAGTAAATATTTTCTAAAAATAATTGGTATTTTTTTGTATTATTTAAATAATGATGATTAGTTGTTTTATGGCTTTAAAGGTCAACTGTAAAATTTCCTTATTCAAATATTTTTTTGGATAGTAATTGAGTTCAGAAAAAATACTTTGTCATTGTTTTTTTTAACCAGAGCTCTGACACAGAAAATTGAAAACTTAAAAACTTTCTAGATTTAAAGTTTAATGAGTTCGATCGAGAAAATTACATTTTTCTAAACTTTCTTTCTGATTGACATTACTCTCGTTCTTTTAATGGATTTCATTCAAAATTTTACCAACTCCACATTCGATTCTCAAAGCAATTAAAATAACTTCTTCCTCTTCTTTAGATCCTGTCCAACTGTTATTAATGATCGTTGAAAGGCTGCTGAGTATCTAAAAAAATTGGAATTAAAATTATTAAATAATAAACAAAACAGCTTTTTAATTAGTCTCATCCATCAGCTAATTAATGTGATTAATTATTCAATTATTCATGGAGACGATTGATAAATTAATTAAATCTCTGCATGAATAAATAAATTGATAATTCAAGTATCTTGGTAGGAAAGATTTTTATGAAAGGATTAACTTAAGCCTCATAACTACTCTATCTAAATCAATTGGATTAAAATAGGAGTTTAATAATAGAAAACAAGAAACTAACTATCATTACTTGCTATTCCAGCATCATACGGTCCCTGCACGTCCTTTCTTACATTATATAGCGGGACAATACAAACGAGAAACAAGTAACAAGGAAATGAGATCGGTTTTGCCGATAGCTCAGCACCCGTGGAACGTTGATGACTAGTTCAACCACATGTGGTGTCGCCGGAGTGCTTGCAATTAATTGAAACATAGAACTTAATTTTAAAACAAGTCTAGAGGTTTTTGTAAGAGCTGTATCATTTTCAGCTACGTTTAATACAATCGATGTCCAAGGTTAGACATTCCTTGGATTATTATCTGGATGATTCAATTAAATCTCAAGTTACTTATCAGCTTTAGAGGTATTTAAAAAGTGTCTTATTCAGTCATTGACTTTGAAATATTTCAAAATCATGATTTATTTGATGAATTTATTATTCGCAGATAACAATTGAAACAGTTATTTTACAAAAGAAACGAGTAGATGATCACTGGCAATTTGTCGACTTGCCGAGTCACTACAGTCCGCCTCTGGAATAGCGTTCCACAAATCGTTATACCGATCGATGAATCGATAACTTGATCAGAAGCATATAAGCCTGCGGTCAAGTGATTACTATCAGCCACGAATCTAAGCTATACAATGTATAGTGGGCTGTGCCTCAAACACATGATATGCATTTCTCTTTAACTTGTTCATCAGTTTGCTTATACGATTGCTCGTGCGGGCTCTCTTTTTCCTCCAGGCTACTGTTAATGTTCTGCTGATGTTCTCCACCACATCAGTTTGAACGTCCAGGCAAAAACAACATCCAGATGCTTATTTTCTTTTGGTCTTGGTCAGGCACTCCCTTTTTGAATCTATCAAACTGGCTGATTGAAAAAAAAGGGAGCAAAGCAAGGATCCACCTTCTTTTGGGTATAATTCGAATGTGCACAAGATTCTTTTAAGTTCGCTGACCCTTGTATCATACGATTGAATCTTTCTTTAATGCATCCTTTGTGCTCGTACATCCTCATTATACACTCCAGAAACAAGACGAGAGAAAAAAATTAACTTCGTGGAAAAAGCTAACTTTGGCGGCTCGGGTGGGAGGTTCAGCGACCCTTGTTGAGTCCGTTAAATGCATTGGTTGTATTGTGGATCCATGATGAACATGGTGCAGCAGCAGGAGAAAGCACGATTCGCTCTGGAACAGTGATGGTTATTGTACATATAATTGATTCATTTTATTTGCTTTTTGTTCAGCCCTCATCTCATTCCTTCCCTTTATTTGCGTCATTAAAAAGAACGATAATCGATCGTTCAAGTCTCTGACAAATTTATTTCATGCTCATGGCGATAATACGATCTGATTCGGGAAGAATTTTAGAGAAAAAAAATTCTAGAAAAATCATTTTATTGCAGGATCGGAATGAGATGGTGGTCATTACCAGAACCCATCCTTAAAAACAAGTCTCTCGTTTTCACACTCGTTCTCAGTTACTTTAATGCTGACTTTATAATCCCTAAGGTCTCTCGTGAAAAACCAAGTTGAATGGGATACATACATATAGTATATCGAGGAAGAAACGTCAGAAGGAATTTAATTAAGATATCTCGTATGTTCATGCACCAGCTATCGTGCTATTTTGTGTTTTATATATTCCAATTAAATCTAGGATAATATCTCGATCACTATGTTAAACCTTCATCATTTTCAGCCATGGTAATCATGAAAATAATATAGTTTAATTGGCCTAGTTATAGATATGAATAAATGAAATAAGATTAAAAATAGAATTTACATTAATTGTTCTCATAATTCTACACTATTAATAAATAACTGTTGTGCTCTAAGAGAAATCATTTAACACTCATTAGCTACTTCAGGAAATTTTTCAAACTATTTATCCGATAGGCGGAAAAGTTATAATATGTAGATAATATCGCACCATTTGATAGTTGACACGAATTTGTTCAATAACATTTGCATAAATATCAGTGCAATATCTTTATCATCATACTAACTCTAAATTGTCTGTAATGCTACGATTAAGATGATAATACGAATATAACTGGTCTTATATTTAAAATTAGAATAGAAATAAAATCTCCTATGTTCTCAAGATTTAATGTTACTGCTGATGACTCGATAATAGTCCAACAATTAAATTGAGATATCACGAAAATACACTTCACTTTCTGATAACATTAAATAAAAATAATAACAACATATTATTGTGTATGTTATCTTCATTACAATGTTTTTATTATTATGTTGGAATTAAGTGAATCTTAGATAATTGATTAAAACAATAATACAAGAATAACTGGTCTTCGATACGAAGTGGAATTCAAAATTATCTACGTCCGTGACAGCATACCACTGATATTAGCTATCATTTGCGAATGCTTAATCACAATACTTATAATAGAAGCTGTATCATTTGAAATTCTACATCGAATATGTATTTATGTAACTGTTCTGTTGAATGATTATGTAGACAATTTTTTTCTAAATTTTTTTTGATCTTTACTAATGGAAAAAGTGATAACTTTTTAAATTGATAGGTTGGTGATTCAGTTAGTCGTTCATATTCATATAATTAATAAAATGAAAGTAATATTCAATTACATAGAAAAAATTTATATGATATTGATTCGGTATATCTAAGGGCATTAATAAACTAATAACAGAGTGATTATATAGACGTTGAAATTTAATTACAAATATGAGTATTAATGTACTTGATAAACACGTAACCTGTATTAATCATTACCTAATTAATTTGTAGAACGTGATCAATGGGTTTTGCGTAAAGAAATCAATTACTGTTAATTCGACAGTAGTATCACTAATGATTGGAATAAATCAGAACAACTGAGAATACTTTTTGTATACGATTATAACGGCACCAGTTCTATACCTTGTTACTTTATTTCTCGTATTTATTTCTTACTCTTCCTCTCTTATCATTTCTTCTTTTATGTTGCTATTTCATTTACTTTTCCTTTAGTTCTAAATATCTTTGGTGATGCAGTCTTTGATCTGTTCTTTTGCGTTCTTGTTATCTATAGGAGTAGCAATAACTGTTAGTCATGGTTTTATTTCTTGTTAATTTTTAACGAAGAAAGTAGAGAGTTGTAAATCCATAAGTGCTGTTGACCTGAGAATCGCTGGACCGAGACCAATATCGTACAGTGTAAGGGCATGTGTGTACCCTTTTATTTATAGATCTTTCTTGATAGCGGAAGCAATTATTATTACTACAAAATCTATATCTTTTACGTAATAATTCAGGATACGTTTAATACTTAAATAAATAGGGAATGTCTAAATGGCTAAATGGGCATCATCAAGATTAATATTTATCTCTAAATTGTAACGGCCTGAAGATTATGGTTTTTCTACATGAGAGACTTTGGCATTGATTATGGTAATTTCACTGCAAAATCTTTGTGTTTAAAAATAAAAGATATCATATCAGTTGACATTCCAGTTGAAGATTTTAATTAATAAAATCAAAAATTTTGCCAAGTTTTATTAATCCCTATTAAGAGCCAGTACATTCACCTTATGATGTTCTAATAATATTCCAATTTAGTATGAAAAAAATTAAATTCTCGTCCAACTAATTTTAATTAAATCTGAATAAGTTAACGAGTAATTAAGCTGAAAATTTAGAAGTTATTAATGGCATGCGTTATGAATTATGTTCACAGAACTGGTAGGAGGCGCGTGTCCACGGATATGTCCAATTGGCGGAGAGCCAGTATGCGGTAGTGACGGAGTTATATACGCTTCTCAGTGCGAAATGCGGAAGAAGATGTGCGGAAAAGGTATAAGAGACAAATGATCATAGTAGTACTAAGGCAACTGTAGTAGTCATGCTATTTAAAAGCCTCATAATTAGAATTATTGCATGGCCCTCTAACTTATGAAGAAACAAATCTCTACCGGAAGATGTTAATGACGTAAAGTTATTGAATTTATGAAGGAAAAAATTATGTTTAGCGGCATCTAAACAATTCATTCATCTACCATCATTAAATAAAAAACTTCATAAACATCTTCCCCTCATTGTAACTAATATAATAATTATAATCGCTAATAATAAAATGTATTTATTACAGGAGTTACTGTCGCAACTGACAAGACTGCCTGCTTAAGATCATCCGGAAGCAAGTGCGAGCATCGTTGTCCAGCTGATCAAGACCCAGTTTGTGGCACTGATGGTCGCACTTACTTAAATAAATGCATGTTACGGGTAGAAATATGCAGGGTAGGAATCGAACTATCTCACCTTGGACCGTGCAATAACATCTCAGCTCATCGAGAAAACTGTCCAGTATCTTGTGACTTTGCGCCTCTAGACGGACCGGTTTGCGGAAGCGATGGAAACGTCTACAAGTCCACATGTCAGATGAAACTTCTCACTTGCAGGTAGATTCTCACTCTTGTCTTTCAGCAGAATCCAACGACGAACACAAAGAGAGAATAACTCTAAATGTTGAATCGTAGTTGGCTTTACCACAATCCGAGGTCATATCCGCATAGAATAGTTGACATTCATCTTAAAAAACCCAAGAAATAAATACTGGTACCGTTGACTTGGAACACTCTAATTATCACTGAGTAACTCAGTAGACGGATGATTTGTTGATTCTCAATGTAGAACCGTTGACAGTACTAGACCCTGAAAAAAATTAAAGTATAATCGTACCAGATCATAATAATTACTATCTGTGTGATTTTTTTCAGACATTGAGCCTAATTATTTTTTTTTCATTAGATGAGAAATAATTTTAGACTTCAGTTGAAAAAATTTTTTTTTGGTTTAATATACTATGTTAAGAATCATCTTATTAGAGTTAATTTTATATCATTGCTACTTATAGCTTTCGCTGTTTTTTATTGTATCTAATTTTAATTTGAATTTTTTCTTAAGCCTCATGCTTGTCAGTTATATATAAATAAATCAATGTACTGTATGAAAAATATTATTAGCTATGTCGGTATATCAGACTTGTTCTCGATTATTTCAACAAAAAATACATATGATATAATAATTTCATAGAAAAAAAATATTTATGATATTAAAACGTGGGATTTTCAGATTATCTTATCGTATTTATATTACTTGAGTAAGCCTCCGCATGTATTTGCCAAGAATCCTTTCTGGAATTTTTAAGCCTTTCTTTGAAACAACTTATCAAAACTTTTCTGTCACATACGTTTCTATACATTAATTCAATATTAAGAACATTTTTTAAACTTATCATATTTCAAATTTATTTATTCCATTTGATAAATAAAAATATTGTAGATGAATTAATATTTATCAAATCAGCCCAATTAAAGAGCATGTTTATTAATCGATTTATTCTTCAGTCAACTCAATGATAAAATGAAAAAAAAATCCCCAATTCAAAATAATTTCAAACAATTCTCCTGTGAGTAATTAATAACAGTGATGTTTCACTCAATTTAATTAATATTTTAATTTAAACTCAGTTTTATCTTTACATATATGGTTTAAACAAAATTTATTTTACAGGCAAGGCGTAGTGAGGACGAACAAAAAGCACTGTCAAACAACTAGACATTGCCGAGAAACGTGTTGGCGAGGTGCCAAGCCAGCTTGTGGCAGTGATGGAGTTTTGTACGCCAACACTTGCAAAATGCGAGCGAAAAACTGCGGGTAATAATTAACATAGACATAACAAAGACAATTTTACAACGGCTAAAAATAACCAATCAATTCTTTTTTAAAATTCACAGTAGATTGTAGTTTTTTTGTTTGAAGAAATAAGTAAAGTACACTTTCCTCTTTAATTCTTTTTTATCTTTCATGTGAATGCTTGTAATGAATTAATTATCATTCAGACAAACATCGACTCATTTTCAAAGCTCTTTCAATAAGTAATTGAAAGAGCTGTGTAAAAAATTTACAAACACCTTGAGGCTATAAAAAATATGTCAAAAATAGTTTTTGCGGATGTTTAAAATGCATAAACTGATAAAACAGCTATTATGAAAAAATTATCTCCAATATAAAAATATTAATGAAACTTTGATATTTAATTTACACGATATCCATTACGAGATTTGTTTTATTTTCATATTCATTATCAACCGTAATAGTGACAGTAATGGTCATTCAAAAGAATATTTAATACATCATTTTTACCTTCTCTTAAACATCCCTCGTTTCTCTTTCTCTTCTCTAATCCGAAATGACTGAATAATTCATGAGATCCCTAACGACAGTGTCGTTAACTCAAGTCTTGATCGTGGGTTTAAGCTGCTGCTACTGCTGCAAAAAAAAAAAAAGAATTAAAGCCGAGTCAACAACCTTAATAATGTTAATTATCATTAGTAAAGTAACGTACATTTTTAACGACTCTTAGGTTCATTTTTTTTTACATTTATTTACTTTTTCAGTAAACACGTATTCGAAGTACCAATGTCATTCTGCGTTTCTCGAGAAAGAACTTCTGGAAGTCTTGCTACAGCTTGTCCACTGGACTGCAAAGAAGAGCCTGAAGTGCAAGTTTGTGGATCGGACGGAAGTATTTACAAGAATGAATGTGAAATGAAAATGCTCAATTGTGGGTAAGATTCCATTGTATCATACTGTAAATACTGACTAAAAATTTAAGTTGTAATTTTGAAAAAATATTACAGTCACTAATTTTTATAAATAGATACTTGTTATGTTTGTAAAGTATATGAGCACAAAACAGTAAAGTACAATTACATATTTTTTTTAAATAATTGGTTTAAAATATTTCATAATCATCTTCGTTGGAAGAAATTACTTTACAGAAAATAATTCTATAGAAAAGCATTTTCTCCAGAATCAATTTCATCTTATAATTTGTATTGTAATTTTCTATGATTGTAGATCTTAAAGGGATTCTAATGAGTATTATCAACTGTATATTTTATTGTTTTCAAAAATATTTATTTAATACTTTCTAAATTTTAATAAAAAAATATATTTATTTTTTTAGGCAATCAAGACGGAAAATTACAGTTGTAGATTTCGACAAATGTAAAGCGAGAGTCCTTAAATGCTCTAAACTACTTCAAAAGTGTGGTAACGATGTTGACCCAGTTTGCGGCAGTGATGCGAGCACTTATCCTAATCAGTGCCATCTAAACGTTGCAATTTGCATGTAAGTGAAATAAAAAAAAACCGATGAGAAAATAAATAAATAAATATTTAATAGTAAAAGATTTATCTTATCAACGAAATTTTGTATTCAGGAAAGGAATACAACTTGCACACGTAGGCGAATGTACGACCTTGAAAGAGACTGAGAATTGTCCGGAGGATTGCAGCAATGAGCCTGAAGAACCTGTTTGCGGTAGTGACGGAAACGTTTACCGGTAAGTGGAAGATATTATTGAAGATTGATTAAAATGCCGAGACGTTGAGGAAGATTTATGGCCTTAGGTACCTCTGAGGTTTTTTTTGCTGGTTGGAAATTATAAATTTAAACGTAACTGATTACTGATAAGCAAAAAAAGCGTTATACAAGATTCGAGATAATGTACTTAAGATTTTTGAATGTTTTGCTTTTTGTTTATCATACTTAGATCGTTGTGTCATCTCCGACGAGATACTTGTGGTCAGAGGGTGGTTTCCGTGCCAGCCCAACATTGCCGTACAACTGCACTTTGCAATCAGATATGCAGCGGAGAACGGCAGTTTGTCTGCGGTTCTGACAACAAACTTTATCGCAACGAGTGTGAGATGAAGAGAGACAATTGCGGGTGAGATGCATGACCATTTGAGATTGTTCTATCTCCTCATATTAAAATTTAAAACCAAGACAACACTGCTCACGTGAGAAAGTTTCATTTTAGAAAACATGTCTACGTCGTTCCCATGAAACGTTGCGTCCAGGGATTCCTCTTCCGTGGCTGTCAGAAAATTTGTCCGCCTTACTATGATCCAGTATGTGGCACTGATGGTATGACTTACAGTAATGAGTGCTTCTTGGAGATTGAGAACTGCCGCAGTCGAAGTCTCGTTACCAAGCAGTATCATGGAATATGTGGCCAACCTACAGAAGAACCGAAAAATTATTTATACTGAAATAAATCATTAGAATTTAATCATTAGCTGTGATACAGCAATGACCAATCAATTAGGCAAGCTTGCCAATAATAACTTTGGAATTAATTTTTATTTTAATTCCATTCGATAAATACCGAGATTATCGATCAATAGAAAAATGGTAAATAATTGAATATTGTCGAGATTGTAATTAGGTCTAGAAAGGAAGCAAATGATTAAAGAAAATTCTTGCCAGTTGATAGAAAACGTGCAGTATATGAGATAAAAAGAAAGTTTACAGCTATTACATCGAATATTTTTATAGAAACTTTTTAAAAAAAGGTACATAAAATATATTTTCTAAGTAATATTTTTTATAAAAAAAATTATTACTTTTATCATGAGAATTTACTTTTTTTTTGGACTTTTAAAATATTTATAAACTGCACAATTTAGTAAAAACTTATTTATTCTAGTATTATAGATCAATTTCGAGTATACTGTTATTCAGTGTGTGTACTTTTGGCATACATTTAATATCATTATCAGATAACAATGGAGTCCATTTTTAATTAAAAACGTTTTTCATAATTATAATATTTCACTCTTCAGTTATATAAGATTTTTATATTCAATAACAAAAAATGTATACATTCCTTTCATTTGTGATTATTGTTCATAATTTCCCTGTATTATTTTCATAATTATGATTAATATTATCAAGCATTTTTCCTTATTTATTATTCGATAATGTAAGAACCTACTTAGTCTCATGATTAACATTTGTATGAGCTTGTCATTTATACAATAAACAATACCCATATATTTATTTTAGCATTTAATTATTATTAAGAGACAATTTAAGAAACTCTTATGTATAAATATACTTGAAATAATTGGTAGTAATTATAATTGTTAGCGAAAGAGATTATGATTATGTTACTTATCCTCTTAATTAAATAATCTATTGTTATTATGCATCTCTAATTGGCGATTTCTCCCGTACAGAATACTTTATAATTCTTTACTATTTCACAATATACTTCGTATACTTATAATTATAAAATTGTTATTCAACCGATTTCTTTTACATACCTTTTATTTATATGAATTAGGAGTTAACATGTTCTAAAACGCCTTGTCTTATGAGAGGTTCACACTGAGCTCGAGGCAAGAGATGATGAGTATTCTTTTTCAGGAAAATCACCTGACCATCATCTAACTCAAATTTCCCATAGTCGACAAGACATCTGACCTGTAATATAAGAATGTATTTTTTTTATTCAAGTGGATCAAGTTCATTCATTATCTAAGTATGAAACCATCATTTACCTCAATGTATAATGATTTAGGTGGAACCATGTCCACAGTAAGATTTAATCCTTGATTATCACCAATAGACCTCATATATGTGGCAAGAGATTTATTGTAAGCTTGAAACCACTGAGTTTCAAGATTCAACATGCTCGCACTAATCTCTGGAGGTAAGATGCTACCGAATTCCCATCTTGCTTGTCTCAGTCTTCTCATTCTATTGAAAACATAAGCTAACAGACAACGTTTATTACGATTTAAAGCTGCATGTCTCAACTGAACAGACATATGACGAGCTATCGAGCTCTCTGTTCCTGAAACTGTGGCATTTCTGTAATCAGTAGGTTTGATTAAAAAAAAACATTGGTGAACAAATAAGCAAAATTAAAAAATACCTACACATCTTCCAGGTTGGCGTCATAAAGAACATGCATTTCATCAATGACTTGACGGACTAGAGTCTCCTAAAAAAGTGTTATACGAATTTTCAGACCGCAAGATTGTTTATCACAGGTTATCAGTGATGCATGTATAGGTAAACAACACAGTTTACCGTGTAATAAGTACGTTGAATAATACTTACATTGAATGGTTTTATATCATCAGATAACTCTAGCTCTGTTATAAGCTTCAATGCTTCTTTTCCAAACATACTGGCTTTATGACTTTAATCGAAAGATCTACAAATTGAATATAACGAGGACTTTTTGTTTCTCTTCAACGCGTGTTTTAACCGCCTTTTTTTAGTGATTAGAATCAATCTAATGAAAACTCAGAGGGCGCGAGTCGAAAGGACAAAGAAAGTAGTGCCGAATGGTTCCAATGTTTGCTAGACGAACTAAAATGATGAATGTGCCGATATTACAGGGTCATTTTGATTCGCTGATAAATTATCAACACCGTTAATGGTCATTTAGATCCATCTATAAATTTATTGTGAACTACACAGTCACATATTTTGTTATCAACAGTCTTAATTCAAATATGGCGCCGAGTGTTTACGACAACTGATTGCTCGTGATCAAATTCGTAATTTATGGAGTGAGTTTATCTTGATAAAGTTATTCTATAAGTGCTCTAAAACTTAGTATGATTTATAGTAATCAAAGTAGCTTATCAAAAATTAAAGTACGTGTTTTATTTTAGAATAACATCAGTATATTTTCCAACAACTACTTGTGAACATAGTGAAGTGTTTCTTCGAATTCTATAGTAACCCACGTTACATCTCCTTTTTACAATTGTTGGCAGTAAAAGAAAAAAAAAACAAAAACATTCGAGTAAAATTTCTGCTTCTTCAACGTCAAGGGAAAAGTAATAAACGTAAGTACTTGATGAATTTTCCTCTCAATTAGAGACTTATCTCTTGAGAATCACAATTATCGATCCTTCGTCCTAAATTTGCTGGAGGTCAATGGACCTACTCTGCCTTTATCCCGAAGGACTTTGACAGCAGCTAGCGGCCATATTTCTTTAGCGCCTTTTTTGTATCTCTACTCTTTTCTTATCTTCACTTACGAGAGATTATACGAGTTGTGTTACATAAAATGCTGCACCTGCAACTTTTATAATCACTAAGTAATATAATCAAGTCGAGGATGTATCTCCTCCTATCCTGTCGTTGATTAATCTTTTGTATTCTCGAGGAAGTTAATCAAGACAACTAGCACAAAAGAACTAGATCTATTTTTCTTAATTAAAAAAATTCCGATCTATTAGTTATGGTTTATTACTAATAATTCTTTTATATACAGATGAATAAATTTCAATTCTATTTCCCTGTAATTTCATTTGTTGATTGCTCCTGAGAATTATTCACTTGCTTGAGTTTCGACAAGTTATTCAGTGTTGCAATGAATCAAAGTTAATCTTTTAATACCTAAATAACGTTTCGATTGTTATATTATCAATTTATTCATTGAAGATTTATCGAGGATTGAATAGAGTTTAGTATCTACGTTTTATTAAGTGCAAAAATTTATGATCTTTTTTTGCTTTATTGCTGCTCAGAATTGCAACTTTCACATAACAGTTGGAAAAACAAAAAATTTATCGAAGAATTTGCTATACATTCTCCAACGAGTTTAAGATAATCAAAAGCAAATATAATATAGAAATTTATTTTTATTTTCTTATGTAATTAAATAAATACTCGATTATTAAATTTTTAAAAATAAATAATAATTTCGTTATAACTAGTTGGTTATTATATCCTATTTGAATGACATTGCACGAAGGTTTTTCTTTAACATCACCAATATTATTGCTTACATTCGTCTATTTACAATGTAGATACGAATGAAAAGAAAAAAAAATAATTACGGAATGTCCAGTACTTGTACTATTAATTTTTCGTTGGGATATTATTTATTAAAGCCGTTAGAAGCTTGTTTTATGACTTGGTAAAATTTTTTAAAAGCTACTATTTTGCTGATAAAGCTATCCTATGAAGAATAAAATGATTTAGTTGCTTAATAAAATTTTTTATTAATATTTAACGCTCCCTAACGAGACATAGTACTTGTTGTGAGTATTAATTTGTTACTTTGTAGCTAAAAATTCAAATAAATTAAAAAAGTTAATGAATATATACTAATAATGCATTCATGCAATTTCTCATTAGGCCTAGAAAAAGTGAATAGAAAAAAGGGTGGAGCTAAAAGTTACTTGGGTAGGTCGTTTTAGTACTCAAAGCCTTTACAACAAAGAAAAAAATTGTGCTTAGCATTCAAGCCATTGACTAGTGGTTATTATCTTTTTTCACGAATGTAAGATCTTTGTAACAATTTACCTGTGGTAATTTTTAGCTTTTTATCTTTAGCATTTCACCACATTTGTCAAATATATATCTTGTTCTAAATATTTTCCAACAAATATTTAATCCATTATAAAAAAAGAAAAAAAATAATTCACTATTTAGCTCAATAGAATGTAGAATTTAATTTGTAAAAAAATGATTAATCGAGGCATCTCGTGATCGTCCTTGTTAAAGAGGTCTAGACTGAGATATGAGTCATGAAGTGAAGCTGCTGATTACATCTCAGTAGCAGTTTTACTAATCGACCAGCTTCAGTCTTCTTCGATGTCTTTTGTTAATAGGAAAATGTCCTTGTGGGTTGACCTATTAACAATAAACTATAGTTTCTAATTCAATGTTCAAATAATTTTATTTAACATTAATTACATTATAGAAGTTCTAAATGAAATTCTGACCATCAAATTGAAGTGTTTATCTAACATACTAATTTGAGTTTTCCAATTAAAATTAATGCAAATATTAATTGATAATTGATTGTAAAAAAACAATTACTTTAACTTAATATTCATTTTCTTCATTGCTTTTATAGTAGATTTTAAGTGATCAATTTAACGATTCATATCAAATGCTATTAAGCTATAATTTCCACTCGCGTACCTATTCGGAAGTCGTACGTTCGTGTTCCGTGACTGTAATAAAAAAAAAAATACATAGAGGAAGATTGTTTCAAATTTATATGTAGAAACCATAAGACGATGACGAGGAATGACAGAAGCCTACGCACAGAAGCATGGTGTCTGCTAACTTGAGTTATATCGTGATTCTCAGGTATTTCCGGACATTCAACTTGCTACCAGCTAACTTCTTCCTCCTTCATATTAATCATTAATCGCTACATTTATTACTTTTTTAATTAAGTAATTTATTAAGGAGACTCTTTAACCGTACCGTTAATAAATTAAATAATTACTGATTTATAACCTTTTGAATATGTCGCATAAAATTGAGAAGAATAACCAATGTGATTGCTAATTTTTTTTTTTTCTTTAAATATGCTTGACTCATAGAAGCAAAAATTTTATTTTTATGGCAGCAATACCCTTTTAATCATCAAGCTAAAGTGAGTTGATGTTGTAATGAGTTGATGTAATGAACAATGTTCTCATTTGTTCGAAAGAAATATAAACTCAGTAACAATCATGCAAAAATTTTATGTTACAAACATTATGATAAATATACCACTTGACCATCAATTTTGAAGTGAAATAAAAAAATTATTTCTGGAGTGTTGCATTGGATTGTTCAATTTTATAGTCAAAATTCGTTAGAAAAATATTCGTGAATACTTGAAAGTTGAAGGTAATAGGCAAAGTAGAGAGCAAACTTTTGAGGCTTGAAGACTTTGATAAAAGTTTGATTACCATTACTTCAGAAAATTATTATTCTTCCTCTTAGTGTAAGCTGAAATATTTATCAACAACTAATTTAACATCAATTTATTTTTCAAGATCTTACCTTTGGTGCAATTACATTTATAAATACTCCAAAACAATTTTTTTTGAAGTTCGATAAGAAATTATTAGCTATTGAAGAGTATATTGATCGAGACAAATTCTTTAATATTTATTTACTGAATTTAAAGAATTTTTAAATCTAAAATATTCCATTCATACACCTGTGATCCAAACTTTGCTTCTATTGTGTACTAGAACATATTTGGTTCGATGCTCTGAAGTTCTTGAGACATAAAAGTTTTTTTTTTTTCTATTTCGGTCTCATTCTGTTTCCGAACTTCTGCACATTTCATTCGAGTGGAAATGTCATGGTGCAAGCATTCCTTTTATTTTTTTTTTTGAGGTTTCTAGTAAAGTGTATTGTATAGATATACACTAAGCATAGCAGTTCTATCTTATTTTCTATTTTCTGACGCTTCTGGCATCAATTTCTATTGATGCAGTCGTCTGTATGTATACCTGTAGACATGTTTAATGTCCATATATATGTAAGGACATTTGACGTTTACGTATATGTGTAGACATGAAGACATTTTATTTCCTGTATTGATTGTATATGATGAATTCAAAGCTGCAGTTCATTCAAATGGCGTAAAAGCATTCAGAATTATAATCCATTCCTCACAGTAATTTTTCTCGCCTTCGTGTCTTGTGTCCGTACGGAAATTGAGATAAATTCGATAATCCTTCTCTGATTGCGCAATCGATTTCACACGCAGTAATTGGCAGCAAGGGTATGTTCGTGACTATGGGAAATACGTTTCAATTTTCTTACTCAATATGCAATTCGACATCGTCTGATTTCGATTACTGTTAGTACAAAAAAATATTTGCATTCTTCATCTTTAAAAAATGTTAATACTGATATTATTTCATTAAATATTTATACACTTTGTTATTAAACATTATAAAGTAGCTGTTAAATGATAACGTTATATTAAATGGATCATGTGAATTGAATTAAATTAATGAAAATTAAATGATGTTAGATAATTAAAAAATGAATGAAACAAAATAATCGTAATTTAATGAGTATTTAAGTTTTGTTTTATTTTTTCTATTTTTTTTTTTTTTTTCATTAATTAATTTTACGTTTTATGGCTCTGGAAACGTTTGATTTATTTTATAGAGTGTAATTATCAGATGCACCATATTATGATGGTTAATTAAATTTTATATGATAGTAAGTAATATATAATGACCATTAGATAATAATGTTTTTAATATGGTTTATTTATCGCGTTATTGATTCAATGAATTGTAGAAGAAATTTATAGTAATGATGATAGTTTAATCATTTTTAAAATGAAAATATTAATTTGTTTATTGACTGATTATATTTATGTTTAATTCTTTTGATAAAAAAACTTGTTTTTAGATTCACGAAGAATTCTATGTTGATAATATTGGTAACATTTGTAAGATACAACTGGTCGTAAAAAATGTTGGTACAATCTGTAAAAATATTATGAGTTTTTTATCATTTTTTTAATGTCCTGTTTGCGTGG